GATTACCTTAGTAGGTACTCCGTCGACGACTAATTTGATGCTTAGGGCATCGTTTACCCGCGGTTCGGTTCCAGTCGCTCGCACCGATCCTGGACTCTGAAGCGTCGTATGCGCGTTAGCTCGTAAAAGTACATGTTCGGCTTATTTGCAGCGCCAAACCTCTCCCACGCTCCGTAAAATGGACCTGTAATAATATCATCACCCGTTCGTTGGCCCCCGTTCGACTGCGTCACCCGTCCGGGCATCTTGTCCCTTGCCAGTTCTTACCGCGCCGACAGGGGGAGCGGCAAGGCAAGGCTTTTTTGGAGCTCCATAATGGGAGCAGGAGGAGAGATGCCAGGGCCTGGCCTTGGACCCGTATGTTCATTGATTCCTCGTGAAAATCGGTAAGTAAGATATTGTACCAACATGTATCCGTGCCTATTATGTACTATACCTATTCTTGCATTGTAGCTGAACGAAATAGGCAACACACAAATGATCGTTGTGGTGTGGCGTTGACATCGATAGAGTTAAAGGTACCGGTACCCAAGATTAGTTGGCGTTTGTTCGGTTCCAGGTAGGGGCCCCTAGCAGCGCAAAGTACCTACATAAGCAGCTCCATCAGGCTCACTCAGACCTCTACTACAGCCGCAGTCAGCCTCGTTCGATCCAACAAAATCCAGGAACAGCAATAAGACGCCAAAACCCGGTCACCGCTGATTACTCAACCGTCATCAACATTCGTCTCTGCTCGTCACGTCTTCTGCCCCTTTTCTTTTCTTCGAGAATCCCAACAGGCGGATTCCACCCTCACAATGTAACCCCTCCGCCTGAATTCTGTGGTGGAGTGACATTGTCCCAGTTCCAAGCCGGGCCCTTACTGTAGCGCCCACCTGGTCCCAATGCGGTTTAGACTGGGCTGAGCTTCAAACAGCCGCTTTGAAGCTTTGGCCATCGATAACTTTTATTCCAACCTGAACAAACATCTGGACGTTGCAATTAGACACAGATCCTTCATTCAGTTCGGCGACACAATGTCCGTCACGCTTCACACGTCGCTGGGCGACATCAAGATTGAAGTCTTTTGCGAGAGCGTCCCCAAGACAGCCGAGGTATGTTTGCTTCGCCAATTTCCCGGGTTCCAGGACCGCTGCTAACGAGCCGCAACAGAACTTTCTCGCCCTTTGCGCCTCCGGCTACTACGACCAGTCGCCCTTCCACCGCCTGATTCCAAAGTTCATGGTGCAAACAGGAGCTCCCGCCAACCCGACTGCCGAAAACCCGAAGGGCGGACAGTCGATATGGGGCGCCCCTTTCGAAGACGAGATTCGACCCGCCCTGAGACATAGCGGCAGGGGCTTCGTTTCCATGGCCAACAAAGGGCCTGGCACAAATGGCTCGCAGTTTTTCATCACCTTTGACAAGGCGCCCCATCTCGACGGCTTGAACACCGTGTTTGGCAAAGTTATTGGCGACGAGGGCCTCGTGACACTGGCCAAAATGGAGGTAGTTGAGGTAGACAAGAAGAGCCGCCCAAAGGAGCCTTTTCGCATAGAAAAGGTAACCATACACGCGAACCCGCTTGCCGAGTAGGGGCGTCACAAGAGAGTCTCACAAAAAATGGCGGAGAGTAAATCATGTCAAATGTTGCACAAGCACATTTGCTGCAAGGATGCTGCCCTTGACGAGCCCCCAAGTCTCGCAGACCAGACGCTATTCAGCAATGGTGAAGTCTCCCAGTGATCTGCGGACTACAGCTCGAGTTACGACCGTAGCTCTGTGAAAAAGGGGCTACGGTTTCATGCTGCTAACTATCAAATCTCGATGCGGAAAAGGAGAAAGTTTACTGCACCAAGGGGGAAGCAGAGGCGGCACGTACAGTGACTGGTGATACTCAGGCCAGGCAATGACTTTGAACCAGTCATTGTCTACCTAGGTATTGCGCCTGGATCAGGTACTGTTACCCCAGCAAGCCGATTCTGGGTACACAATCTATCGCAAAGTAGCATGAACAAAGTTTGTGGGCCGATGCAGCCTACGTAGGATGCTGAATGCTCGACGTTTCCTCTGGGATAGGGAACAAATCGTATTGCATATAAACCAGTAGCGCATCTGCTCGAGGTGGGTTATGATTTTGCATTCGGTTTGGCATCATGTAGAATGAGACATCGAAACAGGTTAGACAACAAACGCCGAACAAAACAATTCCCAATACAAATCACAGAAGACCTCCGACTAATCGTGTGTCCGGCTTTGACCTTGCTCGCTATACCCCTCTTCCGTGACAACAAAGTTAACTTGGACGGCTACCCGCTTTCGGATGAGTACGTGATAATGACCTTGATGGCCACGATTCACACGACCTGATACTATTAGGTCATGAGTTATGATATACCTTACTAGAGATTGAATTAAGACGTGGCCGTTCACCATATCCTAGCATTTTATATCCCCATGGTCGGGAATTTCACGCCCGCTTCTAACTTGATATACCGGCGGGCTTTGAATCGTCTCTCACACTGCCTCTGCTTCTCTGAAAGATTTGCACGGATACCAACTTGCATACCCGTAGCCACTCATACGTGGCCTGTTTCACCAAGGCGAGTATCCAGTTGCAGCAGCATAGTGACTCTTAGCTATCATGTCGTGGTCCGAAAAGGCCACGTCAACTCTCTCCCCCGTCTCTGATATGATGCTATTTAAGCGTAGTTGTCACTATAAGAACTTGCCATTTTCCCTCTTCTCTGCTCTGCTTCCTCATGTCTTCTTCAACACTCGACATGGCTTATAGTGCCATGTACCTCCACCTATACAGGCAGTTCGTGCCGATGTGAGTCTGTCTATTGACAGTCACACCAACTACCGTGCTGGAGTGGCTTCCCCCCTATTGTGAGCTGACTTGGTGAAACTTGTTTTACCACTGACTGCTGACCTTTACGGACTCAGTATAGAATGACGGCCTGCTCTGACACAATTATTTTCTCCTGGTTGAATCATACCAGGCAAATCGCTTCATCTGGAATCCGTATTCAGGGTAATTTTCCTTGCCTCCCGAGTCTTGATTTTCTCCCCAATATTCTTCTACCCCCAACTAGGAGGTGGCAATCCGTGCCTGCTAGTCTTTCTTCAACCCATTGGTCTCTTTCTACTGACAGTTATGCTGATGTATCTTGAGATATTCGAACATGTTACGTTTAAAATGGTGCCAGACCTGCTTCCTCAAGGGCAACTTGTTTTCCATGCTTTGATGGTGAACACTGCCAACTCACAGGTTCGATGGCCACTTCAGTCAAAGGCGTGTTGTACTTGTATTATTCATAATTCCTATACTGCTCGCTACTCAACTCTGTTCCAACATGATAGTTCCCACAGAGCCAGATGAACCAACTTTCTTCGGCGAGTTTCATACTGTATCTAAGTTGAATACGGCGTTGCGACATTGCTTTCCCCCTTATTTACCGTCGGCCGTTATTCGCAAACCATAGCCGTACTGGATGGATCAGTGGCACCCAGAGTGAGTTTGGGGTGTGTGGATGCTAGTATTCTTTCTCTTCAGCTAATATCTCTTAGCTCAGCTGCTACTTGAGTGACCCCTGGGAGAGAGGACTAAAAGATGTCACTCTCTTACAGATCGTCACTATTTTCAATTCAACATTGCGAAATATATGGAGAACTCACCTCAACAAGATGTCGAGCACACTATACCAGTTTCCCGAGGAGGAAACGCTGCTCGTACAGCAGCATCACCGCGCCTAGGCTTTGGCGAAAGGAAGCAGAATACTTCCACTGTGCCTAGCTTTCTGCCACTTTACACGACAATATGCCCCCTTCTACAATCCGACGGAGCCAGCGCTCAGCATCGACTACACGCAATTATAGAGACAGAACTCTCCACGGGCTAGGTACACTGTATCTGCATCGCCCTACAAGCAACGGAAAATTACTCATGGACGTTCAGCTTTCCTAAGACTATGAGCCCAAGACCTTATTCCGAAGGTTCCCGAACAGAAACTTAACAAGGCTGAGTTCCTCGCGGCCGTGCGCAAATGGCAGATAGACTTTAAAAATCGTCCAAATGGCTCCAAGATCTTGAAGGTAGATACGCTGTAAAACACTAAGATGCTTTTGGCGGGCTATTTGGGGCCCTCCAGTCTGCAGTACCTTTACTACAGGTCGTTATACTTCTCCAGATGCGAGCTGCAATGCTGCTAAGCGAATGCGGCACAAGCAGAATTTTCAGAGGCGACGGCCAAGTTCCCATTATCTTACAGAATCCATTTGTTCCAGGTACACGCCATTATAGTCAAACCAGCAGCCTCCCACAATTGGACTACCTTCATGAAACACCGGGTATTCCCACGGTGTCGCTACTTGGCAATTTTCAGGGAGAAAATGGAGACACCTTTACAGCATATGAATCAATACACTGCGGCCTCTCTGGGTTTCAATGCATGGTAAATGCATTGGGAGTACTGCCACCCAGCGCCAAGTAACTGGCAAAGATCCCAGAAGACCTTTTTTATGAAAAGAAGCGACAGGCAGACGATTTAGTTGTCCCTTCTTCCCTCGCCGGGCCCCTCTTCGCCGCTGAAGAGAGGGAGCAACAAACGCCGTTGGGATACGATATTCTCACTCCAACTGGCGAGGCAAGAGCACGGAAACCTGATGAGAGCCAACTGGTTCGCCCCTCCTTGGGCGAAATCAAATGGGAATTTGCCATCGCAGATGGTCGCACACGTGATGCTCCAGGGCCTTGGAGGGACTTTTCTGCGCCCTCGAAGCAGCCCCTTATTCTGCCCAGACTGAGTGCTCACTATTCTACCTCTTGGACCGAGTGAACAGGCAGATCTAATCATACGCAATTAGCAGCAGGTATTTTGCTTTACTGTATAGCCTCTACTTGCAATTGTATTGAAGGGCATCTGCGAGAAACCACTGCCTAGCCACACCACTGAGCTGAAAAGAGGCCAGTTCAGTGAAAATAACGGCAGAGTCACCGAAAATATCAATGGATCAATATGAAACCTCTGGATGACTCTCAAAGAGATGAAACCGACTTCATCGTCACGGACTTAGTGCCCCAGTTGCCAATAAGTATGTCTTTGTTTAACCATATTTCAGACCAACAAGGACAGCTCGACAACTCACTCGTCGTCGTCGACGGCCAAGGTGCTCATGGCGAGGATGTCGTCGCCGACTGCATGGACACCGATGCTGGCGACATGACGGTCGAGACCGATGGACCTGTGTGTGAAACCAGCGTTGCACAAATCCCAGGCTCCGGAAGCCCCGCCCCAGACCAGGACGCCGCTGCTTCTGGCCACCAGCCTTGGGATGTTATAGATCTGGCCACTGACGATGGCAATTCTGACGATGGCAATTCTGACGATGGCAATTCTGATGATGATGCAAATCAATCGCGGGACAGCGGCACGCGTGCCACCCTTGAGCTGCTTTATCAAGGAAGACTGGCTGGAGCAATTTGTTGGTATCCTTGCACAGCATGATGATACACCCGTTATATTTATCGGCGATACGAAGCAATTCGGACTGATGATGATTAATGCTACGGATAAAACATATGGGATATTCCAGGAAAGAAGGCGCAGTCTGCTGATGAGAGCACAAGCTAGCGGACACATCGACTTCACTATAACGGCGAATCACAGAGCTCACGGCGGCGTGCACGAATAGGCCTGAGGAATCATGTAAATGGCTGACATGAAGACTGTTAACAAGAAGAACGGATATTCGTCAATTCACCAGTGGGTGTAGAACGAATGTCAAATGAGCCACATGCAGCCAGATGCCAGCTACCAACATGGGATTGGCAGTTCGCATCCTGGCTTCGCCAAGAAAAAGTACGCCCAGCTACGATACGATACATACTCTAAGTTTCGAATTTCCGCAACTACCACGGGATTTGACTCAAGTGGTTATAATCTACGGCGCATCTGGAGAACTGTGGACTATAGCCCAGCGGATGTTGGCCAAGTCGTCGTTGACAAACTCGTATTGCTCGAGGAGTCCATCGGGTGTGCGCGGATCTGCGTCAGACAAGATGGTGATTCGCCTGGTTTTTACCTCTGGGTCAGAGGGGTGATAGACGCGGAGCTTCTCCGACTGCGTGTGGACTGTGCTAGGACCTTCGTCTTCGGACATCGAGGAGTCGCTGTCTTGGCTGTTGCGGACCTCGCGGGGGGCATCAGCATCGTTGACCATGTAGTCGTCTGAGTCGGGTATTTCAAGCACTTTTCGGCGCTTTGCTCTTTTAGTGGACGAGGGCGGATCGACGAATTTGAATCTTTGGGATAGTTTGATGACGTCCCTCCGCTGAATGGTCGAGTACATGGTCAAAATGACAACACGCCCGGACTAACCACAGGTTAGCGATGAAAGGATAAACAGAGAGGAAAACTTACAGCTGGTTCAGTCGGGCCAAGCTTCTTAAGAAACCGAACAAATTGGCCCTTTTCCAACACAATCGCGCCGCCAAATTTGCGCGACTGTGATTTCACCGAGTAATAGAGGAGAATGTTTAAGCCAGGGAAATTGCGCTTAAACTCAGCATAAGTCTGATGAGTGGTGGGCACGGGGTTTAATATAAGAGTGGGAAAATAAACCGCGTCGCCAGGGAAAGACAAAGACGTTTGCAGCAACCGTGGAAGCCATGGCACGAGATGTCGAAGCCAAGGCCCTCCACCGTCACCTCACAAGTGCATCATCAAGATGTCCGAGTCAACGATGGATAAGATTACTGAAGCTCAAAGCGGTGCAGCTTATGAGAGTTCGGTTAAGGCAATCTAAGCCCAGACCGAAATAGTTGATGCAGCCGTTATGTATGTTCTACTCGCTTTTAGCAGTTTCTCATTTGTCTTCTTATGCTAATATCTGGTGATTCAGAGTTGACAATGAGCTCGGTCCTATAATTGCTAGTGGCCCAGTCTTGGGCATGTCCACCACAATGACGGCAAAGTTTTGCTCCTTCAAGTGCTCAGTAATCCCATCGAACCATATTCACATCTACGTCGGGATTCCACGCGAAGGATGCAGCTACACTTTCAAAGAAGCGCCAAAGTCCGTTTTTGATCGATTTCCTAACGCAAAGGGACGTGAAAAGGGTCTCACGATCATTCGGGTTAGTCTCACAGGAAGCCCGCGTCACAGTCAATGGTTTCGGCATGCCCTTTGCAAACGCGGATGACGCTGAAGTGGAAGGCTGGGTCAATGAAAACAAGCCAATCATATACAATTTATCCTTTGTTCTTAGGCAGAGAACATTATACCTCGTCATTCGCTTAGCTGTTGATATTGCCAGAAAGAGGTTTCCTGTGGACAAGCTGCTCCCCTTCGTCTATCCATACGGCACGGGCTAAGAAAGGGACGTTGACAAGTTCAAAGACTTGATCAAGTCTAATATCTTTTAAGAGATTCCAACTCTTCGCAGACGTTATGAACACGATTTACTTACGCAATACAAACTTTGCGAAACCATGTCGATTGCCACATTTCAGCGTGGCTTGAGGGGATACAGCGGCCATGTCGACAATCATTTGGCAATATCTTTGGTAGAACAGCCACCGTCCGAGTGGTCGAAGAAACTCTCTAGCTTATTACAATTACCATCATCAAAACGAGCATCGAGTAAAGCGTCGTCAAAGTCTATTTCTCTGATATGCAAGCAATCAAAGAGAATATACAAGCCTCGTTTTCGCGCGTTGTCAGCGACGGGGCAAAGTCTGCCGGCCGATTTACGCGTGAGGGCAATCCTAGATTGCGAGCATCGCTCCTTGCTGACCGTCTCAACAAACCATCTTTCAAGACACCCCTGAATCATCAGCCGTTGAACCACACAAACGGGTGCTCCCATCATGGTTATGGGAAATGCCTATACTCCCGATACAGTGGTGTTTGATCACATACACTAGCGGGATGCACAATAATTCCCATCCTCGACTTTCAAACTTCTACCGCGCAACTTACTGAATCGTCGACACTCGACACTAGCACCTAAGCCATGGCTTGCACCCTGACAAGAAGAGCGGTGGCATGCAATTGCATTGTCTCCCTCTCAAAGGAGTGGGTAGCAAGACTATGGATACTATTTCAGGTTCACACTATACTTGTCGAGTGAGAGAAAATCTTTTACAGAAATATACTCGTACCTTGAAAAAGCGTCACAAATATCTCAAGGCCCAAAATGGAGTTGAAGAGTGAAGTTTGGGGTTGGGAAGATTGGTGCGATTTGTGTTCACCTTCCGGACACAAACAGGGAGCGTGCCAACGCGAGCATGTCTTTACATCACGGATATGAAAACAATACACAAGAAAAACGGATACTCCTTGGCAGTCCGTCAATGGGTACTAGACGAATGCCAACGAAGCCACATGCAACCGGCGGTGCTGACTACTAGTATGGTCTTTGTGAACGTTGTTGACGGGCAAAAACAATACCAGAACGCGTCATACGTGAATGAGGCAAATGCGCGATATATCATGGAATTAGAGGACACATTTCCGTTCGAACTATCGATGACTGACCTTGTCACCAGACGGAAGTCGTGATTTGCGACCTCGTGCGTTCTGATAAATCAGGTTTCCTAGGCGAAGACGAATGCCTCGCCGCAATGACTACACGGGCCCAAGTCCTTACCATACTCGTCGGAAAAGAGGATGTCCTCCGCGCAAATGACGTACGTACAATGAAGAACTTATATGAATACTTGAAAACACGGAATGCCATCATAAAGTTCGCCGGCTGGGATGAATTGTGCAATTTGTGCCCGATGCCCAGAGCTACTTGGCGTATCATGTTGGTGGCTTGCCATCCACAACACATATTTTATCAGACCCATGCTTACCATGCGTGGCCTCTCTTGGCAGATTACCTCGGGGATCTTGGTGTGCAACAATATGATCATGAAACACACGATGGAAGGAGCCTTACATGAAGAGAACCCTTAGCACCTGCACCTAGAGGGGATATGGAACTATATTCGATCCAGATCCTCTATACGTATCTTGAATATACTCCAGAGATCCATAGTCACAGCACACAAATCAAGTTCAAAACATTTGATCATTCAAAAGAGGAAGAAACGGGATTTTATCTGGGGATTTTACGGCCGCCTTGCACACCGGTTTTACTGGTGAAAGCTTCAGACTGGTTCCAGCAATCACTCGAGCGTGAGGCATTTCGGGTTTCCTTTTGAACCACGGAATATTTATTGGACATGAACAGCCCGAGGTGATGGATACTCATGAGAATGGACGCCATTATCGATGGATCGAAGGCGTCACGGTGCTTCGCAGATATACATTTTGCCTTCATTTTCTTAACTATGAGGACTCTATATCATCTGTATACGCATCACCTGTTAAAAGATGCCAAAGTGAAGCTATTAGATGGCTTTGTCGATAACATTATAGCTCTCTTGCACAACATCTCGAAGTATTCATTCATAAAAACATTAGAAAATAAAGAAAATTTATCAACATTCCCAAATAGTAGATATCTCATCTATTAGCAATCTAAAAACAAAATGCAAACCCGTGAATCACTCGATCCATCACCCAAACAAACCCTTTGCCTTCACTCTTCTTCTCAAGTTACATCTCTAACACGTCTCTTTCCTCAAATCATATTCACTCCCCATAGAAGAACTCGCGGCTCCCTCGTCGTGTACCACCTCATCACCCTCGGCGTATCATCATACGAAACGAAAATGACATCCTTCCAATTGCGAGCCTCTATATGTTCCAACGCCGCTTTCAAGCCACTCGTTGGTATATCCTCTTTCTGCGTAGGTTCTTGCACTCTGAAGCCGTTTTCGGTTTGCTCGACAGGCATGATTATTGCCTTTTGGCTTTCTGTGTAAAAGGGAAAGACTCCTTCTAAAATGTCCATTAGCCCACCGAGGACATCATCCCTGAGACTGGCCCAATCTTCGGATGATATACGGATGGTTCCTTGATCTTCTAGCGAAGCCTTCGATTGAAGAGAAGACACGGCAGGTTGAACGGGTGATATTCTTTCTGTAGTTGATGTTTTATGTGTACGGAACATGTTCCGAAATGTCGAGAAGCACATGTACTTAGTCTTGGCAGAAGATCCACCTTCAAGCTTACGAAGTGCAATGTTTCGATGGTGTTGTATCTCGTCGGAATCAATCTCATCGCTCATAGAACTGTCAGGCGAAGAATGCGTGTGTTCTGATAGTATGCCAACGGATTGAGGATGAAACGGTTGATCCTGTTCCAAAGAGCGGTATTTCGAGGAAGAAGAAGAAGAAGTAAAAGGTTGCGATACTTGTCCAATGCTTACACTGCTTTTATCCTCTTGAGTGCTAGAAGTTGCCGATAGCAGACGGGTTATGAGTTCCATCAGTCTCTGAGATGATGATTTAGAGACATCACTCGCGTCAGAAAGGCTGTTATCAAGAACCGATGAAAAAGACGAGGTCGAATATGACCAATGGCTTTTGAAAGCAGGATCATTGCTGTTATGAGCAGCCGTATGGCCCCATCTCTTAGATAATTCATCTAGACTTAGGTCAACTTCATCATCAAAAGATGTCTCGCGTGGATCTTCCTCATCGAGACGGAACGCCTGTCGCCACATTTGTCTATCCCGGAACTGAATCCGAAACTCCTCATACTCCCACCAAGAGTTGAGTCCTCTTTGAATCCTGAGTGGGAAGCATATTCTAAGCACCGGTCGTTCCTTGGAGATGACAGAAGTGAGTTTTTGGATAACGGGGGAGTGCTTTGGAACCCGAGGAGAAGAGGGCGACAGGAAGGGGAGTATGTTAGCAAGACTGGCTAGAGGCATTGTGAGAGTCTCTGGAATGTTGTGGTGGTCTTGGATGGTACATGGAGTGGGATTGCCGTGACGATACGGTTGTTAAGAGGGACATTTTATGGGATATTAGTGGAAGAGATGGATAGCACAGAATTGCAAGAACAGAAGATGAAGAACCAAACAGTTCTCTTTTTGAATGCAATGAGAATACTCTTGTCATATTGTACGCCTGTGATTGTAAACGGTTGGGTTCATCTCAAAGAGCATAAATGTGCGCGCATTCATTCATTCATTCATTCATCCATTCACTCACCATGTGTTCAATCACTCATTCATTCAACAAGGCAATCCCATTTGAACTATGGCTACCGCTTTGGAGATGAGAAGAAAAAAAAAAAGGAGGGTTCTCTCTTAAGCTTTCCTCCAACGTGGTGTACTTCCAACTCCGTAGAATGTCTATGTAATACAAATAAAAATTGTACGCTATGTACTAAGATGTCATCACCAATGCCGGCCAGATAAAGACCCCAAGCAAAGTCCACAATAGAAACTCCTTTGTACCAATTTGCCACTTTCTCTCCCCCCATCTCATAAATCCAGGTGATACTTCGGTGGTATCTGAAGATCCTCTCTTTTTGTAGCAATGTGAAGTGTAAACGTGATTCGATTATATATGTATTCTGTGCGGGGATGTTGCTGCTTTTGTAATGGCAGAGCATATCCTTTGATGTAATCTTGTTCAATCGCTTCAACCGTCGGCGTCATGCGATCGCCTTTTTTCGGTTCATGACGATGTTCAAGTGACGCGCCCCTGTGTTTTTGTGACATAGGTCTCGGCATATTTCTGTTCTTGTCCAAGCATCTGAGCGATTTGATCCAGAAGAAATCCGGACCAGCCTCTCTTGTAATTGACATACAAAGGAAAGAAAGAAAAAGTAAGCCAAAGAATGCGGTTGTAATTTTCATGGGGTGCAATCCAATGGATCACTGCCGTCTTTATGTCGCATATGATAATAGCAAAAATATTTGGGATCAGGGGTAGTCGGCCATCTGTTCTGTGTCTGAACAATTCGCTTAGGAGAGACTGCAGCATCAGCCCATGCGTCGTCTCTTGTTCTCGCGATCAGGACTATCGTTCAGCCCAAAATCATCCCGTTGAATCTCTTCGGTCCCAGTAGGGCTTGGAGTGTCGAATTTGTGGTTGAGCCCATGGTTGAGCCCTTGACCGAGCCCGTCTGCGTCGAGATTAAAGTTGAAATCCGACCCGTCTCCATAGTGAGTAGCGTCGTTCAGGAAAGCGTTACTATCAAAGAACTGGTCGAGATCAACATTGGGAGGGTCAAAGTAAGCTTCAGTTCCATCTTCCAGGCCGGGAATGTGTCCGGACGGGCTTAATGGACCCAAGATGTCGCTCAGTTCGTGGATTTTTGCGTCTTGTTCGCTCTGTAGACGCTTGAGCTGCTCCAGGTCGCTTTGGTTCGTGCTAATATGCTGCAGAGAGGGAACAGGCATAGTTGGTGACCGCAAGATCGGTGAGAGTGAGGGTGCTGCAGCAGTGCTTTGTTGTGCTGGAGACGGAACAGATGATGTGGTAGCTGGTGTAGACATTTTTGCTAAAGGATCAGATACAGCAGGTATGTTTGGCATCGCGGAAGCCGATGACTGTGCTGCCATAAGATTGACTAGCTTGCTTCTTTGGTCGCTGCTCAATGTGTTTGGGGCGTTGTTGACAAGTTCGGCTGCTTCCGGCAGATCAAGGCCCGCCGAATTGCTTGCATTGTGGTCGTTTATTATCTTCATCATCCGTTCGTGCGGGTTTGTCTCGAGCTCCTGTCTCAAGCTGGGTGTCGAATCTGACGGCGATGTGTCAAGAAGCTCAGTGACGTGTCCCATCTCCGGATGAGCACCAAGGGGATGATACGGCGTGCTGCTCGTTGATGGTGAACGGCTTGGCTGAGCCACCGCCTGAGCAGCTTGAGGAATTGGTGGAAGGAGCTTTTGAGACTTCCTCGGAGTGGGAACGCCAAGTGAGCTGGCAGCGTTGGCTTGAGCGCTAAAGTAATCGCCCAGATCTACAACACTGCCTTGATGGGACGATTGCTGGCCCTGGTTCGCCATCAAGCTTGAGATGATGTCGGTAACATTCTGCGAGGTCCCTTGATCCTCCAGCGTTTTTCTGAAGACGTTGGCCAGGAAGTTGAGAATCGCATTGATTGAGTTCTGATGCCGGTCGTGCTGGGTCTGGAACATAATCGCCTGATTGTACAAGTCATTGTTGTTTCGCTGCAAGCGGTTGATTGCACCAAGAATCAGCTTTTGCTGCTCTCTCACTTTCTGCAGCTCCTCCTTGATCAGTGCCATCTCCTTTTTGGGGAGAGGCTGCGATTCTGTTCCTGGGGCGGCGGGTAGGGAGCGGCCTGCGGTGTTGGCGACCGGAACACCCTGGTGACTTGAGGTCTCTTCATGACCACCATCCTCTTCGCTGTCGCCATCGCCATCCTGGCCCTTGTTCCCCTTTTTAGACTTGCCACCGCTCTTGGGCTTATTAATCAGCCATAGAAGATTCGGGTGCCCCCGGCGGAAGTAAGGATTTGAGTATTCGCTAGGGCTCTTATTTTTACGCTCACTTGCGCGCATCGAGTTGTCAGAAAGTCCCACGCACTTATGGAAGCCGTACATGTTGAGCTGTCGGACAAAGGACGCGTAGTTGTTGTGTTTGAATAGCTCCGGAATTAACGTCTTTGCAAACTCATCCTCGTCAAGCACAATGAAAGAATCGCCCTTTTCGGACCACCGAATCAAGTCTTCGTTTTTTCGTTCCTCAAGGAAGCTGGTGTAATGGTTAGGTTTGATATATCACTACTGGAACCCGAGATTGAGGAGAAGCTTACCTGCTCAGCTTCTGAACAAATGGCGGAATCTGCTTTCTTTTGGCCTGGGCCTCTCTCTTGGCCTTTTGAGCCATTTCTTCTAAAACTTCTACATTGTCCTGTCCAGCCCCGCCTTCTGTGGCATTCTGAGGGACGAGAAGGTTATCCTCCCCAAAGCCAGACCAGTCCGAGGAAGGCTCATAAGACGCTCTAAGATTGGTAGGAACCAGAGCGCGATTCATTTGTCGGCGTGCGAGCGAGTTTGACGGCGCGCCAACGGCCTGAGGATACGTCGGCTGTGTCTGCGCAAGTCCGTAGGGATTCTCGGTATGTGCGGCGGCAGCACTGAAGTAGTCGGTGGCATCGGCTGTGCCGTCAGTGCCATTCCACTGCATCACAGGATTCGCTCCGGCGACATTATCGGTTGCATAAGCCTGTTGCATATTCCGCTGGATCGGTACGATTGGCGACGCACCGGGGGCGGCTCGTTTCCGGGAGTTTGGTGCAGACATGGGGATGAATATACGGCCGCGTGCTGGCCGGTCGCTGAGAGGTGTAGGGCAAGGAGTCGCGCGACAGGCACCGAGGCCTTGTCAAGGACTAGATGAGGCTCCGGTCGCGATATGGGGAGGCGATGGATGATGCCTTAGCGCAGTGCCGCGGCCCAAGGCAATATCAGCAATCTGCGTCCCGAAATGCAGGCTGATGTCCTGCGTTCAGCAACAGCAGATAGGCAGCAAGCGGGCGCGCGGATGAGCTGGCACCTGACTCTCCGTCTCGGCCAGAGAACACGTCAACTCTAGGCCGATGGCTCGAGATTGGAAAAGCCTGGGGTTCGCAGTGGCAGCACAAGCAGGTCGATGATCCGAACAAGCTGCAGCAGAATCGCAGACGGGGAAAAGAATTGCAGACAAGCAAACCGTGTTGCTCAAGGTTTCGTCGAACGCGCTGCAAAAAGAAGCTTGGAAGAGGCACTCTGTCGGTAGCGGCGCCTTGGAAGGATCTACGGGCTAGGCGGCAACCCAAGCTCTGGAGATTATGCGGCGCGACTTGTTGGGTTTCGGGCGGATTGTTGCACACTGTCGACGCAGCGGACCGAAATTTCTGCTTCAGCTGGAGCGATTTGTCCTCCCGGTCGCGGCATCGACGGGTTCTGGCGTGTTCAATGTTGGCGGAAGGGCTCGTTTGCTGGGCTGGAGCCAGATTTGTAGCCCGGCTTGACTGGCGTTTGAAGATTGCGAAAATGCTTTATGATTACCGCAAGAGTATTTCGCAGTGGGTTCGGTCAAGTCTCGTACTAGCATGTCATCGGTATCGCGGCCGAGCACAACCAATCAGCGCACAGATTGGAATGCGTTGGAGAAGCAAGGCTGCCTACCATGTCAAGATGATGACAGAAAAATAGGCACCAAGTTGAATAAGTACATACAAATTTGTAATACGAGCACATATCCCACCAATTAGGGCTGCTGTTGTATGCGCATACTTCCAGCGTGTGAGTTCATAATTTTTTTCAGTTCAGACTTTTCTGTCCCACGCTGCACGTGATGATAAGAAGCTACAAAGAAAAAAAAGTGTCCGCCGAAACAATTATCACCTGTTATCTCTTTGTTCTGTCGAGCCTCTATTTATCAATGTTTCTAGAAACATTTCAAAATTAGAACCATGAATAGCGACTTATAATACTACAGTGATGCAATAGCTTATCATGTGTGAATGATGGTTTACTTGAAATTGCTGACTCGCTCAACACATGGGCTGACACTCACATGGAGAGCATCTTAGTCAAAAAAGACAGACTTACATGATGCATGCAGCAGAGTCCACAATAAGAAACGGAGATCCTTGCCCAATGGGGAATCACAATGACTTCCAACCCATCCCATTGAAAGAAATGTCCAAGAAAAAAAGAAGAAGAAAAGAACTTCTAAATATAGATGATACACAAACAACCAACCTACCGCTTGCGTCTTCTATGACTGTTGGACTCTTTTGTCTTTTTCCTCATCAATTGTCTCCATTTTTTGAGTGAAAAGCAAAAAGAATGCTGAAGCTCTCTCCACCTCGGAGAAGGGCAAAAAGCAATGTCCTCGGTGAGGCTCGAACTCACGACCTTCAGATGGCCCAAACTGGTGTTTGGATCATATCGATGTCAATATGAGACTGACGCGCTAGCCAACTGCGCCACGAAGACTTGGTTGTTGAGAGCCATGGCGTCCATAATGCAGACTAGAAAGTTAGTTTGGCAACAGAGGCAGCAACTCGCAACTTGAACACACAATTCTTCGATTGAATCAGTCGTGAATCATCATTTCGGCATTGGTGGGGAAGAAATGAAAAACAGCGTGTAGCAGTAGTCCTTGTCTAGCGCCAAAATACTGTCTGGGGCTGAATATTTGCTTGACTCGTTTGAAGAGAATGCTGTGAGTAACTCTCATCATTATCCAAGTTCATGATGTTCTCGGATGGATTGTTTCTATATTCTCCCACAAATTCATAATGTGATACAACCCTAATGAAAACAAATTACAAACTGGCTACCGCCCATCTCGTAGTACTCCATACGCTACGCCATAGTGCCAAATATCAATATAAAGAAACATGACGATTGTCGCTATTCATTTCGCCCCTCTGCCGGCCAGAGAAGCAGCCCTCGCCATTTGAGCGTTTCTTGCCTGATCCCATGCCCTCCCAGATCCACCAGCTCGAGCCTCTCGCTCAGCCCGTTTCTCCTCCTTCAATGTCCGTGATTTCTCCCGCGGATCAATGACGACCAGCTCCTCTTCAGCTTTCCTTCGGTTGCTGAGATCTTTGCCCAGCCTATCCGCCGCAAATGAAAGAGCGTGTGACATCCAGCCTTCGTCATCGCTCTCCTCCTTTTCATGTTTATCCCAGGATGTGCAGCTCTGGCAGTTTGCAATAAAATGCAAGTCGCATTGCTCTGCCTCGTCATCCTGCGAGGGTTTCTCTGCTTCGCTCTGTTCATTTTCAACAGGATTCTCAGTGACCAGTTCCTTTGATGGCGGAGCCTTGTCGAGCTTCGCCTGAAACGCCCTTAGTATACGAAGAGAAGCTTGGTCTTCGGTTGTTGTGGTGTTATTGCCACCGGGCCGTCTTTTTCTTCCTCGTACGGACGTCTCAGGTATCATTGACTCTAACGCTGTTTTCTTTATTTCCTTGACAGGCTCTGCAGAATGAATTGTCCTCCTCATTGAAGCCTTGAGGGCCGCCAGCTCTTCATTAGCTTTCTCTAGCGCGCTCTTTTCCTGGACCGGTTCTGGCTCGGGCGACGGCTCAGGGGTCGGCTCTTTGCGCTTCTTGGGTACGGGTATATCTCTTTGCCTCTCTTCCTTCTCTTCGTCGCTGTCCCGGGTATTTGAAGCTGGCTCTTTTCCTTTATCTTGAGTCGTTCGCGTCTCATTCGCTTGCTTATCTGAGCTTTTGGGTTTGGAGGGCTTTGGCTTTGAGCTCTTATCTTGAGATGCAGGAGCCTCATTCTCCTCTTCCATGATTAGCCTTGTGTCGAATTTGGTTTTCTTGAACACGGGCACTTCTTCGTCACCCTCTTCGTCTCCAAAGCTGAGCAGCTGCTTTCCACCCTTTCTTTTCTTCTTCTTCTCCTTTTCCGCCTTTGGCTTTACTTGTGTTTGTGCCACTCGCGACCGCTTCGTCATATCGTCGAATGGATTGATCAAGATCTCCACGCTTGTAATCTTGACTGGGTATAACGGTCGCTCGTTCGCTTCATCGACTTCTGACTCGCCAATTTTCGCCAGATTGTAGATTGTGTCTCCAGCAACTCGACCAAACATTGTGTTCCTGCCATTCAGCTCCTCTGCCTTGTCCAGCGTAAAGAAGAATTGGCTGCCGTTTGTGTCGGGCTTCCCCTCGTTGGCCATTGCCAAGATGCCACGTCGATTGATCTTGAGCCGGGAATGGAACTCGTCCTTGAAGTTGATGCCATTGGGTCCTGCGTTCTGTCCCTGTCGCTGGTCCATGGGCCAGGGATCCAGATCGCCGCCAAAGGCGCCTCCATCGTAGATTGACTCGCCACCATTTCCAGTTCCTGTGGGATCGCCGCCTTGCACGATGAAGTTTGGAACAAGTCGGTGGAAGATGGTGCCGTCGTAATAGCCATCAAGACAATGCTGCAGAAAGTTGCGGCACGTCAGCGGCGTCTGTTTGGCAAAGAGCTCGACGTGAATCTCTCCCAATGTCGTGTGCAGAATCGCCGAGCCTGTCGGCTGTGGCTCGAGGTTGTAAATTGCCGACATGGCTGGCTGTGCGTCATAGAATCTTGAATTACAGCGAGTCGCAAAAGCTGGTAGTTCAACCACGCGAGCTGAGCTTTTGAGGCATCGCGCCAGACCCACTGTTATCGATAGCTCACAGGTACTGCCCCTGCTACTGAGAATTCTCGAGTATCATACGCCAATATTGCTGAATCAAGATATCACAAAAGGATCAGGCCCATATTTCCATTCCTATGACGAAAATGATTTTATTGCTTTATTAACTTTCAAGCTGCGATTGTGTTGACTACTACCATGCATCCTTCCGTTGACTTACACGACTCACGCTCAACATCTGGTCTCAGAAGTTACCCTAGAAAGAACAACATTAGAATCCTGACCAGCACAACTACATCAGGTAGGTAGGTTTCTGGAATTCAAAGGATCTCAGCTGTTTTCTTAATAAATAAACAACATGTATTGATAGTGTTGCTATTTCGTTTAAATATAATGAGGCCGCCAGGTGAGGTGCAGCATGAGTCTCCGTAGAGAACAAGAGTTAATCCTCCTTTGTTGCCATACCCATCATTTTGCACCACCCCTAAGCATCCTATCTCCTCGAAGATGAGATCGACACATTTCCAGAACCGTGGGAACACTTGCAGCCACCAGAACATTGAGTAGACTTCTGGGAGCCTCCTGATGAATGGGTATGCGCGCCATATCCGCTGGATGACGTGCCTCTGCTAGACTTGGACTAAATGGATGGATTGTTATTGATGCCAAGATTAATATGAAGTGTGTATCTCGAGTCATACTTGCGAGCTCTGCATGCTAGATGAAGCATCTTTGGTCATTCCGTACCCCGGCATCTTGGTGGCTCGTATTGAGTTTGCGTTGTATAGAAGGAGAGGTGAGTGAAGGAAGCAATATTGATTGAAAAGCTCTTGATGATTCTATGAAACGAAGGCGGCACTGAATGGGCTTTTATACATGCAAAAGCCATCATAGACAAGAGCCTCGTGGAGGTGTTATTACATGATAGGCGTTCTGAAAACGCATGACGACTGGCTGGCCATCAAGGTGTGTACAAAGAATGCATCAAGAAAAGAAAGGAAAAATTCTCAGCAGCGCCTACTGTACTGCATAGGTTGGGGATATTGTTAGGCTGCGCGACAATTCTCATGGTGTTGCACTCTATGCGGCTGGCCAGTTGGCACGTGCTTCGCCATTCTATACATGTAGATACCTACCTAGGTATGTAGTACCTGTAGTAGTCATTGGCGATGACTGATTTATGCCTAGTAGATTAGTCCTCTCAGATCTGGTATCTTATGTTTATGCGGACTGAATCACAAAGAGTGATCCATGACATGGAAGCAGTATATTGTAGTTGATTGAGAAGTACTGCTGCTTGGCCCATCGACTAACGGTACTACTCGGTGAGATTGATGCCCTTCCATATAGAGGCTCGTGTTACATTGCTTGAAGTACTTTGGGAAAAGAATTGATGCCCGATGAGCTGAGAAGCCCGTGTCTTTTGAAATCGTCCAACATGAAGAATTGCATTCCAGTGCCATGTAGCTGTGACAATGCCTTGAGAGTCCAAGTCAGAGCATCCCTCTGAGCCTGAGCTAGCCGTGAGCTTAAGGCCGTGCACGGGGAGTCGGACATGGTAATGGAACCGATTGGTGGAGGGCTTCAGGCATGAGAGCCACTCCACAGCTTGATGTTAGTTTTCACTTGTAACATGACATGTGATGTTCAGGATTGAAGCTGGTCTTGAGTTGGTCAAGCTATCTGTAGGTGTTTCATACACAAACTGACCAATAGCATCCGATGCCGCCTACCAACTCTGCATGTATGCTTCGTACTACTAATGTAGGCAAATCATGAAACAATGTCTGGAATCAAAATGACGGCCCAAGTGGAGGAAGCCAATCGGCGGATGGTTGGAGCTCACCAAGCTAAAACCCGCGCCAGCCAATCCATGGCTGCTACAGCGGAAACTTGGGGGGGCTTAGCGAGGCACGTCAGCACCCAGCCCCCCCAATTTGTCACAGCTACAGCGCTAATCGATGGATGTGCCGATGCAAGCTCAGGTGTGTCACGTCACTGTCGTCACAACACAGCACAGGTCAGCAGCAGAGCTTCAAGTCCGATTCCTGTTTTTCTTCTTTCCGACACCACTACACCACTACCTGGATCTAGGCGGAGAGGTCATCGCGTGGGCATTGCATCTTTTGCTGCTGTCAATTGCGTGGTTTCAGCGTCCTGACATTCGTGATTCTCTAATTAATACCATCATCCTTCTCGTTAATAGATTTACACCCCCTGCTGCTAGACAAGATGAATCCCGCAAAGCTTCTCGAGGAGCACCAGGCTGCCGTTGCCCAAATCCAGAAGCAGGTCAAGCACTTCTACGACAACAAGAAGCCGTTCCGCGTTTACCATGGCTCGACAAGCTCCACGCGCCCACTGTCCTTCAAGGCGGACGCCATTGTCGACACGAGCGCCATGGACCGCATCTTTCCTGTCAATCTGGAGACCATGACCGTGCAGGCCGAGCCCAAGGTGCCCATGGATGCCCTGGCTGCCCACACCCTCAAGCACGGTGTCATTCCCAAGATTGTCATGGAATTCAAGGGCATCACTGTTGGCGGCGGCTACTCTGGCTTTTCCGGCGAGAGCAGCATGTACCGCTATGGCCTCTTCAACAATACCATTTCCGAGATCGAGATTGTGCTTGGTGACGGCACGCTGGAAACGGCCAACCGCGAGCACAATGCGGACCTGCTGGAGCATGCTGCTGGCAGCTTGGGAACCTTTGGCCTTGTCACCCTGCTCACCATTGAGCTGATTCCGGCCACTCCCTACGTCAGACTGGACATCCAGCTGGTGGACGACGTTGCCAAGGCCCACGACTTGTTTGAGGAGGCCACCAAAGACGAGTCGATCCACTTCATCGATGGCGTCTACTTCCGCAAGGGCACCATTGCCGTCATGTTTGGCCGTTTTGTCGACGTCCTGCCGCCGGGCAAGTCTGCTCTCAAGAAGATGGAGGTTCACTGGTTTGCCGACACCATCGAGGACGTCCTCAAGAAGAAGCCCACGCCCGAGAAACCCGCGGAACTCTACATGTACACGCCCGACTACCTCTTCCGCTATGACCATGGTGCTTTCTGGGGTGGCAAGCTTGCCTTTAAGCACTTCCACGTGCCCGAGAATGCCATCACGCGCCGCCTGGCCGACCCCTTCCTCGACAGCCGTACGTGCTACCATGCGCTGCACAAGTCTGGCCTTGCCAACGAGTATGTCGTTCAAGATTTTGGCATTCCAGCGAGCACGGTCAAGGAGTTTATTAGCTTCGTCAATGACACATTGCCGGAGCTCATGATCTTCCTGGCTCCTTGCAAAGCCCCCAAGGAGATTGGCTTGACATCTCGCTTCAACGCCCGCGTCGACGAAGTTTCGGACCAACGCATCTTTGCTGTTGGCGTCTATGGCCGTGGACCTCGTGACCCGAAGGCGTTTTACGAACTCAATCGCAAGCTCGAGCTGCGAAGCGCCGAGCTCATGGGTGCCAAGCTCTTGTACGCTCGAACCTATTACACTGAGGACGAGTTCTGGCTCATCTACCGCAAAGACGTCTACGACGAGATGCGTAAGAAGTACAAGGCAGAGACTCTGCCCTCAGTCTACGACAAGCTCAAGGCAGACATGGAGACCGGTGCTGGCAAGCGGAGGCCTGTGCGTGGCATTCTCGAGACTATGTGGGACAAGGCCGTCGGCAACAAGGCTTATATCCCTGTGAAGAAATAAAGATCCTCCAGGACAGTGGCAACTCATCATTGCCTGTCCATGTAATGCCAAGGGGACGGTTGTTTACGTGACATGTTGGATATGTCTACCTAATTACAGCGCTTCGTCAGCCTGTGTGATAGATACCCCTGACTTTCTTTCTTTATGCTCTCTGATAGAGCGCTACTTTTCTTTCTCTATTCTAGTTTTCCGATGGAATACTATTCAATGATACCAAGGCAGTTCTTGTCTATTGCATTCCATAGAATACAATCCTAAATTTATACTTTGCCTCTTTGTAAGAGTACTGCTAAATACGTCTTCTTGTATGTACGTGACATTGTATCTTCCCATTCTTAATCATACATGCCGATAATTTCTCCCACAACGCTACGGTAAATGCCCTTTGGATCGAATTTCTGTCGCACGGCTTTGAACCGAGCAAGGTACTATATCCAGCGAATTTAGTTATGCTCAAAACGAAGGGAAGTGGAACGACTTACGCTTGGGTCCAAGTTTTTGACAGAACGCTTGAAAACATCGCGGGTGTTCTTGGTCCAGTGAGGGCGGCATGGGAACTCATCGACCAGTGTGTTGGCCAGATTGATATCTGCAAAGTGATATGAGATGAGTATCTACATCCTTTTCGTGTTGGGATGCCATGAAAACTTACAGAAAGCCTCGTTGTATCGCTTCTGATCCCCGAGACTGGGTCGGAAAGAAGGGAAATCGAACATGATGGCCCCCTTGCTCCAGTCTTGCTTGTCAGCCGTGCCAGTCGTGACCTGGCCGAGCAAGTCAAAATGCGCCTTGCCGAACTTGATGTTGATGCCACTCCGGTACGTCGCAGCCATGGGCATCCACTTGGCCGCTTCAGCATCGAAAAGGGCGCGAATGCGCTTCAACACCTCGTTCGCCCTGGTCACAGGAAAAGCCAGCTCGAGCGTATATCCCTTGAGCCCGTACTCCCACTCGGGCTTCTGTCCGGGGTACAGCCCGCCGATGAGGACGTCGTAGTTCCATCCGTAGACGGGCCACTCCGTGATGGCCTCGTCGGTGACTTTGTCGTGGAAGTTTGGCTTTTCCCAGAGCCCGAAGAAGATGGCCTCGGCGGCGAGGTTGGGGATGGAGCTGATTTTGCCGCTGTTTAGGAGGACGACGGCGGCGCCTGCTTCGAGAGCTGTTACGGAGAATGTGGATTGGAAGCCTTGTTGGCTGCTTGTGTTTGTGGGCACGATGTCGTATGTGCGCCAGTGGAACTTGTGCTGGGATGGCCACCACTGCATGGCAATATAAGTATTTCCACTTAATCAAGACATATGAAAGGAGTTCAAGCTTACCCAGAAGTTGGCTGTCAAGTATGGCGAGATGAGCTTGTAGATATCTCCATTGAGGACATCATTCTCTTCGAGGCTGCGAAAAGTAAACGTTAGATTGAACCACTGGAAGCCCAATATTAGGAGAGACAGAAGACAAGACCAACGTTGTTTGCATGGCATATACTTTGGTCTCTGGAAAGATTTGCATCTTAATCCTGGCAATAATACCCAACAGGCCCAAAGATGTTGAAGCAGCAAGCCAATCGTCGTTGCTTTCATCTCGCTCGATATGTCGAATATCTCCATTCCCATCAATGATATCCAGCGCGAGCACACCGCCAACCACCACCGCATCCTCTCTCAACGACGTGCGATGCGCTCCCATGGCAATACTTCCTCCTAGAGTAATGTTCCAGTTGACCAAGCCAGTGCCGATATTAGCGCCTCGCTCATGAAGGTATTCAGCAAGCTGGAAAAAGGTGACGCCGCCCTCGACCACCACAGAGCCGCCATCGAGGTCAAAGTCGGAGATGCCGTTGACAAACTCGGTGCGAATGATGACCGTCTTATCGTCTGAGCACTGGGTATCGTACCACATGTGACCTCTCCCACCGGCACGGACTTGCAGGCCACGGCTGGAGGCGTCTTTGACAAGATCCACCATCTCATCGACGCTGGTTGCGTTGTGGACTTCGACCACGTTATGACATGATGGAGATCCCGGGCCGTCAAAGGTGTAGTATTCAAACGCCGATGCTGTGCCTAGGAGCACGCTGGCTAGGGCAGAGAGAGAAAGAAGCATGGCGAAGCTTTAGTTGTCCAACTCTCAACCTTTAAAGTGAAGAGATATGTGAGGCAGGTGGTCGAGTTGAGGTCGAGTCTCTCCTCACGTAAGATGTAACTGGGCTGACGATACCCTTATTTATAGGGGCCTACCGAGCTGCCATCCCCCCCCTTGACTTCGCTTCTGCAAACATGTTGCCAAAGAAAAGACTCTCGTTGTTGTTGAATGCATTTACCGTTGATGCTAATGTTCCTCGTGACCTAAATGCAATATGGCAGCCGCGGCTGCAACACCTCGTTTTGCCCTGTCTCAGTATCTGCGCCGTTGCTAAAGCACATGTGAAAGGCGACCAATTCCTCTCATTTAGGAATCGTGACCGAACAACCTGCCCGTATTCACATTGCACTTCTCCGGGCCATTGTACGGATGCGGCGCTTCACTCGCATGGTGCCCTCCATCGTCATCTTATACGACCGGCAATTGGCGGGCATGCATATTGTCTCTCTCTGGCGAGGAAAGGATCGTCACGTTTCCTCTCTGGAACGGTTTTAGCTCTCCGCGTTTGCTTTTAAGTCTAAAGTAACGTTATAAAGAGCTTCGTGCGGGGGACGAATCGTGTTTTGGGATTTGGGGCTGGGGGAGATGAATTGGCTAGACTGGTTCATGCAATGGAACGCTAGGAGACAAGGAGACACACGATGAGAGCAGAAGATGCGGGGAGGATGCTAGCGAAACTGCGGTGATGCCAAACCGACTTTTTTTCTCTTTTCTTTGGAATTATTTATTCGGGGAGTGGCTTTGATGTTTGTCGGGTTGGTTGTGCCACGCTGCGATTGACGTAGTAAGGAGCTCTCAATGCTACCAGCGCTGATGTATACCAATCTTGTTTATGTGTAAATATGGCTGTATTTTGTATTCAGACATCATGAAGTTGATGGCATCGTTAACGCTCGCAAATTAATTCTGCAACAGGACCAAAGAGGCTAAAATCTACCTGTCAAGATTCGGACCTTTTGAATAGCCTTTGTCTGGTCCTGATCAGCTTCCACATCAAGACATTGTTGTTACATCTACGTCCTGCATGACTATTGTATCGGAGTCCGCGGACCCGCGATTGTTGCTTGGGCTTTGTGTACCATGCAGTGTCTTTCCATGTCTTGTTCCTTTGAGGCCGCATTTAATATGTTTACTGCAGTTGAACAGAAAGCGCTGGACAGTCTCGCTGTCGAGTTTTCAAGCTCAGCCTGAACAACACTTCAATTCCTCCCAAGAAATTAAATATATACATTATTTGATCTCTGCCCATATTTTGGGTCATAGTTCACTGGTTCACACAAGTCTGCTATCGATGTCGACTGAACGTCCATCCGTGCCTTGTTTTCGGGCGCTTTCATAAAGGTTTCCTTGGCTTAGTAGCTAATTGGAAAAAGGCATCGTCCCTAGAAATAAATAGCGATAAGAATATATCAGACCTTATGCCGCCAACATCAACAAAACTACAATACTGCATGTCTGAACTTAGGGGTTAGGAACTTTTATACCTACCTTCCTATGAAGAGCTTGGTTATAATATTTACAAACAAGATCCACCTCCAACAAAAGTCAATGGCTGGAGTACGAAGTATATATACTTTCATGTGCCCGATCTGGCAGAGTTATACCGTGTGCCAATTTGATCAAATCAGCTGTTAATTATACCTGGTGCGTCTCAGCTATATTACTCATGCCAAATGCTGTCACGCCATGTGTTCGGCTGTTGCGACGCATCTCAGCCAACTTTATGCAGCCCAGCCCTGATTATACAGCTCAGCTACTGTCCCGCAACTCAGCTATTGCCATGGGTATAGATCTCATCGCAAAGTCGTAACAATTATGGGGCCATTGAAGAAAAAAACGCAATATGATTTATCAAACTGCGGTATCAAGGTGAAATGCTACGGCTAGCAAAATATCTGATAGCTGGATATTTGAATGGAATACCTGTAATGCCTATAGACTAATATATATGTGAGATGCCTATCGTCTCTAACGCTGCATTATTTTCAGCTTTTACTTCTTTATTAGCGACTTTTGGGATAGTTTAACGGTGCTTGATATTAATAGCTTTTGGAATGACTCATTAATACCTAAAAACACGGCACATAGATTCAAAGTATTCACGGCTCGATATAGTCCCCACAAAGGTAAAGGACCCGATTCCGAGTCCTTGACCCCTCGCCTGGTAGTCAAGGATATCTCTTCCTTTCATCATAGAATTGTACTCCTGGAATGAGTAGAAAGGCATTGTGCAACTTAGTTACAAGGTAAAAGACAGCCCCGGTAACCTGCAGAGGGAAATGACTGTGTGCGCGTGCTCACTTGCGTATGGCATCTAGGCTGTCAAATCTGGTACAACTCACCCCCTTGTATCGGATTCTTTTCAGACAAAGTGCATGCACAATTGCCACAACCAAGTAATATAGAGTCTTGCGATTCGAGAAGGCGGCGGGTAAAATAGATGATGGAAAGCAAAACGCTCCATTGTGTAGAGGAAATAGGTCTTGTTGTTAGTCGGATCTACGGAATGTTCCGTCGGCTCAATTGAGCCGTGTCAAGCATAGCGCCAGCCACAACCTCGTGTTAGTCGAGACGATGCTGGCTCTCGGGTAATAGAGTAGCCAAAGGAAAACTGCGCATTTCATGCTTGATCATCCTGATCGTTTCTTCCCCAACCGACGTGCCGTCTCCTGTTGAGGGTGTCGTTACGGAACGAGTGATAATGCCGCTGCTCCGTCTCGGATTGGAGGGCTTCAAGAGTGGCATCTCTTTGGAGCCTAGCGGTTTCTCGCTGCCATTTTAATCCGTAGCTCGCTTCGTATATCCGTGGCTAGCTTCTGCTTACCCTCGACGTGTAATTAACGTGATGTGTGGCTTGGGTTTGATTCATCTGACAGAGACACTTGGGAGTTCCCGTCGGCCCCTGCGGTGTAAGAACTTGGTCATATGGATGTCACTGTCAAGAAGTTTGAAATAACCTCCAAGAAAGGAGAAGAAAGCGGGAAATCAACAATGATGGCTCGGAGGTGTTAGATAATAAGTTGTTGGTACGAATATCCTTGAAGAATTTTAGCTCCTCTACTCCGTACTGTATTTGATCCGTCTGAAGTTAGATCATGTGTGGGAGGAGCCACCACCCCGCACCATCTTTATTTTCGGTTCAAGATGCATGTTTACTCATCTTCGGACCCCTACTAATCGAGGAAATATTTGGAGAACCAACATCTACGGAGTACAAATCATCTTTTTGCCATAGAGATGCAGCTGATGACCGTCTTACTCAAACGCTGGCGAGACTCACTATCGCCGAAGACTATGCAGGTCGGTCTATATCGCCGATGTAGCTACAGCCGGGAGCTTGAAGCTCAACAGATCGCTGCACAAACTACCGAATAACCGAGGCCAGGAACCGAATTCGCTCCTAGCGCTGCGTCCAGGCTGCGCGAAGCTGCGTGCAAAAGGTACAAGCGTCCGATAGAGATACGCCAAGGCGACAATAATCAAGGCTTACGATGCTTAATGCAGCACGTGTTCATATCAGCGCCGCCGCTGTGGAGATTGTAGCCTGTCAACGAGATTGAGCAGTCCGGTCTCCGGGTTGGAGTTGTCGCGGGAACATGTCAAGCAAATCAACGACTGTACGAGTACGGAAATCTCCGCCCCCAGATACCGTATTACAAGAGACGCTTGATGATGGTACAGATACCTGTGTGTATGCACACTTACGAGTATATGCCATTATGTTTGCGCTTGACTAAACCCATGGCCACAATGGCATGTTCCCCAGGGTATGCCTGTACGAACACTGCGGTTATCTGGAACACACGGACTATCGTGCATGTTCCATAGGACCGGCCAAATCCTCTAAGACTACCACTCCGTAGCGGGCCGAGACCTGTCTATTTTCAACCACTGGCCAACAACTGAGCTCTCGGTGAGACGGATGTTGAGCTCACTCGAGGCCCACGCCGGCTGCAAGGAAGCCTGGGGAAAAGGGTCAGGGTCAGCCGCACCTATTCCATAAAAGACCTGGTCCAAAGCCTCAGACGTACGATTCGACGACAGGCAAGAGGGACTAGCATCATCTGGGCATTTGTTGCCCTGTCTGGCACCTTTACCATGCTGCTGCCGCCGCTGCCACAAGGTACAGGTACTGTGACTAGCAGAACTGCTTCTCCATGTCTCCATGTGAGGAGTGGAAACTTTCAAAGAGCCACGAGCTAGCCCCCAGAGCCACAAACGACCAACGCTAATGGTAGTGATACTAACTTGCCGCAGTAGGCCGCAATGGTAATGGCAACGGAGAGGATGCGGAAGGGGACCAAGCAAGTTGCAAGGGAGACAAAGCCATTCAAGGTTGGCATTTCTACGGAGCAAAGCGGGGTAATCAATGCTAGCATCTCGAATCCGACATGATTCCGGAAATGGAAGATTCCACCTCGCACTGGTAGTTGTACCGAAGGCTTTTGGGGCTGAAGATGCAGCTGCCGGGCATATGGGCTTACGAGATGCGCTGAGAAGAGGGGAGAGAGACGGAATTTCCCGCACGCGGCAAAGCGAGGCGGATTGTATCCAGTAATGTGACGATCAAGGACTGACTCGTTCTGGAGGTGTTGGCGTTGGCCGTGCCGATGCGAATGCGACTTGGCGTTGCGACGCAATGGATGAGACTGAAGAAGGCTGTCTGTTTCATGAGGCCAAGAGAATCCCTCCACGTCACGAGCGCATATCAGTTAAGGTTTATTTTCAGATTCTGGGGCAAGTCGATTACCAACACGGTGCAAATTACTTGACTAGATTTTCTGCGGGCTAATACTTCGGCAGTAGAGTCAGGCCGGGGCAATCAGGGTGCCAAGACGATTCTAAAGCAATGCAATTCTTCATCTTGCAAACTCTGATGGTGTGAATGGACTACTGCCCCGATTTGAAATGGTCCAAGGATGCAGGCTGGGAGACCGGACGATTGGCTCGCAGAGTCATGCGGGTGCGGAGGGGCACAAAAGGTGCCAGAAAAAGAAATGAGATGTCAAACACGGCACATGTTTGTGCATCAAGCTTAGTGAAAGACGGAGTCGACTACTCCGTATAGCTCCTCGAGATAGGACGTACGGATGCGCGAGCTCAGCCAAGCACCCATTGATGAGCCTTGCAACCTTGTTACAGATATTCTGAGACAACAGATGGTATCTCGCCAACGCTTCGGAGGTGGATGTCATCATGAGCCACCGGGCTGCTGCGGGGAACCGTCTCATCACCCCGGAGTCGCTCTGCTCGAGCTCCGTGATTCGCCCAGGCTGAGGCGGCTAGTACTCTTTCCAACCACCTCTCCTTGACACAAGTTGCACAGGAGGGGGCAGCAAACAAGTGCTCCGAAGAGCGGTTAACCAGTTTCAGCATGGCCTCGAAATGCCGGATTGTGCGAGTCGCCTCCCCTGAAGAACTCAAGCTTGGCCCCCGGCAGCCCGGTCCCGCTGCGGATCTCATGCAATAGGCGCTCTAGCCTCTGCAGCGGCACGGACTAGTCAGTGCGAGTCTCTGATAATCAACTTTTCTTCGGGTATCGTCGCTATGAAGCTGGTGGGGAGCCGAAGCAGGCGTCCCGGCCGGTCTTGCTGGCGGACTGCTTTTTGGCCCTTTTGGCTTGAGAAGCTACTCTGCTCTGGGGCAGTAGGTCACAGTACTGGCATGTACATGTGCGAGTGCTGTGTTAATCTCAAAGGTACCGGCGATTGGGAGCTAGAGGCGAGAGGATGGGGGTCTCGAGGACCTGCTCCCCCTTGCCGAGGACATATCCACGTTGTCCCCATACTTGCACTCGTAGTATGGTTGGGGTAGCGTCTTCTTGAAGCATCGCCCCCGCTCCACGCGCGTCGATACGGAGGCAAAGAACGGAGCAAAGAGGGCTCCTTAATAATGGGAATTGCGTTGCGCGGATACAGGCCTTGTGTTTTACATAAAATGGCATAGCTGTCCCCATCTCGATTGTTTCCTTTTTTTCTCTCCTGCATTCCTGCATCACCACAGTCCTCTTTCGTCATAAATACCCCTCCTGCCCCTCTCGCATTTACTTTTTTCTCTTTTCCTTTTCCCATATCTTCTAGAACCAAAAGCAACATTCCCATCTTATAAACTTCACCATGGCACCTCTGGCCGTCGAGCTCAACACCCCCGTTACGGGCACCTACTCACAACCCATTGGCCTGTGAGTCTTTACCTTTACCCCTCGGTCCACTGCTGTACTTTGCATAAACTAACTTGTTGCCATCAAGGTTCATCAACAACGAGTGGGTTGAGGGTGTCGACAAGAAGAAGTTCGAGGTCATCAACCCCGCCACCGAGGAGGTCATCACCTCTGTCTGCGAAGGTACCGAGAAGGATGTCGATCTTGCCGTCGCCGCTGCCCGCAAGGCTTTCAACACAACATGGAGAGCTGTCACACCCGGCGAGCGTGGTCGCCTGATGCTCAAGCTCGCTGATCTCGCCGAGAAGAACCTCGATCTTCTCGCCGCTGTCGAGTCTTTGGACAACGGCAAGTCCATCACCATGGCTAGAGGTGATGTTGGCGCTGTTGTCGGATGCATTCGCTACTACGGTGGCTGGGCCGACAAGATCGAGGGAAAGACTCTTGACATTGCCCCCGACATGTTCAACTACACCCGACACGAGCCTGTAAGTAATAAGAGAAGCCCAACTTTTACCCCGAGGACCAGATTGCTAACCACTACAATCTCCGAATAGCTTGGTGTCTGTGGTCAGATCATTCCCTGGAACTTCCCTCTCCTCATGCTTGCATGGAAGATTGGCCCTGCCCTGGCCACTGGTAACACCATCGTCATGAAGACCGCTGAGCAGACTCCCCTGTCCGCCCTCGTCTTCGCCAACCTCGTCAAGGAGGCTGGTTTCCCTGCTGGTGTCTTCAACCTGATCTCTGGTTTCGGCAAGACTGCTGGTGCTGCCATCTCCTCCCACATGGACATTGACAAGGTCGCCTTCACTGGCTCAACCGTTGTTGGCCGCACCATCATGAAGGCTGCTGCCGCTTCCAACTTGAAGAAGGTCACCCTTGAGCTCGGTGGCAAGTCCCCCAACATCGTCTTCAACGATGCCGACATTGAGCAGGCCATCTCATGGGTCAACTTCGGTATCTACTTCAACCACGGCCAGACTTGCTGTGCTGGTACCCGTATCTTCGTCCAGGAGGGCATCTACGACAAGTTCCTCGAGGCCTTCAAGAAGCGTGCTCTGCAGAACAAGGTCGGCGACCCATTCCACCACGAGACCTTCCAGGGACCTCAGGTCAGCCAGCTGCAGTTCGACCGCATCATGGGCTACATCCAGTCCGGAAAGGAGGAGGGCGCCAAGGTCGAGATTGGTGGTGAGCGTCACGGTGAGAAGGGCTACTTCATCCAGCCCACCGTCTTCAGCAACGTCACTGCCGACATGAAGATTATGCGTGAGGAGATCTTCGGCCCCGTTGCCGCCATTGCCAAGTTCAAGGATGAGGAGGAGGTCATCCAGATGGGCAACGACTCCAACTACGGTCTGGCCGCTGCTGTCCACACCACCGACCTCAACACCGCCATCCGTGTCAGCAATGCCATCCACGCCGGTACCGTCTGGGTCAACTGCTACAACCTGCTGCACCACCAGATGCCCTTTGGTGGCTACAAGGAGTCTGGTATTGGCCGTGAGCTTGGTGAGGCTGCGCTGGCCAACTACACTCAGAACAAGTCTGTGGCCATCCGTCTGGGCGGCGCCTTGTTCTAAACTATAAAAAGAAAAAACAACAAAATATAAAAAAAGGAGAATCAACTTGTCACGATTAGTATGAATATTAGGCAGGGTATATTTGCTATTTTCAGTTATGTAGCCTGATGTAGCTCTGAAATGAAATTGTATGACACCCATAGATTGAGCCAACCTTTATTGAAGTGTAGTCAAATATCGTGAGAGACTAGTGGTGATATTTAGCCGTCGGATGTTTGGGACCCTCTTTGGGTCAGCTTGGGATGATGTTACAGTATAGCCAGTATAGCCTAAGGCCTTGTATGCGGTAAATGCTGAGCAGCTACTATTATTACTCGGGATTATGAGTTGCGTAGGAACAATGAAAAAATATCCGCGGACAGATTGGCTAATGGGTAATACGGGGTGTATATGTATATACCCGTGCGAGGAGAATTCACGCGGGTGAGTGCTGAATGAGGGTTTTGGTTCTTGCTAGACCAGTCTCGGAATATATTGGTTAAAGGAATAGTGTGATGAAGCCGCTTATCAGATAAAAGTCTTTCTGGTATAATATCTAAAGGCTTGTTTTTAGATAAAAGGTATTACCAAGTAGATTTTGTAGTGGTGCGTCGTTTTCTTGGTGTTACGGTTGCCTGGTACGACGTCAATGATGTCTGGTGTAAATATTTCCATTTCCTGGCCATGACGTATTAAGAGCATTCAGCAAGACTATGTGCTGCTATATTGAATCTGTTATATATGTGTTACCTATTATCTGTCTACCTGTATACTTATTAAGAGGCGTGCTTACTTATAGCAGCTATCACCGTCATCCTATGAAAGGCTTGAGCAACCATCATCTCCCACAGAGGAACAAACAATGTCACCAGGTACATATTTCTTGCGTTGCATCACCTGCTTCGTAGCATTGGAGAAACAACAAGGATACATACAAACCGAGCGAAATAATCGCAATTGCATACAAAGTCCTCTGTATAAAATTGATTCATCACCTTTTCTTCACCATGAACTTGTACTGTAACATTCACGCTGCACCCTCCCGCGGTGACGCAACCGCCAACCGCCAAGTCACTCTACTTCTGGTCGGCCTCCCGCATTGCCAACCGCCCAGAATCACCCAATCGGGCAGCGCCACTGTCGACACATAAAACATAAAAAGAGGGAGGGGGTTTCGAATCCCAACCTCTTTTTTCCCTTGCAGCCTTTTTTTTTTTTTTTTGCTCATTGCTTTGGCGCTTTTTCTTGCTGTGTCTTGTCCTTTGTTTTTCTTCTTTTTGTTACGGATATCGAGAAGCTACTGAGAGGAGTAGTTGCGCTACGGGGCAATTTAGCGGTGGTGCGATACGAGACGATACGATACTATACCAAGAGCAGGCAGAGTTGGGCTTGAATATATGCAAACAACGATGGGACTGGGCTTGGGTCTCGCATTTATGCTGGTAAGAATTGACTATTGGACATTTCCCATTACTTCTTTTTCCTCCAATTGCTAACGCGGCTCTCTTTCAGGGCAGCGCCGTGCTGTTTGGCGTCGCAGCGTAAGTCAATCAACCATATATTTCATCCTCTGATATATCAACGCTTACACGATGCCCTCAACAGTGTCGTTCATTTCCACAGCGCCTATCTATCTCTCCCCGTCAGCCCAGCCATAACCATCCTCACAATCCTTCTCCCCATCATCTCCTTCCTCAACTCGTACATCTACCCAACTCTTTTACACTCCGCACGCAATTCGTCACACCCCCTCCATCGACTCAGTCCTACGATCCTACAAACCCTGCAAGGTCTTCTTACAACAGTCCTTGCAACATTGCTATTTGAGGATGTGGTGCCTTCGACAACGGTGGAATGCCTGATGGAGAATCGGTGGTTGAGCATGTTTCGAGCGAAAGACGGAGAGTCAATCCGCTTGATCCAGGATACGTTGAACTGCTGCGGCTTGAATACTGTCAGGCACATGGCATATCCTTTTCCCAGAACCGGAGAGAAGTACAGCATTTGTGCCGAGACATTTGGAAGGGACCAGGCATGCAGAGCTCCGTGGACAGCGGCGCTTCGGAGCAGCACGGGAGCTGATTTCGGGGTTGTTATTGCGGTGGGATTGTTGCAGGTGAGACTCTATAAATTATCAGATTCACTGGAACTCACACTAACGGATTCCATTTGCACAGATCTTGAGTCTTCTCATGACCAGAGAAGGCACAAACTGGTGGAACTCATGGCGCTCTGTTGCCTGGCACCGACAGCGGAATGTCGTTGATGGCGAAAGGCGTGCGCTGTTGGAAGACGTCACTGATGCGGACGAGGTCGTCGAGCGACAGGACGAGTCTTCCCGTCCGCGAGGATACCAAAGCTTGCCTGCGACTGAATCAGAAACCAGACCGAGGGTTGAACCGTCCCCGATTCACCAGGAGGAAAACCACTGGAGAGACAACTGAGCTGGGTTTGAATGTTCATCTTCAGGATGAGAACATTCACTGCAGGAATGGATAAGATCGTCACGACAACATCAACCGAAAAGGGAATTTCTTAAAAAAGCGTATGAATCTTGCTTGGTATTAACACTGTTCCATCTTCCCTGTTACTGGTCTACCCTCTATCTCTTCCGTGACTCGAGCGCCTCTTTGCCTAGCTTCTCTAGCGCACTCTCGTACTCTTCTATTCTCTCCTCGCTCATCTCCTCAATCATGACTCTGGCCACCTTTTGTGATCTCTTCACGGCAGCACTCTTGCCAATCTTACCCCAGAACCAACCACTCTCCCCGTCTCCTACAAGTGTCCAGGCGCATCCGGATCTACCAGCTCGGGCAGTACGGCCCACACGATGGACGTAACTGGCTACGCTTGGCGGCAAGTCGTAGTTGATGACGTGCGGCAGCTTTGGGATATCAATACCACGTGCCACAAGGTCAGATGCAATAATGAGACGCAGAGGTGAAGAAGGAGTGGTGAAGGCTCTAAGAGTCTTGCGACGGATGCTAGTTGGCGTGGTGGATGTGAGAGTACCGATCTGTGTGGCGAGGGACTTGTCGAGGAGGATGAGCAGCCGGGATAAGCGCAGGGCGGCTTCGTTGGACTTTGTGAATATGAGGGATATGGGTATTTGTGACTTGGACGGCTTGGAGTGTGCTTTCTTTTCGCTTGTGCTTGATTCTGCATCTGAATCCGAATCCGAGTCTGAACTTGTATCTGAGTCTGAACTAGTGTCAGAGTCCGAGTCGGAATCGGAATCCGAACTTGTGTCGTCTGAACTAGTGTCTGAGCTCGAATCTGATTGAGCTTCTTTACTAAGATCCATATTCTTCGCTTCGTCATTGATGGCCATGTGTTGGCTCCGTAGGAGATCAAGTAGATACAGTGGCTTAAGGTTTGCATCATGAACCCTCACAGCATACTCTCTTAGAGATTCTGGCAGCGAGTGCTCTGTAACCTGAACATCCTTGCCACTCTCCAGGACGATCAACTTGGGTCTGCGTAGAGCAAGCTGATTCAAGAGACTCAGATCCCTCGTCAGAGTAGCACTAAGAAGAATCTTGCGGACGCCCGAGTAAGGCATGTCGGGAAAGTCTCTGGCGCCGAACTCGCTCGTCTTGAATTTCTCCAGGACGACGTCTAGCCATCCTTGGAAGCTTTGCGCGAGTAGCTTGTCAGCCTCATCAACGACGAGCCAGCGGATGTAGGATAGGGAAAAGCCGGGTGTCTGGTCGAGGTGCTCGACGAGACGGCCAGGGGTGCAGATGAGGATGTCGACTTTGGAATAGAAATCAATGACTTGGCCTTGCCAGGGACCGATGCGAGGGTTGGCGCGTCGAGTATTGGGGCCGCTCAGGAGATCGTCTAGATCGTCTTCGTTATTGGAACTCGAGGCTCCATTGGATGCTTCTTGTTCCAGCTGCTTATATGCTTCCGGGTCGTATCGCGTCTCCTTGCTCACGAGAAGATCCTGTTCAGAGGCCAACGACTGATTACCAATGGCGATGCCAACGCGCACCCTCTTCCTGTCTTCTCCCTCGTAGGCCTTTGCGCAAAGCTCAAAGACTTCTTGCGCTTGCTTGACGAGCTCTCTGGTCGGTAGCACAACCAGTGCACGTAGTCTTGTAACGACGCTGTTGCTCAGATCTCTTACAATTGGAAGGGCATAAGCTAGCGTTTTTCCAGATCCAGTCGCCGCTGAGACGAGGAGATCGCCCTGCTGTTGTTTATTTGTCGGAAGCAGCAACGGCAGAGCCGCTGTTTGAACGGCGAAAGCTTCCGTATAACCCTTTTGTTCGAGGACCCGCGCTGCCTTTGGAAGAATACCCAGCTCCGTGAATGGCGTCTGCGTGTCTACTGAGACACGAATTGGCGCCGAGAGCCATGGAGGCAGAGTCTCATATGTCGGTTTTTCTGTGCTTGGTGCAGTGCGCGCGGGCTGCGGGAGAGGTTCCAGGCCATGGAGCTCAGTTGGTTCTTCCGGCTCTTCCACGATGCCTTGCTCTTTAATGATTTCGGCGTATTTGAGTGATTTGGCTTTTCGCTCAAAGACGGCCTTGTGTCGCTTGTCTTCTTCCTCTTCCGCTGGGGCATCGTCCATATCGACATCCTGGGATTTCTTCTTTTTGTCCCGTTTAGCCTTCTTCGCCTGCTTTTCGTCGGATTCGGGGGCCGCTTCATCCTCAGCAGGAGGCTCTGTGTCTTCCATCTCAGTATCCTTGGCACTGGGGCTCGCTTCGTCAATATCGGCCTGCTCCAGGCTCTGGTCGTTGTCGTCATCCCCAAGGTCGGATGTTTTGCTTCTCTTCTTGTCTTTCTTTTTCTTCTTTTCTTCCGTACTTGGCTTCAAATCATCGCCGCTTTTTTCCGATTTCCTGCTCTTTTTTGGCTTTGCTTCCTCCTCCTCTACCGAATCTTGTTCGTGTTCTAATTCTTTCTCTTTCCGCGATTCGCGCCTGGAACCACGCTTCGTCTTGTTCTCGGCCTCCTTTGGCTCTGAATCTTGTTTTACTTCTTCTTCCGATTCAACTTCTTGTGTTCTTTTCTTAGATTTCTTCGACTTCTTGGTCTGAGGCTCTTGAAGCTGCTCCCCATCATTTCGCTTTCTCTTCGACTTTGGAGAGTCCGCCTCCTCTTCGAATCGCTGAATTGTTGGTTCTTCAGTCTTTTGTTGGGATTTGCTGCCAGGAACATAACGAGAGTAGGAGAGTCCATCCCCATTCGTCACCGCGGGGGCTGCAGATGCTGATGATGGCGCAGGCGATTGTTTCGCGACGGAAGAATCTTCGCTGTTTCTCACAGGCTTCTGCCCTCCAGCTGAAGGGATATACCTTGCATACATTTTGGCTTTTTGATAAGAAAAAATAATGGAAATAAAGGAAAATGAATGAAATGGTAAATGGACCCCAGAAATTGGGGATTAAATTAAATGCGCTGCGCTGACAGCCTTTTCTGTCGCTCTCCAATCCAATCCAATCCAATGCGATGCGATGCAGATCAGCGACCTGCGATAGCTCGTCCAAAAATTTGGCGACGGAGCTGTTATCGGCGTTTTGCCGCCCCTCACCGCCAAGCTTATCAACGAGCTTAGCGTCATCACTGGAGACGTATCCAATTGGAGCTTGGGAGTGAGCCTATAACTGAAGCTCCTAAATTACATCCATCTTATAAAGCGCCTCCTATATCGCCTCTCCAGAAATCCCCAGGAGCATTGAATGCTATGGGATCGTATGAAATGAGCTGAGGCAAAGAGGCAGCGAGGGTCGAACCTTAGCAGAAGAAGAAGTCAGCGAGTGGTGACGACGCTCACATGCTTCATCTCACCCTCCGTCTCAGCATCAGCCGCTCTCACAATCGCAAAGATCCATGATCAAGAAACCCAGCATCTAAGACTCCAGGTCATCTTCCAAATTTCACCGACAGCAAAATGGCGCGCAAAACCTACAACATCGCTATGGTTAGCGACTTCTTCTTCCCCCAGCCCGGCGGCGTCGAGTCTCACATATACCAACTCTCGAGCAAACTCATCGACAGGGGCCACAAGGTCATCATCATCACACACGCCCACGATGACCGCAAGGGAGTCCGCTATCTCAACAACGGCCTCAAAGTTTATCATGTGCCGTTTCTTGTCATCTACCGACAGGCAACCTTCCCTACAGTCTTTTCCTTTTTCCCCATTCTGCGGAACATCTGCATCCGCGAGCAGATTGAAATCGTCCATGGCCATGGCAGTCTGAGTTCACTCTGCCACGAAGGCATTCTACATGCAAGAACCATGGGACTGAGGACCGTTTTTACTGATCATTCGCTCTTTGGATTTGCGGATGCTGCCAGTATCCTGACAAACAAGCTGCTCAAATTCATTCTCAGCGATGTCGATCATAGCATATGTGTGAGCCACACCTGGTATGTAGAATGACAGACTCTCCTATGTGACTTGGGCTTTTCAAGTCTAACGAAATTCTTAGCAAGGAGAACACTGTGCTTCGTGCATCGCTGGATCCTCTCATGGTATCAGTCATTCCCAATGCCGTCGTGGGCGAAAACTTTAGGCCTCGCGACTACCCAGCGCCATCAGAACAAGGAGGAGGCTTCAGGTCCGAGCCATCTCCTCGCCTCCTTGGCCCCGACGACATGATCACCATCGTCGTTATATCTCGTCTGTTCTACAACAAAGGCACAGACCTTCTTACCGCCGCCATCCCCCGCATCCTGGAGAACCATCCCAATACCCGGTTCATCATCGCCGGCTCAGGCCCCAAGGCTATTGACCTGGAGCAAATGATTGAGACAAACGTGCTGCAGGACCGTGTTGAAATGCTCGGCCCCATCCGCCACGAGGACGTGCGTGATGTCATGACCCGCGGCCACATATACCTTCACCCTTCCCTCACCGAGGCCTTTGGCACCGTCATCGTCGAAGCAGCCTCGTGCGGGCTGTACGTCGTGTGCACTCAAGTCGGCGGCATCCCCGAGGTCCTCCCCTCACACATGACGACCTTTGCAAAGCCTGAGGAGGACGACATCGTGGCGGCCACGGGCAAGGCCATCACCGCCATGCGCGCCGGCAAGATCCGCACCGAAAAGTTCCACGACGAGGTCAAGAAAATGTACTCGTGGTCCAACGTCGCCATGCGCACCGAGCGCGTCTACGACGGCATCTGCGGCACCATCAGCGAAGAGGAGTTTTACGGCTTCGACACCAGCGGCTACAACGGGAGCCGCATCCGCGACTTTGCCCTCATTGACCGGCTCAAGCGCTACTATGGCTGCGGCATCTGGGCCGGTAAGCTGTTTTGCCTGTGCGTTGTCGTCGATTACTTGTTCTTCTTGTTCCTCGAGTGGTGGTTCCCGAGGGAGAATATCGACATCTGTCGGGATTGGCCGCGCAAGTCGCCGGCAAAGGATAAGGCGCAGGACTCAATGAAGCTTGCGCTGAGCCATCGATCAACTTCGTCGATTAGAGTTCCCAAGTTGGATCGATAGGCCGCCGTGGTAAAAGAAGACCGACTGCTACTTGTAGAGAGAACATGTGTTTTGAAATTTTTGTTTCTATGGCGAGGGGTATAGAATATGAAATAGTCACAGCAGACTCTCCCCCTATGATAATCGCAGAGCGAATAGCGCAATGATGCGATGAAAAGAAGACCTGTTTATAGAATATTGCGTCTAGATTCACCTAGTCCTTCATAAATACGTTATTAGCCGCTTCATGTGTCCAAATAACCCAGCCTCCCATGACATCAAACAAGACTTCACTTAGACGTTGTACATTATCAAGCCCCAGTAACACTTACTAGGGGCGCTCGCATTTCGAGTTAAAGCTAATAAAAGCTAATAATTACCCTCTGATCTTTTGCAACTCTAACAAAAGGCGCTATACACAACTCAAAAGCATCGCGAAATCAACAAAAATCAGGTTCGCCGCTACCCGTTACCCGCTAAAACCCTTTCCCTTCCACGCACGCTCACTCTCTGTCTTGTCTCCCATCCTCGAGCTATTTCGATAATCTCGAGCCCCGTGAGACCCTCGGACTCCGTGAGACCCTCGGGCTCCGCGAGCCTCTCCCACGAGGCACCTCGCCCAGCATTTTCATAAGCACAGGCTGTTTCTAACTCCTAGTACTGATGCGTCTCCTCTTGGCCGTTCCCGAGGCCGAAGCTGAGTCCCCATCGCCAGCGAGCTCGTCTTCCTCCTCGGCAGTGTCTTCCGCCGGGGTGGCCACGCTGCCTTGCCTCGTTGTAGATATTGGCGGAATACCTCGGTCCTTTTCTGCCGCGCGCAAATCGCCCAGTAGCTTCTCAACCTCGAGAAACATGCTCTGCGTGTTCTTAACCACTCCGTTCTCGTCGAGTCGATAACCAACGATTTCTTCCTCGTCGCTGTGAGACCTTCTAATAAATGCTGGCCCGGGACCGCGATCTGGATCGGGGTTGTACATGATAGCATTGCAAAACATGTGCACTAATTCACGCTCGAGATGAGCGCTGTTAATGATTCCTCTGGGAGGCACGAGATCGTCAGAGATGGGAAGCCAAACGCTTGCTGTGCCCGGATCGCCACCCGGCAAATTAGCAGCCGCTTGCAGCGCCGCTTTGTTACCTGCTTTGATGGCAGAACGGATAGAGGTAATGTCTTGCGGCTGCAGGACGATTTGCCTATAATTCGGCGCGTCCTTTTCGCGCAGGGCGGTCGCAAACATATTGGCATCGCGATGACTCGATATCTGGTCGAGGGCTGACGAGGACACCTTTGTGAATCCCCGCGTCCACAACACATGCGTTGGAGGGCCTTGAAGGTCAGTAGGAGTATCCTGCCGCTTCCGCTTGGGTGCACGGGTCATACTACTAGGTGTAGCCATGAGGCCACGTCCTGGCATGCTCTCATCCGCAGTTGTATCGCCGGTTTCTTCCCGAAGCCGCGGCGTTGCAACTTCCTTCTTCACCTTGGTCATAGAATGGTCTAGAGAGAGTTCATCTGTTTGGGATATCACAGACTGGCTTCTCCTTGTGCCTGTGGCAGACGGCGTTGCGCTTGGGCCACGACTTCTCTGCACCGAACGGGGGGGTCGACCTCGAGGTGCCTTCGCTGGGGGCGTCGCTTCGACTTTGGCTGTTGGTTTCGCAACTGCCAGCTTGGGAACTACCTTGGCTGCAAGGTCCTTTGCGATGGCGGGCCGCGGCAGTGGAGGGCTAACGGGTTCGTAAGCCGGGCTCTCCGGCTCCGATGCTATCGGACCAGGAGTGGATGGTGTCGAGTGAGATGCCCATTTCGTTCCGAACCCGCGTTTAAGAGAGACGGGACTAGACGGTGCTGGTGTCCGTGGTGCAGGAGACGCCGGACTAAGGCGCCTGGTAGGTCCTGGAGTAGCAGCCGCCTGACGAATCATATGCTCTGGAATAGCAGGGCGTGGTGCTTGAGCAACGTATGACGCGCCATATGCCTTGTCTTTGGCTGTAGGGGAAGCAGAGGGCATCGTCCGGGCTCCCTGCTGTGCTGAGGAAGCGCCTGGCTGCCATCGCTGCGTCGCAATAACTCCAGGAGTCCCCTTGTTGGGAATAGGAGATCCAGCAGCGGTTACTGAAGGTGATGTTTTGGCGGGGTTTGCGGAAGCAATTGCTCGTGGAGTCTGGATTCTCGGTATATGCTGGAATTTCTGGGCCAATAAGGATGGTTGGGCCTGCACTGCCCTCTGAATATGCTGATGCTGAGGGGTGGCCTGCTGGCCTTGTTGGGCCTGCTGCTGTTGTGGATGAAGCTGAGGCTGTTGCTGAGGTTGGAGAGGACGGCCCGGTGCGGCTGAAGGTGTTGATGGCGGGCGAGCCTGCTGTGGAGTCCCTGGCCCGGTTGGACGAGGAGGCCCCGGCTGCAGGGGAGGAGGAGCCAGTTGGCCTGCAGGTTGAGGAGGAACCAGGACAGGTTTTGCCGCTGTTGGCCGAGCCTGTTGTTGTGGCTGCTGTTGCTGTTGCTGTTGCGGTTGCGGTTGTGGTTGTGGTTGTGGTTGTGGTGAGGGTGCCACTTGTCCATGTGGCGGTTGTGGGGGATACTGAATAGGCTGCTGTTGTGGATGTTGGGGATGAGATACTGGCTGTCGTTGCCATTGTTGCTGCGGAGGTGGAGGCTGCTGCTGCTGCTGTGGCGGTGGTGCCTTTTGAACAGCTGCATTGCCTGGAGAAGAGAGAACTGGTGGCGAGAATTGCTCGGCTGGGAGGCCTTGCGTTGTTTGAGGAGGTTGATACGGCTTCTCCCATTTAAGCGACCCAGCCTGAGCGGGGGTAGCTCCTGGCACAGCTGGAGGCTGCGGACCAGCAGCCTCTGGTCGAGGAGAAATCATTTGTTTCGGCGGTTGCTGCGTCGGCGGCTGCAACACTTGGGAGGTTGGTTGCGGCGTGGGAGCCCCAGCAGGCGCTTGAAGCACGGAAGACGTTCCATTGGGCGGCTTCGGCGAGACAGGAGGTCGAGATGGTGGTGTTGCAGCCACCAATTGACTCGGTAACGCGACCTTGGGCGCTACAACGCCAGATACGGGGGGCTTCGGCGGCGGGACAGGCGTATTGGGAGTCGGTCCCTTCCTGATTCCTGATGGGGCTGTTGGTGCTTGTGCTGGAGAGGGAGCAACTCCATTTGAAGGTGGCATCGGTGATGGTACTGGTGCTGTCGATGATGGGACTGTCACTGTCGTTGTCGCTGCCGCCGCCCTTGGATCTCGTGGAGCCAGACTCGGCGTGACATTCTGGCTCGCTGCCACCTTGGCAAGTCTCTCCTTTTCGCTCCGCTCCAGCAATTGAATCTCCCTCTGCAGTGTTGCAAATCTGCGTTCGTCCTCGCGAATCAGTTCCACCGTGTGGTCTCGATACCGTGCGTACATTCGATCGACCATGGCCGGGATTTTGTCGACATTCTCGTACACCTCCTTAAGCGTCGGCAGCGGCGGACTCCCCAGCTTCCTCTTACGCGACCCAGGTGACCCCAATCCATCGCCGCCTCCCGCTGCCCCCCCTTCAGCGCGCTCCGCATCGCTCTTGAGCTCGTCACGCAGCAGCCGCAGGAACAGCTGCTGCAGTGCCTCGGGGGCTAGACGCGCAGCATCGTAGGTGTCGCTGCTCTTGATGAGCGCATTCCCCTTGAGCAGCTCCGAGATGCGCGCAAACGCCCCACTGTCGACTCCATGGGAAAGCAGCGACTGGAACAGGAACAGCGACTCGAGGGGCGTGTAAGCGGCCGGTTGATTCATGCCCCAAGGTCCGCCTCGCCGGCTATCGAGGGGGCCGTCACGCTTCGACGCAACAGGGTGAATGGGCGCCACGATCTAATCATTGACGAAGCGAAGCACGATGGTTAGGACACATGTCATCTACGTCATTACGGACAATGGCAGGGGAGTGAGGCAAGTGAAGACAAAACGTACAGGCAGCCGTGGATCCAGATTCCAGTCCCTTCAGGCAGTGGCTTCAACGTCCTTTTCTCATCTGACCCGACGTGGCTGCTCGACACGGCCCGGTTCGTATCAATGCGCTACGATCTCCTTTCAAACGACCGCGATCGTAAACTTTTTTTTTGTTGTCGCGACCGAGTTGTTCCGGAATCACGTGACGGAGGAGATGGCTTTTTTGCGAGGCTGCGGAAGTCGTCTTGGATATTTTTTGGAGATGGAAAGGAAACGAGATTGCGGCAGGGCGGAAAACGCAGGGGACAAAGCCACGATCGCGGCCATGTCACGTGATATCACGATCGCGAGCCAGAGCAGCTGCAGCTGCAGCGAATAGGCATCAGCGAACCAATTTCTTTGGGCAAACGCCGTAAGAATGTTTTTGTTTAGGAGAAATGTTTTGGAGCATCATTGGTATAAATATGGATATCATGTCAAACACACGCACACGCGCGGAGCTGCCTTGATTAATGCCCCTTGTTACAGCATCTGCTCTTGAAACTATGTAAAGGAATTCATGCCACCACCCTCTCCCATGGCCAATCAGCCCATGTAAGATACCAAAATGCATCTGATTTACCAGCCTTAAACTCCAATTCCCCCCGTGGTATCATATCAGCGCTGTAAAAAGCAGAACCCCATATCTGAAGCACAATCCGCCTCTCCCTTTCAGCTCCTATCTAGAGCTTCCCGCTATAATATATGAAATCCTAAACGCCATTCTGTGGACCGTTCAGTCCATGTGGTGATTGACCACACCTGGTACAAAAGGAAAAATTATGGTATTGTCTGGTTGAGTAACACACAAGATAAAATGAAAAAAAAAGTGTCATCCTGATGATGTTGTGCTTGAGGTTTCGTCCGTGCTGCCGCGGCGATCCTCACTTGACACTTCTGTGTCCCGTTCTGTCGGTTGGCTGGTGAGGCGCAACTTTTCGTCTAATAGTGTGACGAGTCTTTCAGAGTATTGGTCCAAGAGGCCGCTCAGAACCGTCTCGTTCATCGCTCTACTCCTGATTGCGCGGTCGCCCAGCGCAGCCGCAGTGAACCGCAATTCCTGATCTAGTTCGCTAAGAGCATCTGGATTTATGGGCTCTGCTGACGAGAGCTTTTTCCTGTATGCTCTCAACGTGCGACAGGCTTGTTCTGTCGCCGTGGTTAATGAAGCATTTCCGCGAAGGTTGGGAGTGGAATTCTTCTTGCGCGCCGCATGGCCCAGGGCCGGAAGTGATGGCCTACGAGACAGCCTAGCCCTTGGGCTGAGCGGAGGGCTGCTAGCATGATCAATACCCCTTCGGCGCGAAGGCGTATCATCCATGATCTTGCTGGTGCCGGGGCTAATCTGAAAAGTCCCAGAGGGTGTCCTGGCGCTAGGAGTGTTGGAAGAGAGGTTGAGTCGAGAGTTGCGCTTCCGTACTGTTCGGGTTTGCAACGGCGGCGGCGGCGAGGAGCGTTGTCCTGTTGAACCTTCTCGTGGGCGTTGGAATTCCGCCAATTCAGCTTTTGACAAGACTTTTCGCAGGGGTGGCCTGCCCGAGGTGGCATCTCTCGAAGGCGACGGCTCCCTACTTCCCAACCGCTCATGAACATCGAGAGACCAAATCATGATGGTCCCGTCAGCCGCAACACTCACAACACGTCTACTCTCATCGCTGTCTTCGACAAAGCACACGCCATTGATAGCCTCAGTATGGCCCCATTCCCGATCCAAAAAGGTCCCAGAAATAGAGTCATAAAGCCGGATGGATTTGTCGGTATTGGAGGCGGCCAAGAGAAAATCGGAATCTCGAGGCGAACCCTGTTCAATAGAAATGGATTCGAGAACTGCGGATTCTATGCCACTCTCGTCCATGCACTTGAAGCAGTTTATCCCTCGTCCTGTCAAAATGTCGTACTGGCAGACGGATCGGTCCAGCATAGAAACAAACATTGTCCGACTATCCAAGCTCGTAGTCATGGAAGTCGGTGATGCCTTGAGAGAGACGACCCTTGAAGGAATAGCAGCGATTGCGTCAGGGTCCCCTTCCTTGGTGACTAAATCGTGAATATGCATTGTTCGGTCCCACGCACAAGTGATTACCTTGTCATCCGACGGAATAACAACCTGGACGACCCGGGAGGCAAACTCAATCGTTTGGAAATGCTCGATATTACCGCTGGTAGAAGTGCGGTGAAAAAGCTGTGCTGTGCGGTCCCTACCACAACAAGCCATAAGGAATTTCCCTTCATCTTCATACAGGCTGATGGACGTGCAATCAGCCGAGTGGGCTTTAGTATCGAGCAAACAATCTTCTGTGACTGTGTCTGTGACTCTCAATACTCCGAGGCGATCGGCCGTGACCAAGAGACGCCCACTCTTCGAGATTTTGACGCAGGTCAATTGATTCACTGGCTCCAGATTGGGATCTGGTACATTCAAGCCTTCCAGCGGAACACTGATGGATGCTTTGATTTTGCCGTCCAAGTCCCAAAATGTCACCACTCCCGAGCACGACCACGTCAAAAAGGCCGCTTGTATCTCATTTAGCCTGTCCATAGGGCAGATACCAGCAACCGGCTCTCCATGGCCCGGAATATGAATGTGGAATGATGGCTCGGCTGTTTGACCAGGTACATAGTCCAAATCCCAGATGTCAATCGATCCTTTGGCATCAATAGTGACTGAGTTATTCGTTATGAAGCCCAATGCCACTGATCCCGTAGGGGCTTCTGACGTGCCAATAACACAGTCCTTGCTCCCGTCCATCAGTCCAATGACATCGAGCTTGGTAAATTTGCCGCCTTTACCGCCAACATAAGCAATGTTGCCTCGAATTTGAATGGTAGATATGGAGAAATCAAGGTTGAGAATACAGACAACTTTCGTCTGCTTATCGTCGCCATCTAAAATGCACACATCGCCTGCCTCCGTGCAAATTATGAGTCTGCTGCCTTCAACAGCTGCGCAGCTAAATGTGGCCTCCAGAAGACCTCCCAGAATAATATTCCTGCCCGGCAGTGTCTTTTGAGAAGTTGGTGAGAGGGGAGGATGGTCAGGGGGGAATTTTGGTTTCGTTGGAGAGATGCCGGCATTTTCATCTATCCTCCACATCTTGATATGCCGGATGCCGAGTGTGATGAGGGAGTTTCCCAGCCAGACCATGTCTTTGACGTAGGATGTGCACCTATTTTGCTGAAAGAGCTTTGTCTGGCCGTTACGAGGGTCTACTTTCCAAACATACAGATAGCCGTCGTTGGCGGCCCCAAGGGAGGCAAGGTACTTGGAATCCGCAGACCATGCAACCGCATTGACGCCAAATGCATGCTCACTAATTGATACTAGAGGAATATCGGAGGACGTATCCTGGAGGCTGAAAATCAAGACCCGGGGCGCATATCCAGTCTCGCCCACGGCCAAGTACTTGCCATCTGGGCTTAGACTCAGGCAGGTAGCAGCCTTGATACGCTCACGGCTGGTCCACGTCCTAGGTAACGAACCATCTACCCAATCTGGCGCACCGTGAGAGTCTCGATAGTTGGCGGCAGAACGGTTCCGGCTATCATTGGCCTTTGGAGCCGTCGTCGTAGTCGTCGGTGTAGAAGACCCGTTTTGGGAAGCGGCGTAGAGGGAAGCAACATTGGGGCGAGCTCGGTAGAATCGCTGGGTATACTGATCGGCGTCGACATTGACAACCACGACGGCACCGCCAGCAGTGTAGGCGAAGCTGGTGCCGACGGCATCAAAGGCGGTGGGTGAGCGGCATGTTGTCCCGACAACTCTCTTGAGCGAAAGGCGGGATTCGAATACGGGTCGACCGCGCAGCGGAGACCTCGGGCGTCGGGAGGTGAGAAAAGGTGAATTGGAGGGGGTAAGCTTCAGCCGGTTGCTGGAGGAAGTCGCCGTCATCTCGCCGCCATGGACAGTAAGACGAGGACAATGTTTAGGCTGTACCAAGTCGTCGCCGAGGGATCATTGAGATGGGGGGACAGAAGAGAAGAAGAGAAGATCAAGAACAGTAGAATCAATGGAATCACAGATGAGCGGTATGTTGGGCCGACGATGCCTTGGTGTCGTTGGGCAAGGCGAATTGCTAGATCGGGTAGGACAAATAGGGAATGGAATGACGTTGCAGTTGTCTGATGCTGCTCAAGCTCTGCCCAGTGACGGCGGCTTGATCAAGATGGTGAAGGCTATCAACATCCATTGGGGTCAGCGCAAGCTGCATCTAGCGGGGCAACGCACAGCACAGCACAGCACATGGCTAGGGTTGCAAACACTCACAGCGACTATGAAGAAGAAGAGAACAAAGAAGCATCGCCAGAAAAGGGCAAATGCAATGGGGAGCCTCGGCGAGTCGGGGGCAGCGGCATGTACAAGTAAGATCTGGGCAGCGAGCTGAGATTTCCGCACCGGCCTCTCCCTCTGTGTACGAGACAAGTACATGCACGAGAACCTGGATCTGCCCGTGCTGAGACTTTTTTTGGGTGGTTTCCCGTGTTACCGGTTGGTTCCCAAGCAGGAGCCTCTTGCTGGCGCCACTGCACTGCAGCCACAAAAAGAAAAGCCCTTGACAAGAAAAAAAAAAAGAACGCGAACGAGAAAAATTTGAGTTCAACCGATGATGCAGGTCGGCAGGCTCCAGCGGCTCCAGCGCTGCAAAGTGCGCTACGGGCAGAGTACATTGGTATTGGAGGCAGCTGCCAGCCAAGTTGGCGGTTCCCGGGGGCCTGTGGAGCGCCGCTGATAAACGTGCAAGGGGTCTCCAGACAATCAGGAGAGCTGCCAGTTAGCGGAAGGCTGGAGCGCTGGAAGCGCTGAACAGCCCGCTAGGGAACCCGAGCTCAGGCAGGGTGGTGGAGTGGCTGGACAAGAGGCTGCCCTATCGCAGACCGCCGCCAGAGACATCCATGGATGCAAATGGCGCCCAAGAGGCCTAAAAGCCCAAGAAGAAGGACCCCTGTTGCTGGGACACCGAAAAAGGAGATGGGCGAGGCGCTAGCGGGCCATCCTTGGATGTGCTGTTCCCTTTTGCGGCAAGGGCCAGTGGTGACGGGATTGTTGATGCTGGAAGACAAAATGATGGAATTCAATGTTAAATGAGAACCGAGCAATGTACCTCACCTGTACTTGCAGTTTCAAATTTCTCTGCGCTGGGCCTGTATAAGTAGGTACGAAATGTACTATTACTGTAAAGTAGGTACCTTGTTTGCCCAAGCAAGTGAACAAGTACGAGTACATCCATCGACATTGCTTCCTTGGATCACCCCGTCCCTTTGACAGTCCCAAGTACCTATGTACCTTATTCTGTACTACGAGCACAACACCGTGAATATCATCACCAACCCGCCAAATTTCTCCAGACAACAGGCTAATCTCCTTGGGTGCTGCCATCGTGGCGCCTCCAGTTCCCACAGCCAATGTCGTTTGCGTGATTCACCCCCCGTTTCGCTTCCTTGCGGCAGCATCTCAACAGGGCGCCGGGGTTCGCCGGGTCAAAAGAAACGACAGCGCGTCATTCGCCCAGCCGCTCAAGCAAAAGTAAAATGACGACGGACCCTGTCGCCAGCCTCACTTTATTATTGTCTTATCCAGCGGAGATTAAGTGCATCCTTGCCTGGGTCTATAACATCTACAGTAGCAATGCCTGGTCAATCTTGCAATCACGGGGCCAATAAACCCGCTCGTGCCAAAGCCAGTGGCTGACGTCTTGTCTTTCACATCGACTTACACCAATCGAGCTATGCGAATATTTATCTACATGACGGCCTCATATAACAATGGGATTCGCTCCAGGCCATACCAAGCAGATCAACATCCCTCATGTCCGCACCCACGCTAGTTTATTGCGCCGTCACCTTTCAAAATCCGATAGTCCATAGCACCTCAATTGCTTTTTCTCATTCCCCTGCCCCTTTTTTTCCAGCATCGCCCATGCACCAAATCTTATCACACCTCTCGACTTACGAGCAGTAATTTCTTCCTTTTCCCAGCACACACATGGATATGCGCCACAGAACTCCGTGTTCTCGCCTCCAGTCGACATGTTTCTTACTGTACGCCAAGCAGCAATCGTAATCATAGCACTGCTTCAGGCCCCGGCCCCGTGGTAGAATCGGCGGTAGAATCTGTGGTAGAATATGTGGTAGAATCCGGCATGGGGTCCGCAGTAGAATCCGGCTTGGATGCCTCCTTGGTGCGGAAACTGAAGACGGGTTCACGAATCTCGCAGTGCACTTCGTGGATATTATGTGCTTCAAGAATAGATTTGCATCGCACTGCAATGGCATGCCCGTCGCTCCACGACAACGTGCCTGGGTTGACGCCCACCATGAACGTGATATGGGATTCCTCATTAAGAGCGACACGTACAAAGTCAACAGAAGTCCAATCGGCCGCGCTGATCGCTTCCAACAGCTGGACCCTGAGCGAAGATCTGGCGTTGTTCCATAGCTGATGCAGCAACCGGTGTCTTCCAACCGGTTCAATCATTTTGGGATACATGTTCAGGGTGCCAGGCGTATATGGCCTCATCCAAGTGTTCGTGCTTGAGCGTGCGACGAGTCTCGGGCGAGATGGAAGCCCGTAATAGTAGAGCTGACGCTCTTCCTCAGATGGAGGCACCGGCTGCTGCATCGTGATGCAGAAAGATTTGGCCTAGACGCTTGATAGAGCTGATGGGAGTTGAGCGAGGTTCTGAGCCTGGCTGAGTGCTTAGATTCTCCTAGACGTGTTAGTCGCCGCTCAATGTTGATGGTAGGCAGACCTGTTTGATTTCTGCGATGCTCGCAAAAGGGGGTTTGAGAGCCGATGGAGATATGGATGGTATTTAACAGAAACACCACGAGGAACTAATCAAAGCAGAGAAGGAGATGTAGAAGTGGAAAGACATCACGCAAAACAACAAAGAAGTGTGCGATGGCACTCAACACATACCTAGTTGGGAAAATCTGGCAACGCACTGGGAGGAGCTTACCTCGTCCTGGAGCATCTGGGAGCGACTTACTTTGGCTGGCAAACTCCAAACGAAGTAATTAGTATAGAAAGTCTCACATGTGGCTGTTTTTCCCTTTGGGAGGACGTTTAATACGCCAACTTGAAGTTCACCTACCATTATGAGAAAAGGTAGGTACTGGCGACGAGTTTCGAAGTGGAAGTAGTGCATCAAGTCTTGTTGTAAGTAGAGCGCACCTATCCAGGGAGCCCATATTCTCTGAATCTGACTTTCTGCTCTAGAGGAGACAAAAGGCTATACGACAACTGAGCGTCTACCAGTTTCACCGTCCATGCTCCTTGTCAACACTTGGGGAGGGATTACGATACTAATATCCATCTTAACACAAGTGCACCTTCACATTATCATCGTGGCATCAATACCACACTGCCATGCTTGAGATGCTTCATAATCCGCCCTCATATCGTTCATCATCCCCATTCAGCAAGCCAATTATACAATCCAATGCCACATAGACCATAATACGGTATAATCATATCGTCTTTTTTTTTCCTTTTCCGTTCTCCCTAAGCCATTATATGGGGGTTGGCGGCAATTCAAGGGTCAAGATGGGACAGATGCGCTTGAGTGAACAAAAGGGGATTTAATACAGACGGCCTTTTTCACACCAACACCATGACTTTAGCCCCTCCCCCACATCTAGATGACTCTGACTGTTGTACAAGCTTTTTACGCCCTAATTCCCCCTCTATACCCGCAGACCCAGCTCCTCAGCATAAGGCAGCACAAACAAGTCACCAACGGTAGAGACTGTGGCCTTTCCGTCAAGGAGAGCCTTGGCGGTCTGAATGAGGAAAAATAAACGTCAGCATAGCTCAAAAAGCAGATTGGGGAATTGGGAAAGGGGGGGAAACAAAGAGTAACTCACCGTCTTCAGCTTATCGGCAGTGACAGCATCCAGAGACTTGGTCAGGGCAACGAGGTCCTGGACCTTGCCGGTGTGGACAAGGCCGGTACCCGCCAGCAGAACGCTGGAGCCACGGGTCTGGGCCTTCTCGAGCAGGTTGAACTTGGCGTTAGCGACAGCCTTGGCCACGTCCTCCTTGCTGACAGTGCCGGCAGCAATGGCCTTCAGAGCCTTGACGGTCTCCTCAGCAGCCTTGCGAACAGAGGCGGCGGCACCAGACAGCTGGACAGTCAAAAGACCGGCGTCAGAGTAAGACTGGTTAGAGGAAACGATGGAGAGGCCAGGAGTTCCGGCGGTGGCCTTGGACAGAAGGCTGAAGCCAGGGGCCCACTTGATGGTGGACTGGCCACCGAGGAGGGTAGCCAGAACCTCGATCTCGGGCTTGGAGCCAGCGGCGTCGGATCCGGGGAAAGCAATCACAACGGCGTTGCCAGAAGTGTGGCTGGTTCGCTGCTCACCACCAAAGTACTTGGAGGCCTCAGTCTTGAGCGTCTGTCCGCTGCTGGCAGCAGTAGGAACGCCCTTGAAGAACTGGTCAACCCACTTGGACAGGGCCTGAGAGCTGGCGCCATCGGCAACAACGGCAATGTTGGGCTTGGAGTAGACGACGTCGGCGAAGCTGGCGACGTACTCCTCGTTGACGTACTTCTGGAAGGGGGCCGTGGTGGAGGGGTTCAAGGCGGCACCAAGGCCAGAGTGGAAAGCGACGGCGTGGGCGTTGTCCAGAGCGAGGCCGGCAACATCGGCGTTAACAGCAGCCTTCTTGTAGGGCAGGACTCGTTCAATCTCCTCGTGGAACTCGTGGGCTATACAGCAAACAAAAATTTTAGCCTCGGTCGTGAAGATTCAGCTTTTTCTAAATTTTGCGAACAGGCCATCTCTTACTGGTGTACTTGGTCTGGGACACAACCTCGGCCAGGAGCTCGGCGAAGTAGGGCAGATCATCGCGCAGGAAGCTGGCCTCGATGACAAGAGCCTCACGGGTGTGAGAGGCGGTCAATTGGCCTCCGAGAAGCTCAGACTCGCGGGCAATGCGCAGGGCAGATCGTCGCTGGGTGGTCTAGAGGCGATATAAAATTAGCTCAAGCTACGCCGGCAAGCCTCGAAAAAAAAGCAGAATGCGCCCTTGCCTTGAAAGCAAACTGCTCCAGACCATAGGTCAGTCCAGGCAGCGGCTGGTAACGAGTTCCGGCCTTGGCCACAACCGCCAGCGTCGTGGTCGGTCCGTGAGCATCCTTGGAAGCAATCTTCAGCCCACTGACATCGGCAGTCTCGTACGATGCGGTTGGGGCAGCGGCAGCAGCATAGCCGCGGCGAGGCACGGCGCCTGACCGGCGGGCGGCCTGCTGCACGCTTCTCGAGAGAGCCGATCTCGAAATCATTGTCGAGGGTGATGGCGTATTCAATTGGCGGTCCTTGAGGCGTCGTGATGGAGCAATGGATCGCCGAAAAAGAAGTGCCTCGTCGTGCAGCTATCCGTCTAATTTTCGGCACCCGGGAGAGGTTGGCACGGTCACGTGATGCGCCGCGGATATCCATCTTTGCGTCCAAAGTTGCCTCTTGACGCCGGTTTGTAATCAGTAGTTTGCCGTCGTTTTCTTTTCCTGTTTTTTTCTTCTCTCGTCTCTTTGTCTTTTCATACCATGGCATCGTTAAACATGCACAGAGCAGCGTCGCGATTCGTCGCCGCTGCAATCTCAAGGCCATTGCCGGCATGTCGGATCGCAGTGGCATCTCAGCGACATCTGAGCACCAACATGCGGATCCCAGCCATTGCCGCATCACGGCCTCAAGTCAGGAAGACGAAGCGCTTGATACCGAGCGGCGTCCGAACAATCTTTATCCAGACTGAAAACACACCAAACCCGGATGCCCTCAAGTTCTTGCCGAATCATCGCATCATCCCGCCAGACATGACCACCCCATTTATAGAGTATCTAAACCCGAGAGCTACGATTTCTCCGCCGCACCCCTCGCCTTTGGCTGCCAAGCTCATGAACATTGACGGCATAACCTCAGTCTTTTACGGAGCCGACTTCATCACTGTGACCAAGGCTGGAGATGCCAACTGGGCCCATGTGCGACCTGAGATCTTTGCTCTCATTACCGAGGCCATCACTTCCGGCGAGACGATTGTCAATGTTGTGGAGCGCAAGGAGGGTGAATCAGCAGCGGCCGTGGAAGAAGACAGTCTAGCTTACAACGAAAACGACAGCGAAGTGGTAGGCATGATCAAGGAGCTGCTGGAAACCAGGATCCGGCCGGCCATCCAAGAAGACGGTGGCGACATCGAATTCCGTGGCTTCGAAGATGGCCAAGTGTTGCTGAAGCTGCGTGGAGCTTGCCGAACATGCGACTCAAGTACTGTGACACTGAAGAATGGCATTGAGGGCATGTTGATGCATTATGTGAGTCTTATCGAGTTGATGTTGCCAAGCAATTGTTTACTGACCGTCGAGCTCTTTGTCGCATAGATTGAAGAAGTCCAGGGAGTAAAGCAAATCCTGGATGAAGAAGAGGAGATTTCTCTGCAGGAGTTTGCCAAGTTTGAGGAAAAGTTGAAGCAGCAGCAGAAGGCAGCCGAGGCGTCATGAACCCCGGGTGAAGGTGTTCTGTCTTAAGGTATGAGGCAGTCTGTACGTTAGGAGGCATGGCATGTAGAAACGCAAAGTAAACCGATACCCGTCACGCAGACGCCCACAGAATTGTATTGTCGAAATTGTAGAAATTGTAGAAATCCCCGTAGTCGTAATTCCTGCCTTTGTCACATGCAAAGATGTTTTCTGCGGCGCATGCACGATGCGTTCATCAAAGTTGTATCAAATCAAGATGATATAATTGGAGGTTCAACGGCTCTCCAAGTACCAGGTTTAAAGTACCTAAAGTACCTGCAGCTGCCAAACCGCCTGCCGACACAGGCAACAAGGCCTGATCCTTTGCGCGTGCCCCACCTTCCCTTTTAGCTCACCATCCGCCCGCAAAAAAATTGGCCAAGGCCCATCTTGCAGCTCGCAAACACATCACTAAACCGTCAACTTTTTTTCTTTCCATCTTCACCTTGACCCGACCGGCGCTGCGACCTTCTCCCGCCACGTTTCCTGTCCTATCGGTGCACGAGGAATCCAGATCTGTTGCGGCACAAGTCAATGACTCCGAGGTAGCACCAGTGGCAGCTCTAGAGATAGTGAGAGGATCTCTAGGAGCAAGCAATGTTCGTCGTTAGTCACACTCGCCGTTTGTATCGAACCGAGGGGGGAGAGGAAGAGGAAGACGGGCTAACGCCAGCGACATGACATGTACAGACTAAACATGCGGCGGAGCTTTGCGCTCTCCTAGTCAATGATCTCTATGGCGAGCTTCCTTCGGTATGTGCCAAGTCCTCATCCATTGGCGCCGCCATGCGAGGAGCAGCGCGCTCTTCGCTTCCATTCTTGCTAGAGGCTAACCCCGTATGTTTCGCCATTGGTGTAGCGAATCCTCGCCGCGCTCTTCACAAAGGGCCGGTCAACCATCACACAGCTCGGGCTCTACACGCAGCTGGGCCCCCGCCAAATTCGCAATGGCCTGGGCGTCCTGATCCAGCAGAATCTGCTATACCACCACACAGATGCCGACACCAAACGAACCACCTATGAAGCCAACCCCGGAGCATGCTACAACCTAGTTCGATCTGGCAAAATCTTGGAGATGATTGAGAGCCAATACGGAACGGCAGAGCGCGACCTCGTACAGACTCTCCTACTTCTTGGGTATGCAAGGATCGCGGAGCTGACTCACGCATACGTGTCCCGCGCCCCAAGATCAAATGGGCACGCGAACGGCAATGGCGTAAATGGAGCTGACTCCGGCCTGATTGAATCCGAGTCCGAACTTCACAATGTGCTGAGCCACTTGATTCGATGCGAAATCATTGAAACGGTTAGGCCGCAGTCTTTCCGCAACCCTAGCGACGTTTACCACGAAATCGAGGCGGAGGTTACCAAGACGGCCCCTGGTGAGAAGGCAACCAAAACAAAAATTGATCAGCAAAGGCAGATTATGGAGCAGTATCGAGCGTTTAGGGATCAGCCCAAGGCTCTAAAGAGGCAGCTTGACCAGTTTGGCGGCCCCGTAACCAAGCGAAGGAAGACTGGTAACGGATTGGGAGATGAGGATAGAGCAATGGATGACGACATGCCACCTCTTAACGTAAGACGCCCCCCCTGCTTTCATGCTTTTGCAAGTACATACGTCTAACTGAAACCCCCAAGCCAAACGTGGTTGTCAGGGTAAATCACGAGAAGTGCCTGGTCGAGCTGCGCAGCCACCGTCTAGCCAGCTTCGCCAAGGACACTCTGGGAGAGGTTACCGGCGAGGTGTATCGCACGCTGCTAGGCCTTCTTACCACAGATGTGTCTAGGTGCCGGGCAGATCCGTTCCTGGGCGAAGAAGCCATTGCTCAACAAGCGACAGTCACGACGATGGACGTCTATGAGCACCTAGATGAGGCAGTCAATGTCACATCAGGGATAGGGAAGGCTCCCAAGGACAAGATCGACTACCAGAGCGCAGAGAAGATCAAGACCGCGCCCGCCGGAAACGACATGATTGATAACGACTCGGATGAAGACCCATCGGGGCCATTTGACAGCGATGATTCAGATGATATGGGCACAAACGGGAACTTTTCCCGAAGATCTCGGTCCGTATCCAAGGCCAATGGAGGCCGACCAACCAAGGTGACGTTTGAGGAGGCAGCGACATCAACCGATAATCGTCTGGACCAGATGCGCCAGCATCTCCTTCTACTGGCAGAAAGCAAGCACCGCTTCGTTCGCCACTGCGGAGCACAAGGCCGTGGGCAGTGGACGGTGGATTTTGACCAGGTGATGGAGCGTCTTCGAGAGACGGAGCTTGATGCCTCCATCGAGCAATCCTTTGGAAGACATGGACTTCGCCTTACTCGTATACTCCGGGAGAAGGGCAAGCTGGATGAAAAGATGCTGCCTTCTGCGGCGCTGATGAAGAAGACGGACGTGCAGGCCAAAATGCTTGCCATGCAGATGGCTGGCCTGGTAGACGTGCAGGAAGTCCCCAAGGACAACACAAGAGTGGCCAACAGGACGCTCTTTTTCTGGTTCTTTGACCGGGAACGGAGCCAAGCACAGATCCTGGATGACTTGTACAAGGCAATGGTCCGCGCTCTCCAGACACTACAGGTGGAGAGACATAGGGAGCGGAACATTTTGTCCTTTGTCGAGAGAAAGGATGTCATGGGAAAGGAGGAAGAGGTGATGACGGCAGAGCATTACAACAAGTATAACAGGCATTTGGAGGAACAGAATAAGCTTCTTGGACAAGTGATGAGACTGGATGAGATGGTGTCGACATTCCGGGAGTACTAGAGTCATTGGAACAATGTAATTTTATTCTATTATTTTTGCAACTGCTGCAACTGCTGCTACTGCTGCTATGCATGGATGGTTGCTTTACTTATACTTGCAAGAAAAGCGAATTCATGTCCTTGATCAGAAGCTGGTGTCTAGAATTGGCATCCCGACAAAAGATGTATTTCAATGGATATCGTGTATGTTTCTTGATTCTCCTCTCTCCTACTCAGTGGAAATTGCCACGGCGTTTGAGCCGGATCGCTAGCTATCAATACTTGCCTCTTCAATCCGCCACGGTACTAATACCATTATCACGGGAATTCTCCCGTCTGCTGTTTCGGCTATTAAGCCGCGGCAGGGAAAGCCAAGACAGGGTCTTGTTTAAGACCTCGGTCTTATAAGTGCTCCCGACACAATGCGGCCTCAATCATGGCGTGGCCAGTGGCTATCGAAATGGCCGGATACCCGTAGATATACAGGCCTTGCACATTTCAAATATCCAACCTAATTCATTTCCTTTTCTCCTGTTAACTCGACATTTCTCTCGATAATTGCGCAAACCCATTACAACATCCTCCAGGGTAGTAGCGAGCGCCACGACTGAGTCGAAACCAAACGGAGAAAAAAAAATCAGCCATCCAAAGAATCGTCCGATACAGCGCAAATTACCCCTCCAAAAGGCCGCCGCAACCCCGCTAAAGCCACAGCGCCAAACCTCTCGCGTGCCCGCCGAAAATCGGTCCATGTGCTAAGAGTCTCGACCCAAGGTTCCTTATCGGCAAACTGAAAGCGTCATAAAGATATCCAACCAGAGAAAAAAAAAAGTTTCCATCCCACAGCAGGATATTTCGACGGAAACCTTCTTCTTCCTTGGTCTTCCCATCTTCCCTTTTTTGTGCTTTTGTGGCAAGGGGTCTTGATTTGTGTTGATTTCCTGTATACGCTGGGTATTGTGTAATTTTTATTTTCATCTTTTCTTTTTCAAACCTTATTCACAAAATGTCACCACCGGCTTCTGGAGGCTCCAAGGAGTCAAACCTGGCTCGTCTGCTCGGTTCAGGTATAACAACGATTTCCTCCTGCGCGCGCCCAATTGCGAGCGCGGACAACGAGCTGTGGCTGATGAAGGGATTTCAGGTTCCGCTGGTATTTCTGAGCTGGCAATTTTCCACCCTGTATGTCGTCCGGAGGAATCGCAGACGCCCCCCCGTTAAAATGCCTTGACTGACGAATTTTTTTTGCGCTCTTAATAGGTGGATACTATCGCGAAGCGATTGATGAGCAACCAAACCCGAGTAAGGACGCATTCACCACATCCCCCCCCTTGTGCAGCGAGATGCGCGGCAATTGAAGCGGCGAGAAATCAATGGAATCCGAACCATCCAAGCTGAACATCATCGCAGGTTGCCTCCGCAAGCCAATTGAACCAGGTCATCTTCAAGGACAAGGCCTCGGCTCCCCTGGGACGAAAGTTCGTGTCGCTGTTCCCGGGTCTGGGCTATGCCGCCGGCTACAAGGTGCTGCAGAGAATATACAAGTATGGCGGCCAGCCCGTTGCGCGCGACTTCTTGGGCAAGCACTACGGCAAGGACTTTGAGAATGCCTTTGGCAAGAAGACGGGCAAGGCCATCATGCACTCGACCGCCGGCAGGTAAGAGAACTCGATGAACAGGTTGTCTTTTTGGAAAAGAACTCTTTTGCTGACTTCGGATAGCTTGATCGGTATCGGAGAAATCGTCCTGCTGCCCCTCGACGTGCTCAAGATCAAGCGCCAGACGAACCCCGAGGCTTTCCGTGGCCGTGGTGTCTTGAAGATTGTCGCCGACGAGGGCTTCGGCCTGTACCGAGGCTGGGGATGGACTGCTGCTCGTAACGCTCCCGGATCTTTCGCTGTAAGTCTTCCTCTGCTTCTGCATTTTTTGCATGAGAAGCCCGAGTGTCATTTTGCTGACGAATATCCCCAAATCCAGCTCTTCGGAGGCTCTGCTTTCGCCAAGGAGTACCTGTTCCACCTCGAAGACTACAACAAGGCCAGCTGGTTCCAGAACTTTGTCGCTTCCATTGCTGGTGCTTCTGCCTCGCTCGTCGTCTCCGCTCCCCTCGACGTCATCAAGACCCGAATCCAGAACCGCAACTTTGATAACCCCGAGAGCGGCTTCCGAATCCTGACCAACATGGCTAAGAATGAGGGTCTGCCCAGTTTCTTCAAGGGTCTTGTCCCCAAGGTACGATTATCGATATGGCGTCTTTGTTGGCTTTGCTTCTGCTATTGCTCGCTGCTTTGTCATCTCCCTGATGGTGCAAGTGGAGAGTTGATGGCGGTCGCAAGCCTTCATGCACACGCCCCTACCCCCCCTTCTCTCTACGAAACTGAGACTGACATGAAATGTTTTGCAGCTGCTCATGACCGGACCCAAGCTGGTCTTCTCTTTCTGGCTCGCCCAGACTTTGATCCCTGCTTTCGACACCATGTTCGCTAAGTCGCAACCTAGCCACGCATAAATCCATACAACATGTACCACCTACAAACGATAAACGAGTATTTAAAAAAAACTCCCAATTTGAAATACACAAAAGAGAGAGAGACAAAGAGAGAAATCAAGAAAAGAGAGAGACAGAGAATCCTAGGCGGCGGCGTCTTTTCTTTGGAGAGTGTTTACAGGCGCCGTTGGGCTTGGGGTGTTCTTGGCCGCCATGGATGGCATGTACCTATAGAACAACTCTGCTCTGTGTAGAATTAGACAGTTAGCGATCAAACCATGAATAGGACGTATACTATTACTTACAAAACTACGCGTATCCATCCACTTACACCCACCATTCCAACAATAAAAGGCAGAAGAGCGCACAGGGCAATGCATCTCCACCCAACCCCCCCCCCCGAAGCAAAATCTCTCCAGACATCGTCCCCCCCCAGCCATGCCTTCAATTCGTCGACATGGCCTATCACCATGTGCCTTGCGCCCAAACCTGATTCGCCATTATCCATCCTGCCTCGAAACCGCAGAGCCAATGAATGTGTCTTGTTTCCCCCCCTGTACCAAATACCGTCGCAAAAAAAAGGCATGTACAAACGCCCACCCCCCAGCACTCCGTTGCCCAGCAACGCGCCAGTGGCGCAACAAACAAAACACCCCTGTCCGCCGCCCGCCTTCTTGATGAGCCCGTCCGCCCCAAAAGTGTCCCCATCAGATCCAACCACCGCAACTTTTATCAAAACCCGATCTTTTATGAAAAGCCGAGAGTTGTGAAACAACGAAAAAAAAGCTCCCCATCTTGTCCGAGATTGGGAGTCAAAAGGTGTCAGCCTCTGCTTTTCTCCGCTGAGCAGTAACACCTTTTTATTTCTCTCACACTCTCTGCAGCAGGCTGCACACCGCGATATATATTGATATCCGGAATACCTAATCACACCGTCGACTCTCTCTCTCTTATCGCTTTTTCCAGATTGTTTTCGACGGAACCTAATTGTTGATATTTACGGCGGGCGTCCTCTTTTTCGCAAACTTCTCGCCCATCGCACGCCGCATTCCGTCGAGGGCAGAAGCATGCCATATACCGAACGACAAGGCTCTTTCGACGCAGAACCCTACCTGAGACATCAACATTCAGCTTCCTCAGAGCGAGGACTCATCCCAATGTGCGTATACCTTTACCGCATCCAACCGCCATGTTGCTCTGGCGTCAATTAACCCGTAGCAGGTGGGAAAGTGCGGAAACTGAGCGCGCGCTCAGCCATCAGTCGCCCAAGCATTCTGCGCGCACAAACACATCGCCGTATCCAGTGTCGAGCGCCATCCAGTCTGCTCATGCTGCGCTGACCGAGCGGGTGCGCGAAAGCCACGGCACCCATATCCCTCCTCCCGTGGCCAAGCGCGTCAACGACCCATCGCCGGATAGATCCATCGCCAAAGGCGCCGGCCCTCACCGCAGGCTGCAGTCAATGGCATCTGGCTCTGTGCGAGACATCAGTATGATGCTGGAGAATGCCTCGAATAGCCCCAGCAACACGTCTCCCACAAAATCCTTTGAAAGGTCGGAGAGGAACGTCAGGCCATCGACGCCGCCAGGACTCAGAGAGACCAGCTCGTTTGAGGTTCCTCGCACCAGCATCTACGATAAAGAGATGAATCTCTCAACATCGTCACTATCAAGCAGCTTAACGCCCATTGTGCGACCTACCGTCCGTCGACCGGCGCCGCAAAGCATTCTGTCGGAGAACACTCCACCCCAGTCCTCAACCATGCTGGCCTTGCAGAGCATGCCCAGCGGATCGCCCACCAAAGAAACGGAACCGCCGCTTTCCAACATCACCAACGGCGCAGCGGGTGGTGGAAAGGGTGCAACCATGGACTCTCTAGCATCACAGATTCTTAGCCTCACCAGCATCGCGAGTTCCCTGCAAAAGGAAATGGCAGCTCTCAGTCGACGCAGCAGAGACAACGCCACGGACCTGCTTAGCCTCAAGGAGGCTACAAACACTCGAGACGAGGATATCAGAAAGAGTCTCAGGGATCTTTTGGGCAATATTCATGAAACCTCATCCAAGATTGCCACAAGGGACTCGTACAATGGCAGCTATTTCCTCGATAACAAGCCTCACCCGCAATCGCCCAACAGTGGCCGAACGTACCAGATTCCCCGGATTCCCTCGCCCAAGAGCTTTGCTGAATCTATTGATCGCGCATCCATGAGCACGCCATCGTTGGTGGGTGGCGATAATTCGGGCGCAACTTCCATTCTTCTTCTAGAGAAGATTCTCCGCGGTCTGGGTACCAGGGATGGACAGGAGTCGCTGCTCGGCCATCTCCTTGAGCTTTCGGACAAGCTTACTGGCATGGCAACGGCTGCCAAGGTAGAAGAGCTGGTTGATTTTGTTCGTCTGCAGACTGAGAGTGCCATGGTGCCCATGAGTGCTCCAGGCCACGCCCGGAGATTCAGCCTGGACCACGAGAATAGCATCCCCCACGGCCCAAGCAGCGCCATTGCTCCTCGATCGCTTAACAACTTGGACCATTCTCGCCGGGTACCGGGTTCCCAGGGCATTCTGAACGATGACGTGATCAACATCATTCGCTCAGTCAAGGATAGCGTTGCCGCAGGTGGTGGCCTCACTGCAGAAGTCAAAGCACTTGTCCGAGAACTTCGAGGCGAAGTCCTGGGTATGGGCCGTGAGCTCGGCAAGAGACTGGAGAATGTCGGTAGAAAACCGGGAGACAGCACCGAGCCATCGCCCCCGGCTAGTAAGGATGAGGTTTCGCGGGTCATTGACGAGGGACTTGAGCAGATGAAGGAACAGCTCAGCCATGTTCTCAAGGAGCACCGCCGTCAGTCCCAGGCATCTGCCGCTTTGCAGAAAATCACGGTCGATTACCAAGAGATATACTCTGCTCTGAGGAGGGCGCTCAAGGATATCGATGCCACCAAGGAAATACCAGACTTGAACAGAGATGACGTTCTCGATGCTGTGCGTGACGCTTGGGAGAATTACAAACCCGAAATTGAAGTGCAGCAGATTGGACTGGAAAGGGACGAGATCCTTGAGTGCTTGAAGCAGGGCCTCCAAGAATACGAGAGCCGCAACCAAACGCCCCCGGCAGCCACGAGAGACGAGATCTTGACGGCTGTTGTCGAGGGCCTAAAGCACTACGTGCCTCCCCAGGTGGACACTCAGGCATCCATGTCCAGAGACGAGATTATCGAAGCCGTTCGCGAGTGCCTGGAGGAATTCGAGTTTCCAGTGGCCCCATCTGCGCTTAGCAACGAGCTAACGCGCGAGGATATGCTCCGCGCTGTCAAGGAGGGCCTCAACGACTTGGATCTTGGAAAGAGCAACGCTCTTGTGCCAACTCGCAATAATGACGAAATCAGCGCCAAGCTACACGAGCTGATGGACTTCATGAAGCTCGAGTTTAGAACCATCTCGGAGAATAGTGGCCGAGAGACTGACCAGCTCATGGATGCCACCAAAGATAGCCTTGAGAATCTCCGCGTGGCAATTGAAGGCTACGTTGACCGTGCTACTGGTGTCGCCAGCCAAGAAGACTTCCTGGAAGGCCTCCTTAAGTCAATGGAGGAATTTAAAGACGAGGTTTCCACGCTTGTATCCAAGGCTAACGCAACTTCTCGAGAACAGCTCCAGACGGAGCTGGAAGGGCTTCGAGATGTTGTCCACTCGTCCATGGTTCCCGCCGCCCCCTTGATGCCGCAACCCCACAACGAGGAGCTCCTCGACGCTCTGCGGAATGGACTGAGCAACCTTCGACAAGAGATCCTCCGACCACGGCCAGAGACTAGTGAAATTCTCGACGCTCTTAATGATGGCCTGAATGACATTCGAGCTGGCATTGACAGAATCACCAACAAGCCCGTTGATCTCACTGCAAACGATGAGATCCTTGACGCCCTCAAGGAAGGTTTGGACGGTGTAAGGTCTGACATTGGTACAATTCGAGACTCGAGTAACGATAGGGCGGTTGCCATTCGTACTGTTGCCAGTAGCGACAATGACCACGAGATGGCGATTATCCCTGCTGATATGGCCAAGCATGATGATATCAAGAATCTCGAGATCCTAATTACTCAGTTACGCGCCAAGATTGAGGAGATTAAGCCAAATTCCACTGCTCCGGCTGCAGCTCCCAAGGTGGACCTTTCCCACTTGGAGGGCATGCTTCGCGATGTCCAGAGGGGTGTTGATGAGCTGAAGTCTCGTGCACCAGTGATCGTCCAAGCAGCGAAGCCACGCGAAGGGTTAGAGCAAGACAAGGACGACGCAGAGAAGCCAAAGGAGGAGGAGGACTATGTAATGAGAAGCATTCCCTCCATCTTCACCAGAAGTGGCGGCAACCCGACCAAGGAAGACGTTGCTGCCATTGAGAATATTCTGCGCAACACCAAATCCCGTGTAGACCATCTGATTGATGGTGATCAGGCGGTGCGACGGGAGCATATCGACACCTTGGAGTCGCTCATCCTGGAGTCTCGAGAAGCCATTCGATCGGTCAACAGGCAGCTGGAAGACATCCCCAACCTGTTCCACAAGGATGATTTTACCAAGCTAACGAAGCTCATCTCGGAACTCGGTGAGGGTCTGCAGGATATCAAGGAGCACGCCGAACGAGAGGCTAAGAGCCCCGAAAAGGTCAAGAAGTCGGATGTTCATGCCGTCGAGACGGTTGTACGCGAGATCAAGACGCTGGTGGACGGAATTGCAGTAGCAGATTTCGCCACCATTACGACCCGGGATGATCTTGCCAAGCTGGAAACTGTCATGAAGGAGGCCAAGGAAACTTTTGAAAACTACCATGAGGCATCATCGAAAGCGCTTGTTGACCGTCAGAATGACATTAGCGGCGTGCATGACCGCGTTTCTGAGGTCAAGACATTCCTCGAAGAGTTCCAAACGGAGATCCAGAACAAGCTTGTGGACGGTTCTACCGGCATCGAGGGCATCAGCAAAGTGCTGAAGGCCATGGGCGAAAAAATGGAAAAGAACGAGAATGTCTCTGGAGACTTGAAAGACATGTTTGAACTCATGAAGAGCGAGTTTGAGATTTCCAAGGAGGCCATCGCTGGATCCAGGATCGAGTCGAATGAGAAGCTCGACGAGGTTACAGAAAACATTCGCACCAAGATTGACGACAAGATCAGCGAGGTACTGGCTAAGAACGAAGCGCTGCGGATCCTGATGGACGAAAAGTCGCAAGCTGCTGAAGCTCGCGAGATTGTGACCGAGTCTGCCGTCGCAGGTACCAAGGTCGTCGCCGACGAGCTAAAGCTCCTGATCGATACGCTCGGATCAACTGTCACTGATTCCCTAGAGAAGATGGAGGAGGCTTCCAAGATTGTCTTCACCAAGGTTGAAGAGGTGGCCACTCGCTCGGAGGAGACTCACAACGAAGGCAAAGCCGATCACCAGCAGACGCGCGATCAGCTCCAGGCAGCTGTCGGCAAGGTCCAGGGCAGCGTGAGCGAGTACCAGCCCCAGATTCTGGAGGCAGTCAAGAGCATCCTTGGTCTCGTCGGGGATCACTTTGAGCACTCCAAGAGCATCCAGGACCAGGTGGTTGGGGCAATTCCCACGGAGCAAACTTTCAGGGCCATGATGCCCGAGAAGTACGACGATGCGGTGGTGCACGAGAAGCTGGACAAGATTGTGCAGCACAATGATGCTGCGGCCCAAGCCTTGCTCCAACTCCAGACGCTTGACAAGGTGCACCAGTCGGTTGTCGACAGCGCCGCCGAACTGTCTGAGTTCCTTTCCAAGCAGACAAAGCACATCGTGGAGGAGCGAGACAACCGCGCTAGGATCCTGGAGGAGACCAACATTGCCCTCGAACGAGCTGTCACTGAGAGGGAGCATGCCGAGGCTTCGGTTAAGACCCTAAAGGAGGAAGAGGAGTGGCTTCGACGGAGCCTGCTGTCGCTACGTACCGAGCAAGAGGGCTTGATGAAGCAAAAGACTCGTCTTACCGGCGATGTCTCTGCCCTCGAGACGGCGCTACGCCTACGCAAGGAGGAGCTTCTCGAGATGGAGCTTCGTGCCGAAGGATTGGAACGCCGAATCTTCAATGGAGTCATGGATCACTCTCGAGTGCTCCTCTTTGGCAAGAAAGCCAAGGGCGGCGCGGAGTCTATGAATCGAAAGCGGGTTAAGAAACCAGCTGGCGAGGACGGCACGTCAACCTCACGAGTCATCCCAACACATCTTTCCTCAGCAAGAACCCCCATGGCGCCTGGTCAAACGGGAACTCCGCGACGTATTGCGTCGCTCAGTCAGATGACCAAGAACGTGGCATCGAGCACCATCACAAGAAGCCATAGCGTGAAGACACCGACTGTTAGTGTCAACGGCCATCGGAAGCGCAGCTGGGGAGGCACGGCACAGAAGAGTGGACTGAGCGAGGAGAATAAGGAGAACTTGAGCGTCGACGAAACGGTGGAAGAGCTCGATGAGGGCGACATGGTCAACGTGACGCACGAGTCTGCGGTTCATGACGCAGCGGGAGATAGCTCGGAGTACGAGGAAGAGATTGACGAAGATGATGACGAGGATGCTCGTGAGAGGCACGACGAGAGACACGACGAGAGCGATGGTACGCAGAGGCGACGGATCAGCAAAGGCAGCTCTGCGTATGAAGACGAAGACTCTGGAAGTGAGTACGAGGAGAGCATCGATGGCGACGATGAGCCCCACGCCGCTGTGGTTGTTCGATAGACGATGACGATTGGAATAATGAGAGCCTTTTCAGAGGCTATGAATTTTATCGAACTGGTTCGCTTGGAGGCAGTGCTGGCTTTTACCCCCTTTTCTTTTCTTGCTTTCTTCTTCTACTATTATTGTTCAGCAGGGATGGATAGTTATGAGGAGACATGATAGCCGTTGTTTGTTTGATACCTGTATGTAGCTTTGAATGATAATTGACAGTCACGTTATACCATAATATCATTACATTATTGTACACGATTGTTTGGCGGTTTCATGTGACTGAGAATGAACTTCAAGATGCAGATATTTGCATAGGAAGGTAGCAGATAACAAGTAAGTTGAAGTTGAAGCTGTATAGAATCACGTGTGTGTGTCTGTAAGTCGAGGAAAGCGCATGCGATAATACAGCATCATCTTGCTGCTTATAGGCGCTAGTGGGGCACCAAGCACCGATACGGTTATCAGCCGTTTTAATGGTGGGGTGCCAAGTTCAATCACCAAAAGCTACTTAAAACAACCATCACGCTGCATCTCGTCTCATTACGCCTCTTCCCACGCCGCGATATATTTAGCACCAAGAAGCCAAAATTCGCGCGTTCTCTCTTAAAGATTAAAAAAGAGAAGAATAAGTACTATTAGGCGAACATGGATCAGCAACACGGGGGGCTCCTCTCGCCGCCGGAACTGTCGCCTCTGGAGCAGGAAGTGTTGGAGGAGTATGAGCGGCTGGCGACGAATATGAAGACGGTACGTTGCTGAAATGAAGATTCGATTCCCTCTGGCTCAATTTTACACCAATGTTTTTACCTTTTTTAAAAATCGCGTCAATTGAGGATGGAAATGCTAATGGCAAGAGCGGGGAGCAGCTGGCCACTCTGTTGGACAATCTGGCGTCGAATCCGACGGTCGGGATACTTGATGGGCTGCGGGAGCTGGAGCGCAAGACGAGCTTGGCGTTTACGCTGCTCAAGGCTAGTGTGTATAGCATTGTGCTGCAGCAGGAGATTGATTGGGGCGCTGGTGGTGAGGAGCAGGCGGCAAAGAAGGAGGAGGAGGAGACAAAGGAGGAGGAGGAAGAGGAAGAAGAGGAGTTGTGATAGGCTCTGTTGAGGGTTGGCGAGAGATTTGGCATGTTTTTATTAATGATACCCCGGAACATGACGAGGATCTTTGGGATGATTTGAGTGTATATAGCAAGGGATCTCATATTGGCGAATGCACTGTTGTTCTTGTTTTGCTTTGCGTGTAAGATGTATATTCATTTTCCAGCGTTACAGTACTTGTACACAGAGTAGTGTGTCTCGACATTCACCACTCACAACTCTCCCCTCTTTATTTCTAACAGCCAGCCCTCTTTCTCTCGTTTTTTTAATATCCCCCTTTTTGTTTTTCCAAATGACACCCCGAAGCTCCCCAACCCCCGTTTAATATACATTGCCTCCATAGTACACCTTTCGCACATCCACCATCTTCTTCCCCCGTCCGATGGCAATCTCCTCGGGATCGACCTGGTTCATCAGGGCGTCATACGCCGCCTTGACGGAGTTCATGGGGTTCTTGGATCGGGGCATGCGCGCCGCAATATCGTGGATGCCAGAAGCGCGGCACATTTCGAAGATGCGGTGCGGGCAGCGGAGACCGAAGCCTGCAGTCGATATGTCAGTGTGCAAACTCATACAAAACCAGTGAAAAGATGGGAGTCTCGTTTAGTCTTACCTGGAGGACGGGCAAACAGCTCGACGACGGTGCCCGAAACCTTGGCCTTTGCGTTTCCGTAAATGGTCCGGTTCTCGTACCGCCTGATGGGCTTCATGTTGCGGATAGCCAGCAGCTGCGCCGTCTCGGCCGCGAGACCGGCCTCGGTGGACTTTGCAATGCCGAGACCCAGGCGGCCGTTGCCGTTGCCCGCGATGGCGACAATGGACGTGCTGCGCACCTTGCCCAGACGGGTCTGGTTGGTGACCCAGCGCTGGACGAGCACCTTGCGGTAGATGGACTGGATGTCCCTCAGCGACATGCCCGTCAGCCGCTTGATCTCCTGGTAGCGGCCGTCGTCGTCCTGGCCCTCGTCCTCGGGGTCGGCGGCCGACTTGTACAGGCCCTCGACGCCGGGAACCTTGCCCAGCTCGGCGACCTCGGCGGAGTGCAGTCGGATAGTGCCAGCAGGGCCGTCCTCGATCAGCTCTAGGTTTGAAGGCTCAGCCTCACCGGAGTCTGGTCCTTCGCTGATCTTGCTCAGCTCCTTCTTCCACTCCTCGTCAATAGCCTGGTCGAGCTTCATGACCTGCTCCTTGGTCAGGATGGCAGCATCGCCATCCGACTCGGCTTCACCGTCCTCCTCGACCAGATACTTCTTCAGCAGCTCGGGTTCCTTCTCCAGATCCACCAGTTCCTCCTCGGTGAGGTCTATCAGCTCCTCGCCGTTGCTCTCCTTGACTCTCCGCAAAGCGCGGACCATGGCTCTCGTGAGCTGCTCGCTCGTCTTCTTGTCCGTCAGGTCCGTCAGCTTGGAACCGTACTTGTCTGCCCAGTCGCTGGGATTCAACCATTGCGGCTCCCAGGGCGTGCCCTCCAGCTCCGGCTTGACGTCGTACCGCGGGTCTAGCACAGTGTAGTCCTCGATATACTGCGGCCTGTAGGGGTCATCTCGTAGTCGTCCCTGGAAAATGAGGTCGTTCGGGTCAATGGCCTCCTCGCCCGCCTTGATGGCCTCGATCTGCTCGGGCGTGTACTTGCTCTTGAGGGCCTCGAGCTCCTCCTTGGTGTACTCGGGGAACTTCTCCTGGCGGTACTTGGCGAGCTTTTCGGGGCTCAGCAGGCCCATATCCTCGGCCTTGACATTGCGAAAGCGTGATCGCCGCTTCGAGGGGCGGGGCGCCGAAGTGTGGAATTGATGCTGGCAACTGACGGTTTGCGCGGTGCGGGCAGAGGCGACGCACGTGCGCAGAAGGCTGCGCGCCGGGCGGGCGACGCTCATGGCCAGACGAGGCTCCGGATTGAAAGGCTCGGCAAGGTCAATTCCCCTTGGTGAGGCGTGGTTGGCGATGGCGGGCCTGCAGCTTCGAATCGACGCTTCGTCTCTCACACGACCCTTGAGATTTTTCTGCGATTTGCCCAATTGAGGAAACACACCATAAAGTGGCTGATGGTGACTCAGCAGCGGGCGGGTGGCTGGTGCAATGCAAAGCCACTGCTGGGCTCTAGCCACATCACGGGACGAAGCACGTGAAAACAGTTCTCTTCAGCAGACAGTTATGGATGAACCCTTGAATGGCTGACGCGCTCTACTAGGAATAGCGGCTGCATCACAGCACAACAATGCATCATTAATACGGTAGGCACCCTGATAGCCCCCAAGTCCCCTGAAACAGCGCCGTGCAAATCCTCAACTCACAAACAAAACCCCATACAATGCGCACTTCAAACCCATCCATAGCATGAATATCTCAATAGGTAACATTCATAAAGCAATTCAATCCAATTCTCCAATAAATGACCAGTAACTCCCCCATCCCGCCTCATCCCCCTCGCCTGACACGGACCCCTCCAAAACACCAAACGCCTCCGCGTACCATCGTGAAACGTTTCAGGAGCACGTCCCGGTTTCGAACCTATTGTCCTCAACGCCCGTCTGTTTTTATTTTTCCTCTTCTTCTTTTCTTCTTTCTCTTCGATTCTTGCCAAGTTCGTCGTGCTCACTCATTCCGTTTCGTTTCTCTGTTTTTCTATTGTCTTCTTGTCTTTTAATTCTTCAAATAATTTCTTACAGGCGTAGCAAAGTGACTGGTTCACCTCCGCCTCCTCAAACCCTCACATCTCACCATAACCACATCGTCAACTTTAATTCCTCAAACAAAGAATGGGTCAATTCGATTGGTTCAAGAAAATCGGCGCCACCGATGAGGCCGTCGCCGTCCTCAACGACCAGCCCTACCTCTTCACCACCCTCGTCGTCGTCATCGTCGTTCTCCTGGCCCAGGGCGGTCTGCTGTATTTCATCCACTGGGCCACCTTCAAGCCCTCCCAGAAAAAGGCCCCCAAGAAAGGAGGGGCCGCCAAACCGAGCGGCGGCGGTCTGCTCAGCAAAATCACCCAGGGGAGAGGCGCCGACAACTCTCGCCGCGCAGCCGGTGGCAGCTAAGGGTCTTGTCACGATCATATCGGGTCTATTTCACACCTTTATACGACCATATTCATAAGGCAGATATCTACTTCACAAGATACCACACATGTACACTAGGCTGGATAACCGCAGTTTGGATCAATATTGCAGCCGTCAGTGTCTAATCAAAGGAGGAGGAGGAGGCGCCTTTACCATTCAAAATAAATTATATATCCAGGGGCGTTCACAGCACAGCACAGCACTAGTATATTCTTATTCATGACTTATAAAAACTAACATCTACATTTTCATATACTTGATGCGAGAACTTCCATTGTTCTGTTGTAGATTCGCTCGGACATAGCCATTCGTCAAATGTTAAAGATCCTATATCTATCAGCCATTGATCTTGATTCCATACAATAGCATCTACTGTATAAGGGTGTTCATATCCCATAAGCGGCTTATTGCCCATTTCAAACGAGCCAGAGGTATGATTCAACTCGGGTTGGGTGTAGCGATAATGGGTTCCTGGTAAAAGTGTCGCATTCCTTGCCTGTACCTCTGGTCAGCGCTAGGGTTCGAGGGATTTGGGGCTTCGTTGCTGGAAAAATGACTGCCTCACCTCATGGTTTTCCATCTGGCCGTTCGTATCTGACGATGCCGCAATCAATGCTACACCGTCTCTCTCTTCCTTTACCACAGCTGGTATTGGAGTGCTGTGTTCACAGAATCCTGTTCCTGACGTGGGTTCCGTACTTGGCCCCACTCTATTCATATCACGGCCTCTTGTTCTTGGTCTGGTTGGCATTTTTATTGTCGATAGCAAGACATCCCACGCACTTTTCTCAATTCCTCTTATGACACGGTCGTGGTGGTCACATTCAACGTCAGTCACACGGGCGGCGAGTGAAGCAACCTTTTGCCGAAGGCTGGGCGATTCGGCGGTTTTCATTCGAGCAAGCGATGTGGCTATGATTGGTAGTAGAGAGGCCCGATCAGATATAGCCTGGCGAGACTGTCAGCTCAAGATACATATGTCTCCTTTTGGGACTGAAAAGACCAACTGCTAGAAGATATTACCTTTAGATATGCCATGTTAAAAACCGCGGGTGCCAATCGTGTCAGACACTCAGCGCGAGTACAGTTAGCCGTAGTAATTCCTTTATACTGTTTGCGTGATCCGAGAACAAATATCTCCAAGGCAACTTGAAACAATTGCTTAAGAGCGTCTGAAAATTCAATCTGACATGGATGTTGAGTAGATTTGTCTGGTTCCGGTTGAGTCGGCATCGTATTCAAGCTTTGTATAAAGGCATCGATAGCTCTCTTATCATCCGGAGTCAAATACATAAAATGTTCGTCATCTGCGGACACGTCGGTCGGTGGTTGGGCTTCGACGCCTTCAATGGACTGTTTGGTCCGTTTTCTTTTTAATGAGCTTTTTTTCACGGATGGCACGTCCTTCTTCGGAGAAATGTTGACATGGCAAGTCACAGACTCGAACTCAGCCGTGAATGCATCTCTTTGAGTAACCAGAGTAGACGATAAATCCGGATGCTGTATTGAAAACGATATCTTGCCCGGACGTTCGATCGCACCTCTTTCCTGGGCATGCAGCCGAACTCCCACTCGGCTCCAAATCTACTCCGCAAGTCAGTTATTAATACCGCCAAGGGTAGTAAATCAGGGAAATTCATATACTTCACAATCCCTCACCCATTCCACGAGCTTTGCAATGTGATTTCTCTCTGACACGGGTTCGCCTTGGATGGAAACATCAAGTTGAAGATGGCAAGAACCGGTTCGTGCAACCCACAGGTGCTTTTCCATCACCAGCTTCAACAAATCGCTGCTTGTCCTCGGAGGATTCACACCATCTGGGAACCGCAGTTGCAGTGAGCCCCCGAGTGAGAAATCCAGCTGTTGTTCGTTGCCGACAAGATGGAGATTTGGCAAGCTCACGCTCGCGAGCTGCATGATGTCCCTTTGCTTATATCACAGCTGTTCAGAGGTATATTGAGTGTGTAGGCGCGTATCGTGTTGTCCGAGAATAATATTGATCTACCTCGGATGTTGGTAGAATATATAGACTGTAGAATTGACAATACACCAGCTACTCCATGTATAAAATTACGAGGTAGCTAAATGGATGAGATATTTTGGACGAGCTTTATCTTAGGCACAAATGGAGCCATGTTTCGTCACCGGTCATTCACATTTCAAAGGAAGCTGCAGCTCTCAAGATTTGGAAGGAACATTCATCCACCGCCTTCCCTCATGCATTACTAAGGTAAGCTTTGTATATAGGTACCCTAAACGACCGCAGTGATGCCATCTGATAATTGTCTTTGGAAAGGAAAGCAGAAGAAAGAGAAAAAAACAAAGGGGGAGAGATAAAAGGACCAACAGAAAAATCTCGAGTCTATGCTTTGCTGAAATCCATCCTTCGCCCAGCCTGCAGGAATATTGTCGCTACCCAAAAAGAAAAAAAAAAATCGTTTCAAAACATGAATATCCCAGTCTTTTTATTTGCCCATATGGTGACCTGAAACTCCTCGCCTCAACGTTTACTTAAGCCATGGAAAGATCTTCTTGGTTGGCTCCAAGGCTCCACCACCTGACGAGGAACCCTCGACATCAAGACTTCGCTGGTAAATCTCCTGTAACTCTCGTTAGCAAAGGTTATCAAGTACAAGGAAAGAATGCTATATCGTGCCTCTTCGTCCGTCGTCATATGACAGCCCAATATTAGCTCACGAACATTGTCGTTCTTGGAAAGGTTTGGGTACGGCGATCCCTGGCTCTTCATGAGGGGCAGGAGAACCTCACCGAGGACCTCAAACTTTTTCCAGTTGATGCGATCGCCATTGGGCCCAACAAAGGTTTTGCTGCCCTCCTCGGCAGACACCAGGTCACGACGGTGCAGGGGCATAAAGGGAATGCGGGGCAAGGGAGAGTTCTCCCAGGCCAAGCGGTAGGCAAAGTGACTCTTTTGGGTGCCCATCAAGATGACCAATCTCGCGAATTTCTTGTGAGTCTCTGGCGAAACTAGAGCCTTGGTTTGAGCGAGACGGTGGATTGCCGTTCCGTTAATACCAGCCAGGACGGCCGCCAAACCGTTGTAGTTGTTGAGCTGGCGGAGCTTGAGAGCAATGTTCATAAACTTTTCCAGCACGAGGGCTCGATGCTTCGCCTTATCCCGGAGGAGAATCATGTTGGCGACCCACTTGGCGACGTGGTTGAAGTGGTTAATCATGCGGTTTACATTGTTCAAGCTCTTGCAGCTCTCCTTTTGGCTGGCTGGCAAGCTGACATGACGGACAAAATCGCGAATGCGTATCGAAGAAAACATGATCCAGTCGATGCGGGTGAGCTCATCAGCGATATCGTCGTCCTTGATTTCGATAAAGATGCGGTAGCGAAACTTGTTCATCGGCAAGTGATCTGTGGGGTCCAAGGTGGCCGCCTCTCTGTCGTAGTCCTCATACGAGTAAAGCTGTATCTGGCCGCCGCTACCGACCACCCTGGCCAGGTTCTCCGAGCTCACAGACGGTCTCTCAAAGTTGTCTTCTTCGAACTGTAGGGCGGTCAGTCCAGCCGGAAGCTCGCTCAGCTCTTTGGAGAGAATATCGCTGGCCAGCTGGTCGTCAGCATCATCAGCGTTGGCCCAGCCGGTATCGTCATCCTCGATTACGTGGAGGGTTAGATTTCGGTGCATCTGCCTCGCGGCTATGCAGAAAATCGGCTCCGTGGAAAGATATCTGATGAACTCGTCCAAGTTTCGCCGCGTAGCTAAGCGAGCAAAGTCACCGGGATACAGCGACGCCCATTTGGCTACAGTCTCGATGATCCTGAGCTGAGTTGCCGTCTTGGTCAGATGATGAACTGTCTTGTCATCTCTCACGCGATCCAGCCGCATCAAAATGGCAGAGAAGAGCTCTCCAGGCGCAGCAAACTTGCGATACAGGCAAAGGAAGACATCGAAGAAATTGAGATCTGCCCTGGAAAGGGGCAACGCCAGCAGGCGATCCACAAGGTCGTCGAAAGGCACGCCTGCCATCTTTTGCTGCTTCTCTACTACAACGTCATCGTTTCGCTGCAAGATGGGAATGTCGTCGGAGTATCGACGAGAATCAGTATCGGACTCGTCGACGTCGAGGAAGGAGTCGTTTGCGCGGCCACCTAAGGGGGGCAATGTCAGCGTCGGACCCACAACAACTGCCATCGAATGCTCAAGGGTACGGATGCTGCGGTAAGCTCCCCCGTGCTCCGTACTCCGTATTTCGGTCTCCCGTAGTAGGTAATATTAATACTAACCTCGGTGTGGACTCCTGGACGCCTGCGTCTGAGAATGGCCATCTGTACCAGGAGGGCCGGTGGACGGAGCCGCGAAGCCACGGAGCAGTGAAAAGTCGGAACTGGCACGATTATGCCTTCCTTCACTAATTGGTCTGCCGGCGCTGGAATCGAGGGCGTCGAGATTCGCGGCGGACTGCGCTCTCTTGCGAGCAGCGCCCATCTCGCCCGTCTCATCTACACAACAGCATGTCAGCACGAGCGCATCTTTGGCAGCGTGAATAGGGGCATCGTCGCAATCCATACGTGGCAACATACCCCTTCTATGAGCCACGGCGGCCCTAAGAATGGCATGCAGACAGGTGCGATCTATTTCTGGGCTGGTCGAGGAGATCTTAAAGTGGGCCAAGCAGGACCTGAAGAGGGTGTGGCTGGCCAGGTCATCGGGATTGACCTGTCGTTCTTCTTCGGGTGCCTCGCATTTGGTCGCGACCAGCATGGCGGGCATGTTAGAATTTGTCAAAGCAGCTGCAGCAGTACGTGTTAGCCCCAGTTGAACGCGGATACCACTACAATATGCAGCTAAATCTCTCTCCGCTCCCCATCGCGAACACGCTGAATAGGCGCGCGGCAATAGGGCTGCTCAGTAAACGTACCCAAGGTCTGAGGAAGCTCGCAGATGGTGTCCTTGTTGGTAACATCGTAGAGCACCAAGGCGGCGTCGACTCGGGGTACAATGTGGCCGTTGATCTGTTTCGGCCACTGGATAGGATGTGGTGTGTTCAACTCGAAGGAATCCAGGTCCAGCTCGAGAAGTGTTATCATATAAGCGGCGGAATCGACGGTGATGCGTACGCTAGACGCGGTAGATATGGGTGGGCGCGACAGGCCCAGGATTCGCTGAACAAACGTCGACTTGCCGACGCCTATGGCGCCAATGATGGCAATGTTGTAGCTCTCCATGGCGGAGGATTGATGTGACTGAGAAATGCGACAACTGTCAGCATGGGAGCGGTCTCGAAAAAAAAATTAAGAATGTCTCATCAATGTACGGAGTAGCCAAGGTGAACTGGAGTGAACCCCTGGTTGGCTGCCCCGCGACAGCCTCCAAGCAGGGGTAGATGATTGAATAAAACTAATTGGGTGGAGACGGGGCAGTCGTGGTAAGATGATGAGCATGACTGAGGATTGGTCTGTCTGTACGGAGTACTCCGTATGCAAAGTTGCATCAAACTCATGCACGCCATGACGCTCCAATTGCGTTGAAGCAGGACCTTTGTCCCGTCTATGGATCTGACAAGGGCAAAGGATATCTTGGCTTATCTTGGCTTTTTCTCTCTCTTGTTTCTTTCCCGTCCGCACTGGTTCCATTCTCCACGCACAACTCACCCAAAATTGTGAAGATCCAATTGTCAAAGACTCTCGACGAGGGGGTGGCCAGTGTTGCTTCTGTTGACCCTCGTGATCATATCTGTTGCTGCGAGGGGCCCCAGGCGAGAAGAAAGGGATCTCCGCCAATGTCTCGGACTCGAACTCGATAGGCTTGTACGAATCGGGAGCAACAGAGGTAGGGGTGTCGAGGCTCTCCAAGTGCTGGAAGAAGGGGTCGTCGACAATCGAGATGAAGGAGTCGCGGTTGGGACTCGACGGGCGGGGGACAAAGGCGGCGTTTGAGCTGGTGCGTGAAGGGAAGCTTTGATCAGTAGATGCGGCTGAGGCTCTGGACCAGGAGCCGGCACTGCTTGAGGTGCTGCTAAGCGATGAGAGGGCGGAAGGGCGTCGAGCCGTAGCCGCAGCAGTCGGGGTCTCGGAGCCGGAGCGCAAATGTTGGGACCCGGAGGAGCTGCTGTCTGTGGCCATGTAAGTAAAGTGCTGTTGGGATGCACTCGGCTGGACCATTGTCGCAGTCTATCGACGCGACGACGGCGCGGAAACGGACATGAGTTACAACAGCAAGGAGGAAGAGAATGACGATGATGACGATGATGGATGTGAGAAAATGTGTGTGTAGGTGGATGTGTCAGAGCGAGAGACTGTATGAAGGAGAGGGGAGCAGGGCGAGATGGATGGAGCAGAACAGAATGGAGAACGAGGGAGCAGATTGGAGGGATGAGAGGAGGTGGAAAGAGGGAGCTGACGAGGCAAGGAATGGCAGATATGCAAATGGCCCGATGGTTGGAGGTGAGGAGGCGGATAAGGGATTATTGGAGGCGGATAGATGCGAATCCATCCCATTGGGGCCACTAGCGAGCGAGTCGAGAGAGCTAAAGGGCACCACTTACCAAGCCCACACCGGGTAGCCCGCGAGGATCGAAGCGAAATGGAGAGAGATGGATGGCCGGGGAATTCAAGGTTCAAGGCTGTGGGAGAGGAGAGAAAAAACGCGGCCGAGGAGAGGCGGATGGGATCTGGGAGCAGTACCTGGATTGGATTGGATTGGATGAGATTGGGATTGGGATGGGACAGGATTGTGCGGCGCAAGTATGCACTTGTACCTGCGCCGGTACAGTACGTAAGGAATCCAGCAGCGCCGACGACTATTGGCAGGACTCACCTTGGCGGCGCACCAGGGCAGCTGGCAGGCCGAAGTACTCGTACTAGGTAGTACTGAGGCGGTACCAGTACAGATCAGAGACTGAGCATCCTCGAGGTTCCCCAATTGTCTGAGCACAGCACTGGAGGTGAGATGAACACGACACGCACAAAAGCACAGGCGGTGCGGCAACCCTCGTCCATGCTCTGGACCTGAACCTGAACCTGCCAGAAAGCTGCCACGGCTAGGCGGTTTCGGTGCTAGTGAGCCGCTGGCAGCTGGTTAGCTCTATCGGTATCAAACGGGGCAGGGTTCGTGCTATTGAATGATCCATTCTGGCGCCTCCAGCTATTATTAGAGTGTGATGGTGTTACCACGGAGCGCAGTACTACTACAGGTGCTACGACGGGTCAAGGTATTAGTCGTAGTAAGAGTCATTGAATTGATGCTATTGGGCAGATATCAACTTGAGTTTGTTGTATGGTGTTACAGTACAACGCCATGGAAAGAGAACCAAGGAGATGTAAGTATATACTACATTGATCCGTTATCAGCAACCTCAACCCGCCTCCACAAACAAGACAGAGGAATGGAGAATTCCAACACAGGCAAAAAGCAAAACCGCAAAAGAACCCAGCTTAGCGGCCACGAAACTAAGGTGCTGACCACTCGCTGGTTTTCTTGGCTCGCCTCCATAAAATGGCACAATCCATACCAAATAGCCATGCCACAGAGGGGCCAGGGCAAGACGATGGCACTGAATCCTGAGCAAGATTCGGATTATTTCCGGGGGGGAAGCTCGCACTGCTACGGTTCCGATACAACTTGAAGTAATCTACTAGGCAGTATAATGTATGACGGCAACTTTGCATCTGGATAGAGTAAAGCCCTCTGGACCGGTGAGCGCTGAAGAAGCAGGCGAATGCGAAAAGAGGAAAGCAAAGCAAGCATCAGCAAGCAGGGGCCGTATGTTTGCACATGTTGGGGCATGCAGGATAACAAATTGATTGCACGATTAGGCGACCTAAAGTGCTGCACAGTAATATTGTCCACAAAGCATCAAGGCCTGGCAGCGGTACAAGCACAGGCACATGCGAGACGGTGGGGGGGAACTCGCCGACCTCCATGGCAGATCAAGGCCCTTTCCCCTGCTCTCTCCACGCTTGGCACATGTGAAGCTTGGGGGTTGATGCTTGAGGTGTGTGGCAACACGGCATTTCAGCAGCACCGCCCTCTGCCTCTGGAGAATTGATCAATAGCAATGCCTCCACTGGTATTGTACACTTACAGGGAGCATTACCTTCAAGTCGGTATCAAGAGACGACTCTGTCCTCAATTGAACCTCGGCAGAATTATATCAACAGTCCCATATATATTATATGTAGGTACTAAATCATATCACCAACATCCCCCCCCCATCACATCCCACTCCAAAAAGCACCCAGAATCATAGTCCCAGTCGCCAACGTGGCACAAGCACACCGATGGATGGATCAAATGCCTCCAAGCCATGCTCTTGGCTGCCCCCCCGCCGCCGCCTCGACCGCGTCTGGCCCCCAATTCCGCATCACAAACCCTCGTCCCGCCCCTTCAAACAAAGACGCCACAGCGCGCACTGGCAATGGCTGTCAACCCATCAATTTTCAACTTTTTTTTTCCAATATTTTTTTTTTTTTTTTTTTTTTGGATCTAGCGCCGTTTCCCAGGGCTTGCTTCCCGGCAGCCGCCGCTGCCCAATTGCAGGCCGCAGCGATGCTTGCATGCGACGGCTAAAGCCCTTTTCAACGATTTTTTCGTTTCTTATTCGGTTTTAGACAAATTCGCTCAACTAATACCTGCTTGACCGTCATCCCTTAGTAGTATCTCGCATCTGCAGCTTGCCTACCTAGTACGAAGTGCTACTTGCTTTATCCTATCCAATTGGGCCTCTCCTTTGCATCTCGTGTTTTTTTTTCTCTTTCCGTGTTTCTTTCTCGTCCCTTTTCTAGATTTGTCTTGATCTCGCCATTCTACCTTTTTTTCTTCCTCCAGCCAAGGACAGAAAGAACACTAATAGTAGTACCAACTACCTAGTCTAGATAGTACTAACAAATGCCTGTATCACTAATATCCTCGTCCACGTCCATTTCATCTCGACTCGACTCTATTGCCAGCCCAGAAACCCACATTAATGTCAGCTTTTCAGACTCCATTCACACAGCCCAGCATGCCGGGCCTGCCCTCCGTCACTTCCCCGTGTATCGACGTCCCAAGGCGGCAAAGTTCGTGATCAAGCGCCCGCCAACACGTGGGATTCTAGGGAACCCCCTTCACGTGGGCCCCCAATGGCCAGGAGCGCTGTTCCCACGGTTCGTTGCGGATTGATTGACGGAATCGCGCCAGGGGTCCATAATCATACTAAGAAATGAAAGACGTGGCTGATGCTTGGATGGCACGATGCTGGCTCGACTTGTTGCCCTGAGGTGGAGGGGACGAATACTATGGCTGGTTACCTTGGGCATCCACCTACCTAGAGGAGGTAGAGTAGCACGGCCTGAGAAGTAAGTAACACTGTATGAGCAGGAGACATTGACGCTGTCGTCATCATCACCATTGTCCGTGTACGGTATACACATAACACGCTCTCAGACGGTAAATGCGAATGTCACAGGATCATCTGGACGGCACGGAAGTTGGGATCGGCAATGAAAAAGTCCCCGTTTGCTGACCAAACGAAGCTCGGAGGTCAGACCTATGATTTTGATCTCGGGCCCGGCTTGACGGCTAAGGGTCTGCCGCTTTTTAGCTCTGGCAAGTCAATGGATAACTACCGGTTTCTTGGTGCTGAGAACTTAGTATTGTGGGTTGAGTGTGAAGCACAGTACTGCACTCCGTATGAGTACGAGTACGTCTCAACCTCTGCCAACCAAGTACAGCATGTCTCGCTACTGACCGTTATTTCTGCTATACCCTGGTTGTAGGCATTTCCAGTGTCATTTCTGAGAGTGGACCGGAACCAGTACCAGCGTACAATTCTGCTGTACAAGGGTCGCCTCTTCCAGGGAAACCCTACCCGGTAGTCACGCGATCCCGCGATAATTCGCTGCATAGAGTACATATGAGACCTTCATAGGTAGTCGACAGCATGCCGTCCACCGCGTCATTTGTTAAGCCCTGCTATCATAATTCAGCTGTGAGTCCTTGGATGGCCATTGGGTATTATTGGCATCGTAAAAATAGCTTCTCCTCTTTGTCCTAGCCAGGTTCCCGGTTCACATCGATACGAACTCGCGTGTCGGCGGTTTTATGAGCGTCATCTTCTAAATTAGAATGTGATGTGGATATGAAACAGACCGGCTCTTCTCTTGCTCACCAACTCACTACTGATACAACCCCGGAAAAGGCAATGTTGGGCATTATAGTTTGACGGTTGATTTCATGTATCCTAGCTAAGGCCCAACGCATCTATACCTAAAACACGCGCTTCTGAATTCACCTGTAACGCGACTCTAGACCACGTTTGGGCTCGTGAGATTGCTTGTACGAGTAGCCTTCTGCTTCGAGACGTCAATACAATCGAGATGCCCAGCTGCTAATTTCAACATTGCCCTCATTTCGCCGTTGCCGATATATGACGTCAAAGCAACCAGGCTGGTGGGCTGATGGATATCCATTAATTATATGGGTATTCAGGGGCCGATGCAGCCGGATTGCCAACTGCTCAAGCTTGGATTTGCCGTGTATGATGATCCCTAGCTCCTATTTGACGCTGCTGCAATGTCAATTGCAGGTGGATCGATTCAACGGAGGCACTGCTTTCCACCAAGACGCTGTCTCATGTCAACAGCATCCAGGTATATCATAGCCGTGGATGGACCCAGTTTATCCTAGGGCAAAACCAGACCGTGGTTAACACTCGCCGATAATTTCGAAGAGACACTTGTATGTAAAAGCCCTGATTAACGAGAACTCGCACCCCTAACGAGCTGAAGCCATTCATTGTAAGACGGTACAAACTCACATGCCCGAGCATTCCGCTCATTGCTCGGCAGCAAACATCTCGTGGCGAAAACTGTGGCACCAATGGAACCTCTTTCTGTTGGCAGGATCTCGCATCGTTATGCCGCGCAGATCCACACTCACATTAGTGGATATCTGGTGGGCGAGATTCGATTCGGTAGATGGGATCGACAGAGGCAAAACTCAGGAAATACTGTACCTGTCATCAGCTCCCAAGGTACCGACGTTGTGTGTCGTATCATCGATGGATCACATGTGCCTCGTCTGCTGAAGGATTGAAATTACGCTCTGCTCCAACGACAGCTGAACTGGTCCTCGTGGTGCTCCGACAAACCAACGACGGCAGCTGAAAATAGCGATAAATGACCAGCAGCTCTTGTGAATCGCCCTACTAGCCGAGGTTGCTGAAATGTCTCCAACAGCGGAGGACTGGCCTCCATCACAACGTGCTCCTCACTAGTAAAGACAGACATGTGGCGACAGCTCCCCCCAACGCTCACAAGCAACCCTTGCAACTTTCCATCACGAATAACCTGACACACATTCCGCAACTCAAGCAAAGAACAAGCCAACAAGTCGTCTCTGGGGGAGGCTATCCCCGCTTGCTCAACGTCAACCCCGCCAATGCATTCGAAATGATTGATCAAATAGCGTACCGGCATCTCATCTTAGTAGACACACACAAGAAACGGCTGGTGGCAGCACGGCGGAGCCGAACGGTAACATCGTCTCTCGCGAGGTGCGTCTCTGCGTCTCTGCTAACCCTGTTGCGATGCGGACTTCTCCACCTCCCGCGTACATGTCTGGACCTGGGGGATGCTACCTGAACGCCCGTTGGGACCAGAGGGGATTCGGGGGGAAGCATTTGCCACTCTGTTTTGTTTCACCTGAACCGGTCCGTCTCAGTCGTGAAGAGAAGCCCCCTCCTCGATAGCTGCGGACGAGAAGTGATAGCTTTGCCCAATACTATCTAAATAGGCTCCCCTCAGATGGCTTAGATCTACCAAGCATGGCATTGGCTTCACGTTAGGGCGTCTTACCCCAACATCAGTCGGTGCACGCGCACCTGGACACGGCACTCGACCGGCCGGATGATTGGACAGCGTCTCGCAGCGGCCTAAATTAAGCAAGAGAAACGGCGACAAAGAGCGGGCTAAGATGCTGGGGTAGAAGCATTTGGTGAGAAAAGGGCCAAACTCAATGCCGATCTTGTTCGTTCTTGTCGACTAGTTATAGACACAAAACTGCTTTTGATAGACTGCCACCGGAGCGTCGTAGTGCATCTGGCCGTTTTGCATCTTGGCTGCGACGTGCTCGCTTATCCCACGACTGGCTGGGTTTGTGATTGTAAAGCAAGAAGAGCGCGACTTTTGGGCTTCTACTCTGTACATACATGTACCCATACTAATGCAAACATTCTCACAAGACCAAGAAACTACTGTGCATGCCTACATGAAATAGCAGAGCAAAAGCAAACAAATCAAGTAAAACACCATGGAAAAACAAGGCAAAGAAGAGTGAGAAAAAGGCCCCTGCACCCGTCAAGTGACCGCAAGCCACCTCCGCAAATTCGCTCGTCCTGCCCAAAGGCCACACTCACCCGCTTCTACTACTGTAAGCCATCCTTCTCTCAACAGGTTCCTTGTACCGCCTCCCCATCCCATTCCCCCTTCCCGCTCGCCGCCAATTGGACGGAGCTTCATCCAACCTCCACCACCCCTTGGCCATCATGACACAGGCGCGCCGCATCTGCTAACTCGTCAGTCGATTGCCAGAAAGGCCTGAGCCACCAGTGAGAAGCCGCCAATCGTGCAGCATGGCTGGTCCTTTTCCCTTTGGGTTTGGGCGGGAGTTTGGGCGGGAGAGCGCCCGTCTTGCAACGTTCCTCGTGATCGCGTGCCTTTTGTGGGCAGACGAAGCTTCAGAGACTTTTGTTATTTCTCGCTCTCGCGCTCTCCCTCTTTTTTCATTCTCTTCTTCTTTTTTTTTGCTAGACAGGATTTTGACTCAGAATTGAAAAAAGAAAGACCATCAGCGCCAGCAGTCTTTTGCTTGCTTTTGCTTTTGGGTTGTTGCTTGTTCGCATTGCATTGGCTTCCAAGACCATCTGCCCCGTGCTGCAAAATAATAGCATCAGACCAGTTTACTCTCTCTTCCTCCATCTTCCATCCTTTGCACTCGTATCTGCTCCTCCAGACCCGCCCAATCCCCATCGTCCTCCACTGTCGTCTTTCTCGGCTGCATGACTTTCCAAGGGGTGTGAGCAAGGAGCAAAATCTGCGTCAGTCAAGGTGGTTATAATCGAGTATGTGTCTCCAATTTTGGAACCCGCCCCGTTGCTACCATAACACACACGCACACGCTCGGCATTTATATTTAGTGCTCGCCCATTCCACTACTCTCCAGATTTGCCCTTCATTCCCCTGTTACTCCGTATTGATCGTTTTCTTCCTCTCATAGGCCTTGCTGTCCCTGCATTCTGGAACTAGTCTGTGCGGGATTGCTCTTATACGAATCAATCCTGGCTGGGAGTAAGCTTACTCGAGAGAATTCATCGTTGGCTACCGAGTTCTATTGCCACAAAACCTTCTTACCGGCGGTTAATTGTTTAAATACGGCTCCGGAAGCTGCATATATACAGCAGTGATACTGGTGCGGTGCTGCCCAAACTTACTCGACAGTTGCCAAAAAACTACACAGGAACGCGCCCTGCACAATGTTCTACGAGACACTCTACGTCCATGATGCAAAGGCGGCAGCTCATCAGCCCATGCCGTATAGACACGCCCCCCAAAAGTCCTCCTCAGGCAAGCATGCCTCAAAGCCGCAGTCGCAGCGCCCCAAGGCGCTCGATGCAGATGACTTGACCAGGAGGCTGTACGTTGTGCTGGCCGAGCAAAAGGCCCATGCGGAGAAGAAGAAGCGCGCGAGGGCCGCCGTCGAGGCCGAACGAGAAGCAAACGCTGCAGCCGTGGCACGCAATGCCAACGCTTTGCATCCTGGCCGGTATGGAATTCCCTTGGGGCCAACAGTTGCGTCTACGCAGATACAGAAGCAAGAAGTCACGGCGGCTAAATCACATGTCAGAAATGCACCTCGAGACTCAAACGAACACCCGCCCAAGGCGGAGAAGCTGCACAAAGCTGGAGTGAAAAATTCTACCTCGTCTAGCAACAGGAATTCAGAGGATACGCCGCCGTCAAACTACCGTCATGTCCCGCAGGTTGCTGCGTCGCAGTTTGCCCGCACCACCACCACCGAGACGGTGACGGAGAAGCATCTCGTGCACAAGCTATCCCGGCAGGCCCTCAAGTTTCACATGCAAGGCCCCAATGCAATGGTGGCCTCGGACCTTGCGCCGTCCGATCAGAACAAAGCACTCCGAAGAGTGCAGAGCCTGAGAGAGAGGCAGTATGAGCGGAACCAATTTCAACACACCCACTCACTCGCCACCACCACCGAGGTTGACGAGAGGCCCGCGACCGCCGCCCCTCACACATTCCAAGAATATCTCAAATCTAAATGTCTAGAGGCCCTTGATGACCCGAACAAGGAAACGCGGAGGAGGAGTGTGGGTGCTATCCTCGGCATGATGGTATCGGCGGATGCCGAAGCCGCTGAAAAGTCCATGTCTTCATTGGACAATCAGTCCGATACCGTGCCGGTCAACCCTGACGAGCACCGCGTGGATTGGACCCAAAGTGACGAAGCTGCCATTCTTCTGCAGCAGAGGCAACAGCAACAGCAACAGCAACAACCATCACATAAGCAGCCGCAACCGCAAAAGAGCGCGGTTGGCCACGGCGTTTTGCGCAAAGCCGAATCAAAATGGGCTTTGCGGACAAAACTCGGTAGTTTCAGCAAGAAAGGCGACAGACTCTCCTCACCAACGGAGGAGAAAGACGCCGAGTCCTTCACCGAGACGCCCAAGTCTCCCACAAAGTCAGGAGGGCTCTTTGCGCGATTCAAGCGTTAGCCAAATGCAAAATGACGAATTATGCCCGACATGATGGGGTGAATGAACACGTACCTTGGATAATCTGATTGGATGACTTAATGATGAGGATGATATAATGCATAATATAGGGAAGAGGGGAATTTATACATTGATTATGGAGGGATGATGAGCCATTGTTGGAGAGGGGGTAGAGGAGACGAGCCGGAATATGCTGCAGGAGAGTCTTGTCGATGAACAATATTATACCCCAAAAACCATAGAGGCCATTCAGGCCTGTAGTCGTCAAGTTTTTCTTAATTTCTTCGTGTCTTCACCCTCCCTCTCCGGTAGCTTATTCGTGACGCCTGTCCTCAGCAAGTAGACGCTCGATAAGGGCCGTGTCTTGCTCAGCAATCTGTCGCTGCACAAACGCAGCGGCGTTATTCTTCTCGCCCGTCTCGTTCATGATGTGCAGTATCAGCTCAGTGTACTCTCGGATCGCCTCGCCGTCCTCGCCACTAGCTTTCCGCGCCCTTCGCAGAGCTGCCTTTCCGTTTTTGATGCCAATGTCGTGATTCCATGTGGCTTTACCACTATTCGCTGGAAGGCCCTTCATGAGTGAAGCAGGTATGGCCTTGGTGGCAGCGTCTGGGGCTTCCGGCGGAGGCTGGGTCGCGGCGTGGATCTCGAGGAGCTGGTTTGGGAGATTGGGATACTTGCTGAAGAGGAGCTGGAGCTTGTCCGAGGTTGCGAGGGCGCTGAAGGGGTTTGTTGGGTCGATGGAGCCAGCCGGAGGCATGTTTGCGCTTGCTGTTTGCGGCTCGCTTGAGGCTATGCTTGTCGACTTGGGCTCTTCTTTCGGGGGGTCTGGAGGATGGTTTTGCTGGTGGGCTTTGCTACATTGGACGGAGCAGCTGAAATCGCAGTTAGTATTAAATCATTGGTGTCTCTTGCCACCATCACGCTGCTTTCTCGTCTTTTGCGATAGGGTTATGATGGTCGAGGGGTGTGAAACGTACTAAGGAAGACGGCATCGCGAGCACTTGTATTTGCCAGGATTGCTTTCGCAAACGCCGCACAGGTTTGCGTTTGTCTTTTGTTTGGGCGGTCCCTGCGATGCTGCTTCCATCTCGCCGGTGTTGCTCTGGTACTGCTGAGTTGCGCCTGCTCGCGTGTCTGACACGTGCGTCTGCTGGTCGTTGAGGCTATTTCCGTTGGCAACAGCAGCCTTGTCTGAGGGAGCAGGAGAAGCAGAGTTCTTGTCAGCCTCGCCGAGAGCCTCTGACGCCATTGTTCGGATTTGACCGCTGTCGCAGCAGGGTTAATTTTTTTTTCTTCTGGACAAGCGCGTGCGTGTTTGCGCAGTGTGAGCGTTGAAATTTAGCGCCCCGCCAACCCGAACTTTTTTTCAAGCTTCAAGGTTGTTTGTCGTCAAGCCAAGCCTTTCTCTCGTCTGCTAGCAGCATCGACTTCAGACGATTACTGTACGAGTACTTGCACGGCTACAGGGGGATCCTGGCGCGAAGAAACATGTTCGCCAGGGCGAAAAATTTTGGTGGCCGTGCACCCTGGAGGTTGAATGCAAGTCAGACAGCATGCGAGCAACATCATTGGTGCAGTTGCGTCATGACAGACGGCGCTGAATCTTGCTAGCTGCTGGGATTCCTGCAAATGAGCATCTTCAGGCTGCCCCTTTTCGGAGTATCGCTAATACATAATACATGGAACTGCTATTCTAACCCTGTGATGTGGCGACAACGAGGTCAAGTTTTGCTGCTTGATACCTGCTCTCAATTGGTCGTCGGGATAACGACGGCATTGGTTCGTTCTACTATTGCAAGCGTGCATTTACAATGGTGCTCATTGTTCAATGCGAGCCTGCCATCCTGCTTAGAAGGACGCCACTTGGACGCCTCTGGCCTAACACCTCAATGCTAGGCACAAAGTATGTAGTGGCAAGGGAAGAATTAAAGCGAATTGTGATTGCTCTGTTGTTACCATATGTCTTGCCATGATTGTCACTTTGAGCATCCGGCCGACAGCCATGTCCTTTGGCTCGACTCGAAGCGACAGCCCGTAGGGCTACAATGCCGCGCCAAGGGAATAAGCTCCAGCTGGCAAGTCCTTAGACCTGGATTTTCTGGAGATGTACTTTGGTAGCCTCGAATAGCCTCGACTTGACGGCACAGTGCATAGGAGCGGGGGCGGCCAGTCCAAGACGCCACCGAATCACCACATGACGGCCATTGCCTGACTGCCTTGAACAAGCAAATGTCATTGCCGCGTGGACATTGCCCGGAGAGAGCGTGAGTGGCCCAGAGGCTGATGCAAATCATGCAACCGGCATTGCTTATCCCCATCTTTTGAATATCTGGGGCCGAAGCTCGGTAGAAGACTGACATCTGTCCCGCGTTTCCTCTACCTCGCCGCTGGAAGGATAGCGTGTCAATTGGAGGAGCTATCAAAGGCAATTGGAGCTGCGGCCGCAAATTGGAGCTTCGTAGCAGCCCGGCTATTATGCAGAGCTGCAAGAGTATCCATCCCCTGCCGCAAAAGGCGTCGCGTGACGCCGGTTCAGCTGCTCGTATGGTACCTTGGCCTGCTGGAGCTCTCACCGGCCGAAGGCTTGGAACGCGCTTGATGGTGGCCGAAGCGAATGGGAGGTGCCCGCCGCTATGCCATGCTAGCCCCTCAAGCTTTGGAGCGGAGAGCCAAAGGCTAAGGTAGCTAGCAATTAGCATCTTGGACGACGCCAATCTCGATGCCTGGGCTGCCAGAGGCAGTTGGAGCAGGCCAGGTGACTTGGGACAACTCGAGGCGGGGTTCTGGAACCAGGCGATTTGCGGGGTGGCGATCCCTCGATGTGTGCCCCAAAACTGGGGTTCTATCACCTCTCGTCGTCTTCTCTCGTGTCATGTCTGCGTTTCTCTGCATGCGGTACGGCACCAGGAGGTACTTGGTATAGCGCTTCGTAGTAGTACAAGTGGTTGGAGAGGTGGACGAAGCAGGGCGTCCGCAACCGGCAGCGGCCAATTCCAACAGCCAAAGGCTTGGTGCCTGAGGAAACAGAAGCACTCTACTGTACTTCTCTTCTCGACGTCCCCATATCTGTTCGTACCGTATTCAACTTGCCAACCTAAAAACCGTCTTGACTGACGGTGGCTGCTGAGCTAAGGTGGCGAGGCTTACTGGGCCCCGCGATGGTTGATTTGTTTGTCTGGGGCAAGCACTAGGCCATCTATAAGCGCACTTGTGCCGTCGCTGCGGTGCCCCAAGATTCCTGACGGCGCCTCGTCAAGGTGAAGATGATCGTCGATGGATATTTCAGGTTGGTTTTAGTTTTGGGCTTTGGCTGTGTTGGCTGTTAGGGCGCAATTCCAGCCGCACCTCCAAAGTTTCTGCCCGCCCCTCCAGAGGGAAGCTCAAGCGCAACGACTGCCGGGATCAACCTGTAGGGTCGGGTACTAATTCACACAGTACAAGTACGGGGCTGTACAAGCACGGCTAAGCTGCCAGGATCCTCTCGCAGGCCCAGAAGCACGCAGGCACGGGCAGACCAGGCACGAAATGTACCTGCGGGTACTGGTGCCATTCCCACTAATGCAGGTCGCTGGAAGGGGCCGGAAAATCACCAGATTGGCTCTCCGGCACCTGTTGAAAGAATCAGTCCTTTACGGGCTATGTACTGATGGAATTGATACGAGAGGGAGCAACACATGCTAAAATCTAGGTAGACATGAAATAGTTGAAGAGATGGTTGTTGTATGCTTACATATACCTGGTAATAGTATCTACCTAGTACCTTAGTAGCTAACATGCGTCGTGGTGTTGGCGTACTCTCCACCAGTATCAAGACAAACATCCAGCAAACCAGGAGGATGCGGGAGCCGAGACAGGGACCTCATGGTCTGCATGTGCCATGCTCCAACCAAGCGGGAGTGGCAGAGAGCAAACGGCTGCAGAGCAGAGACGACACGAGATGAGAGGAGCTTATACAGAGTGCGAGCACCCTCGTACGTCGTTGTGAGTCAATGGCGCTGGCGTGTTGGACTACGGAAGTAGTCAAGACAATCAATCAATCAATCAATCGTACGAGAGCAGTGCCAGCCTTTTTCTTCAGCGTAAGGTTCTCTTTAGGTCGTTTATTAGGCCTGGTTTGGATGCTAGCAGGGAGCCGATGTTAGTGGTTTCCGTATTACATGGATGGTACTTCTGGCTGGCAGCATCTCAAATCTCAGATCAGACAGAATACTGCACTCCATTCATTTGAGTCTCCATGAACGGCCTCTAACAGGCCGGGCATCGAGAACTCTGCTCTTCAATTGCCAAAGGGGTAAATCGCCGACTCCATAAAATGCAGCAAATTGCTATAAAAAATCTTACCCAAGCCTGCACTAAGGATTACTACATGCTCCGTACCTTGTCGTGCTTGTCTTGGCTCTGCACCCTCAGAGAAACCCCCGTCTGTTCCTGGGGCGAGGAGCCAGAGCCACGACTAAAATAACCGCAAGGCGAGAATTGCATTGCCCTAATGGGCTGTAGTGGCAGCTTCAGGTTGCCTAGATGCAACTGTTCGTCCGCATCAGCAGTCGGGGATGCCGGCGTCAAGCGGGCGGCATCGATGATTGCGAGCTAGGATCGATCATGTCCAAAGCAGCAGCTCTGAGAGGCACAGCAAGGCCGCAAATACCTGTTTAGACGACTGCCGAGGAATTCCGAAAATAAATGAAAAAAAAAAAAAAAAAAAAAAAACCACCTCGGTACGGAGTACTGTAGAAGAACTCGTCGCCACCCTTGCGCTTATATACGAGTATTGCGAAATATACGTGGAGATTTTCCCTGTACACGCGTGTTGGCGTGCACCTGGTTAAATGTCGATCTTGCGACTCCGAATGTACAAGTAGCTGGTCCCGTGCTCATGCCATGGGCGAATCGACTTACATGTACTTACATCCGATGCGGCGATACTCGTACATGTACGAATCGCCATGGCCCTCTTTTTTCTTCTTTCCCATGAGGCACTTGCGCATGCTCCCCACTTTGCACCATCCAAAACCAGAGCCAGGGGGAGCCATGGCTGCAGAAGCTTGCAATATTGGCATCGAATGGGGCCTGAGTACTCCATACAGACGAGAAGCGAGAGTTGTGGGCAAGCGACTTGTAACAGGTACGAGTCCGGATGGGGCACCGGCGTTTAGATTCCTGGTAGGGAAATTGACATGCAGCCCGAATCTCACAAGCGAAGGAAAAAAGAACGACGGCTTGTGCATGACCAGGCCGACAAGACGATGGATATCAAGCAGGTCTCAACATGGCATCCCAGGCTCTGGCTGTGTCACGTCGTACAGGAGCCCGTCAGAGCTACTAATGCTCGGCACTTGAGTCCTCCTCCTCCAAAAGCGGCTCCAAGACAGACTGTCTAAAGAAAAAAACACTCGTCTTCTCCTGTCTAACAGGTTGGATCACATCACACCACATGCACGACATCCCGCAGCCCATCTCCTCACTGTGAGATGCAAACTAAGGCCTGGGCACTCCCCTTTCTCCCCAATCCAATGCAGCGCCCATTCAGCTTTTGTGCAGGCCCGGTTCCACGGCCACCTCGGGCCGCCACCTGGTCCAACCCACATCGACTGCCCTAGGCCCCATCGTCATCTCCAGAGGCCTTGCCTGGGCAGGATGAGGTGCCGGAATGCTGCGAGGGAAGAGAGCCTGAGCAGTGCCGAGGGCTCGATGCAGGCAAACAACGACTGCGATTGGTCCTCGCGGCTTTGCTTCGCCCATCTAGTCGGCCTCGATGGTTCACTTGGTGGCCTCTTTTACTCCTCTCTGGCCTCGCCTGCTGGCACCACCTCCATCATCCGACAAAATCTGCGCGCGCGGGTGCTTTGTGCCAGAGCCCTCCCTCCAACCCATGATGAATCCACCACCCATCCATCCACTTCCCCCCTGTTAGCTTGCCTGGCTCTCTCCGTTCCAAAGTGTTAGCGCTACGAGTCTTGGTCCTCTGCTCTGACGACGGAAGAGGGGTGAGTGCAGAGGCAGAGACGCTGAGGAAAGATGGGAAAAGCATAATTGCGGCGCCAGCTCCTCTTTGCAAGCCTCTGCGGACGCCATCGTCGGCCGTCGTCAAGCTTCTCCATATTGCGAGACGACTTCTGCAATTACATGCTTCCCCTCTCTGGGAGCATCTCCACTCTCCCAGCGACGGCCAGCCTATCCGGATCGCCTAGTCCGGTATTTGCTTTTAATTCACACGGTACGGCCAAGTACTCCGTGGGCGCTGTTGGAGTTTCTCGAGCCTGAGCCTCTGAAATTAACCTCCAGCTTGTGGTAGTGGTATCCGTCTCGAGTCAAAGCTGAGAGGGCCGGACAACTTTGCGTCTTTGTACATGTCAAGTGCGCCCAGTACAGCCAAGTACCTGCTTTCTGCGCTGTACTCACACTCTTTGCTGCTTTGTGGTTTGTCCAGCATCCTTTCAATCTTTGTATAAGACCGCAGCAGCAGCATCGTCCTCGGCATTCTTGCACCAGTCCAGTAGACGATAAATACTAGTCACGGTAGAACTGAACTTTGCACAGAACCCATGCAGCCCACCCATCAAATCTCATCAAAATTCTTGCTCCTGGCTCCCTGCATCTGCCGCAATTCCCCTTGTGCAGCAAATGCAACGGTACCTGGCAGTTCGTACTTGTTCCAGCGCGTGCCCCGTGCGTTTGGCGGCGCCCAGGGGCCCCCTAGCGCTCAAACCCCCCTCTGCGCAGCGCTCTGCAGTGCTGCTGCGACCCCCCTCCCCGAAAGTGCGCCCCAAGCGGTCGCTGGCTAAAGCTAGACCTGCAGAGGTACTTCGGGGTACTCCGGACCCCATAAAGTTACAGCGGCCGTCCTCGTCCACGCCACTGACTGCTGGGGGAGTCGGCTCTCCACTGGTTGAAAACGTCGACACTTGCGCCGGCTTCTGTCGCGAAGCTCTTGACCTTCCCCCACCTGCCCTACGAACCGCGACGTCCTCAAAGCTCAAGTGACTCGACTTTTGCCTTTTGCCGCATCCCGAATCTCTTCCTCTTCAACTCTCGTCACCCAACCCTCGATCCGCCGCGAGAACCGCCATCGCCCCGATTGTTCGTGCTTTGTTCGTGCTCGTGCTCGCACTTTGTCTCTCGCCCGCAGAGCAGCTCACAAGTACAGACAGCTTTTGCGCTGGCGTCGTGCGTTGTCAGCCGTCGCTGCGCTTGGATTGGCGAGTCCCGGGGCCTCTAGCAGGAGAATCATGGGCCTCGACTGGCACAAGGCGCTTCTCCAGCTCTAGCAACGCAACACCATTACCTCCCCTTCATCTGCCGTCGCTCGCCATTTCCAGCGGCTGCGGATGCGTGCAAGGCCGGAGCACATCTCGCCTGGTTCCCTCCTTACAGCCACAATCCCTGCCTCCCATCGTCTTACGCTCTCGTCTCTTCTCTCTTGTCTCGTTTCTCTTTTCGGGTTCTGGTTTAGACGCGCCGGCTTAGAAGTTGCTATACCCTCGGATATCGTCCCTCTCCTCCCGCTTCCTCTCGCCTTCTTTTAATCAATCGACCGCCCAACGTCACTGCGGCACCCAACCAGAACCACCACTGCCGCGACACCACGGACACACGGCAGACTTTCGCCACCAAAAAACCCTTCATCGGCCTGTCGCGTCCATCCAGTCATCTCGTCCTGGCCGTCTCTTTTTTCCCACCTTTTAGAGCTTCTTTCTCTTTTGATTCCCCACATAGACCGTACCTGACTTTGTTACTGGTGAGTGGAATGTTCTTTGAGCCTCAGCTGGCATCGAACCAGTCCCAACGCCCCCCGCAACTCTACGCACCTGCGGCAACCTAAGCGGCTGCAAAGGGCCTCGTCGCTCAGATCGGAATCATCCCTGAGGCGAACAGCCCCATCATTGCGCGCCTCTCTTTTTTTGCATCTGCTGGCTGCCCGAATTACATCATTCGCCGAGTTTCGGTGCTGTGGTCGTTCGAGACATCTCGCCATGCCTGCATGGGTTGGGCTTATCTGAGTTTTGGATCGATGCGCTAACAGCCCGGCAGTTTACTTTCTTCTTTTTCGAATTTCTTCTCCAAGAGCCATCCATCTTCTAAACTCGCAATCCTTCGGACCTCCTCCCTCTCGGATCTACATTCTCTTGGTTGGCATTTTTGCCCAGAAGACCTCACGTGCTGAATCACTCCGACTGATACCCCGACTCTTTCCGCTCTACCTCGCCATCTGGGCATTGGACTGCCTCCCACCAATATCGATATCTTGCATTCTTTATCCTTGGGGAAGAAATAAGAATAAGCATACAAAGAAAGAAAGAAAAAAAGTCTTGGTACTTGGTCGAAACACCTGAAGATTCGAACAGTGCCGCCTTTCTCGATCGATCATGAGTTCAAGCTCAGTCAAGAACGGATCATCGTCGAGGTTGACCCAGGCGCCATCCAACCAGTCTCTGCTGCTGGAAAAGGTGAATGCTAGGACATCAACTCCAGATTCCGAAGCGCTAGCAAGCTCTGAAGACGAAGGTGACCACCGTCACGAAGCATCTCAAACTCTTGCGCAGCCCGTGAAGCCAGTTCGCCGGGCCTCTTGGTTGAACGACACGTCTGCACCTCTCGCCCGACCTCGGAAGGGATCATTTGCAAGCAATTCAATGTCCCCCACCACTTCACACCCCAGCACCCCATCCATCGAAACCGGGGCGGGCGCTTGGGGTTCTCATTCCACTTCTTCAGTCATGGCCCGCGCCCCGGGCTCAAACTTCCCATGGGGAACTGGCATCTGGAATAACGATCGTAAGGATCCGCCAGCGAGACTCAGTGAAGTTCTCCCATCTCCCACTTCGACGGTGCCTCCCGGAGCAGGAAACAACTCTTTCTTTGGGCCAGATCCTACCGGTCTAACGCCAGTTTCCTCGGCCACTCGCGAGCCAGGCACCAACTCGCAGATTCCTTTTCCTATTCCGCTCCACCCTACGCCTAAAACCTACCGCTCGCAGTCGTATTCTGCTGGACAGCTTGACCCTGAAATGTCCCCTGGCTCTGGAATGAGCTCTTCCACAGTCATTGGCCGAGCCCGCTACCCAACTCTCCAACACCGCCCTTCACGGCCTAGCATGCTGAGTGAGATGGCGAGTGACGGAACCATGCTCGGAAAAGTCAAGGAGGTGGAAGATGACGATGACGAGAACTCTTCGGAGTCGCTTCAAGGCTCGTTCCACCAGAGCGCCGAGTCCAAGACCATTGAGATGCTTGCGCGAGAGAATGCCATGCTCAGGCAGCAACAGCAGCAGCAGCAACAGCAGCAGCAACAACAGCAGCAGCAGCAGCAGCAATATGGTTCCAGAATTCGACAACGTGGCGCCCCTGGATCTTACCATGGCAACGGATACCCTCTTCGAGAGTATGTTCCCGAGGAAGGAGAATATGCTATCGATGAGCTCGACGAAACAAATGACGGCGAAGCCATAGCCAGACGAGCTACCGACCGGAGAATGAGCGAGTTTGGTACCACAGGGCCATATCGCGGCCCTCTGGGTTTTGATCAACGCAAAGAAGTGCCCTCCTTGAAAAAGGCTCTTTGGTCCAGCTCCCCGGGCTTCTTTGCAAATGACTTTTCTCAGAGTAGACGCCACTCCTTCGCCAACATGCCAACACGACAGGGATCCATCAGCTCGATTGCTGATTCTGTGGCTACGTTGGAGGCCCCCAATCCTGATAATCAGCTCAACCAGGGCTATCCGTCAGGCTATCCAGACAACGCGGCCTTTGGAAGCTCGAGCAATGGTAAGTCTCTAGCTGAAACGATTGAGAGGTATAGCAGCAATACTGACAAATTTTCTTGCAGCCAATTTCTTCCCCGGAAGTGGCAATATGGCGAGCTCTATCCCCTCGGCATTTGGCAATCCGTACATGTCCCAGTACGGAATGCATAACCAGTTTTCTAATCGGCCACCGTCCCCTCATCGTAGCGTGTACAGCGTGGGCCAGCCAAGACACAACCAGCTTTTGCATGTCGTCCTATTCAAGTGTGCTAGGGCAGACGTGTTTTACATCCAAGAAGGGACTGGGCTCACCGTCAAGCCTGGTGACTTGGTCATTGTAGAGGCTGATCGAGGCACCGACCTGGGAACTGTTGCACGCGACAACGTTGATTGGCAGACGGCCAAGGAGCTCAAGGAGCATTATGCAGAGGAGCAATACAAGTGGTTGATGATGTATTCCCAAAACGCAGCTGCAGCGCAGGAAGGCTCGGGTGCCGGTCTCTTGGCTTCATCTAACGGCCTTCAGGGCAGCGCCATTGGCGGAATGGGACCGCCGAATCAACACCACATGCAAGAGCCAAGTGCCGGTGAGCTTCGTCCAAAGCTCATCAAGCGGCTTGCTCAGAACCACGAAATCCATTCTCTGCGGGACAAAGAAGGCCAAGAGGCCAAGGCAAAGAGAGTGTGCATGCAAAAGGTCAAGGAGCATGGCCTTAACATGGAGATTCTTGACGCCGAATTCCAAATGTAAGTTGCAGTTTGTTTCATGGTGGCAATGGCATGTGAACTGACCGAATCACTAGGGACTGGAAGAAGTTGACCTTTTACTACTTTGCTGATTCTTACATTAATTTCAACTCACTTGTCACCGACCTCTTCAAGATTTACAAGACGCGCATCTGGATGTCTGCCATCAACCCAGCCTCATTTGCTAGTCCTACTCTGGGAATCCAGGCTCCCAGCGGCGTTGGACCAGGCGCTGTTGGCGTTGGCCGTGGTGCAAATGCAAATGAGCGTCGCCAGAATCCAGTCTCGCAACAAGAACAACAGTCACAGGCTTTTGCTGGTGCCGCGCAAGCTCGGGGATTGCGATCTGGCTATACTCAGCCTCCGTTGTCTGCAGACAGGCAAGCCCCTTCGGCCACCGGATTCCCACCCTCCAACTACGCTTATGGATCTGCTGGTGCCTTTGGAAATGCACGAATGAATGGTGGTGCCTATACCTTGGGCATCAACCAGGGCGTTGATCCCTTTGCCAACGCCGGATTCCCTCAGTCGGGTGATCTGCAATCGATCCGCCAAAGATTTCCCACCTCACAAACCATGCCGTCTCCTGGACCGCACTCCCAGGGCGTGACTGCAATCTCACCCCCCAACGAATGGACGGCTAGCTTCCAAGGTCTTTCGCTCAACACTCACTAAATCTAGGACGGCAGAAAATTGGACGAATTATAGCATGATTAGACTACAACACTCGTTTTCTTTTTTTGGGCGCGCCGATTGCTACACTCTTAAAGGATATTGAACGATAATGAAAGAACAAAAGAAGACAAAATATTTCTTTTTGCAGTATGCCTATCATCAGTTTTTATTTCTTTTCCTCTGGCGGTGGCCAATCTGGAGACCACACGGGCGAAACCGAGTTCGTGCTGGAAAGGAGTCCCAGGGCAGGCTCCTCCCCCACTGTCGTTACCTTTTGAACATCTTTTTTGCTATATACACACATATATATACATATTATCCCTCTATGACTCTGGTACGGATTACGGGTTTGGCTACTGGACATGCGAGATCGAAGAATGGAGAATGGGTATGGTTTTGCTTTCGCTTCCATCGGCTGAGAATATAGACAGAGAGACCTGAGTTAACGCATGCATGCTGTAACTAATACACAATCAAAAAAGGGAACGGATTGGGTATGGCTAATGTCATGTACGACAAGAAACTTTTGATTTTTGTTTTCTTTTCTTGATGCTTTCTCTTTTGTCGCTCTCTCTCGACAAATCTTATTCTTTTTATTAGTATTTTACTTTTATTCTACAGAATGTGGACTGCATTAGTACTTGTTTGTTATTTTGGGTTTGGGGATTTTATTTTCGAGACAAAATATTATCATCTTGACACTAAATTGACAGTTGAATGGCATCATATTATTTATCTGAAGACTCTGGGGATCAGATCGCGTGCATGACCTGTAGTTTCTTTGACCGCCTAGTGGCAGAAATGTAAACAGCATCGAGGAGGAGTTTAAGGAGCGTGAATCTCATCACCGGAACTTACTCGTCCTTTTTATTTGCGGCCCCTTGATAAGAAGCATGTTTAGAGAGATTACTTTCTCGCTATTTGGACGATTTAGTACCTTGATAGGTACCTTTTGTGAACAGACTCTACAAGATAAGATACATCGTCATGTGGCTCTTGCCGGCAATAGCTGGGCAGGCCTTGACAGGAGGAAAGAGCGACGTCGGTGTCTAACCACCGGTGCGTTTCAATCTTTGAGACATTTTTCCTTCTCTTTCACCAGATCTCACCTTCTTCCAAGTCATTCGCAAGATTCAGCCTCAATCGTGTTGAATTGCAGCCTTTGTTCCTTCATTGTTGTGCACTTCTTTATCTCGTGCGAATATGCCGACGAGGACCCGGAAGAGAAAGGCATCGGAAGAAGGTAAGTCGCTATTAGAAGGCTTGTGGTGTTCAATACTGCACATATATAGCTAATTCTTCTGTCCTCAGAGGGAGCTGAAGTGGGGGAAGTTGCTCAGCCTGCGAAAAAGACTGCTCGTGCCACGCAGAAGAAGCCCAGAGTCAATCAAGAACAATCATCTAAAGGAGGAGACTCTTCGAAGAGAGTGCGAGCAGGGCCTAGGTAAGACGGTAGCTTGATATGTACGAGTTAGATTGATATTAACTGATGCAAGCAGCAATTCGGCAGCCGGCAACGCTTCGAAGAAGTCAAAGTCGGCTTCGTCTTCCTCAAGGAGCGTAAAAAACGAGATTCGTCGAAACGCAGACGAATTGATCCATATGATAGAGGATCGGTACTACAATACTCCTAGGTGAGTTTCCCTAGTACACTTGCTTTGAGCATTCTTTGGTGCTGACGGGGATTTTTATTCACAGATCTGGCACTATTGGAAGCATTTCACTACGCTCCAATATTACTACCACTCTCCAGGATGACCTCGGTACACAGAACATAGTGTATCAAAAGTCGCATAATTGTATCAAAGCCTTACAGGGTACAATTGCTGAGTACGAGGTGACCACTCGAGACTTGGTAAATATCAGCAAGCCAACTGAAGGAGCCCAGTGGGAACAAGACGCAAAGGATGTGGCAAAGGTGGACAAGAAGGCAATGGAAATTTTGATCCAGACACTGAATGGTTTGATCATTTCTGGAGGACATGCTAACTCACTTCGTTCACCACCACGCTCTGGTGATGATATCGAACAGGCAGCTTGGCGGTGGGTAGAAGGTGGCATTCCGCACACAGATGATACATGGGGATCAAGCGCACGAGAAACTTTGAAGGCTTTTTCAGGAATTGCGAAACTTCTTTTGTAATCTGAAGCAATAAATGGGAACATGTAAGACGTATATGTGGTGATTTACCGCGAGAATTAGTCTGGTAGCAAACGTCTATAGAAAGAATCCCATATGATCGAAAGCTCAACACTGTGATTAGGTACCTGAGTACTCCTTGGCTCCACATCCTCACCTTGTGAATCTACGGTGAGTTCTCATGCTCACCTAGATGACTCAGCACTTCACCATAGCTTATATTTCCACCAAAAAATGGGCACGAGGGCTCTGAGGGGCAAGTCCTATAGCGCTAGCGCCATAATAGGTCTAGCGCATCGCTTAACCCACAAACAGGCCCTTGAATTTTCAATGTCGCTTTGGGTTTTGCAGCCTCCTCCTCCGAAATTTTGACATCCTCTTGATCAACCACCTTCAACTAACCCTCGGCAGGAAATTTTCTGACCTCAAGCCGGTTCGTCCTCTCCCCTCCCCTTGAACAACATCAATTTTTTTATCTCCCATTGAGTAAAAGAAGAGGAAGAAGAAGGGCATTTCGCAAAAGCTAACATTGTCATCGTCGTCGCCGCCGCACAGCCAAAATGGGTGCCCTCAAGTATGTCGAAGAGCTCCAGAAGAAGAAGCAGTCCGACCTGGTCCGCTTCCTTCTCCGCGTGCGCTGCTGGGAAGTACGTTGCCACTCCGAATAGCTATACACACACAAAATCCCGAGACGACGAAAGACGTTCTCTTTGTGGACTTGGGGGCTTGGATTTGAGGTCGAGGCAGTTTTGGGAAAGACTCTGATGGTCTAAAATTTTTCTCTACTCTCTTTTCTGTCCCTCCGTCTTTGGGATGGATCTTGTGTTGAAAGTTTTTTTCTTGAAACCGAAAAAAACTTTTGCACTGGCTGTGTCTTGTTGCCTGGAAAATGGCAATGGACCACAGAAAAGAGAGCAGAAAAAAACTAGACATCTCTTCGTCCCTTGCTGCTAACACCTACACTCCCTCCCTGTCTTTGCTATACACTCGTTGAACATATGCTGAGAGTGCATCAATATAGTACCGTCAATTGAACGTTATCCACCGCGCCTCCCGCCCTTCGCGCCCCGACAAGGCCCGCCGTCTCGGCTACAAGGCCAAGCAGGGCTACGTTATCTACCGCGTGCGTGTCCGCCGTGGTGGCCGCAAGCGCCCTGCCCCCAAGGGTGCCACCTATGGTTCGTTTTATCCTCAATTCTCTCTTCTTTTTGACGACCCTTTGTACTGACCGGGACCGCGATCAACAGGCAAGCCCACCAACCAGGGTATCAACCAGCTCAAGTACCAGCGCTCCCTCAAGGCCACCGCCGAGGAGCGTGTCGGCCGCCGCTGCGCCAACTTGCGCGTCCTCAACTCGTACTGGGTCAACCAAGACTCCACCTACAAGTACTACGAGGTCATCCTGGTCGACCCCAGCCACAAGGCCATCCGCATCGACCCCCGCATCAACTGGATCGTCAACCCCGTCCACAAGCACCGCGAGGCCCGCGGCCTCACTGCTACCGGCAAGCGCTCCCGTGGTCTCAACAAGGGCCACCGCTACAACAAGACCACTGCCGGCCGCAGAAAGACCTGGAAGAGACACAACACCCTGTCCCTGTGGCGCTACAGGTAAACGCTCTCTGCTGGAAAGCGGAAGCGTTGACGGCAGCAGCCGCCGAGGAGGCGTCGTGGCGGTGTTCCTGGATGTCCTTCTGGGGGTGTTTCGCGCGAGTCCTTTGGTGTCTTCTTTATTTGCAGCATTCACTTCTCGTTCGGAGCTTTGCTCGCAGAAAAGGATCGGCGTGTCTTGAAGACGGAAAGGGGGAGGGGAGTGTGATGAAGAAAAAAAAAAGGCCCAAGAGATGCTTCTTTGGTAGTTTTTAAAATGGAAATGGCATGACACTTTCCGATAATAACTCGGAACTGCGATGATATCTCTTTATTTTCTTTTTCCTTATGTAGAAAACAATTGTGACACTTGAGCGTTCATCATCCGTGTGTGCCCGCCTCAGCCCTCAGACAAGTGTTGCCGTATACGCATCATCAATCCTCATGTCCCCTCTCGTATCGTAGCAAAGCACATATACATATCACAGTCCACGACGAAAAGGAAAATCACATTCAATCCCAAACTCCATGTCAGTTTGAAGAAGAAGAAGAAAAAAAGCAAACGAAATCTTATCTCTAAGTACAGTTTCAGAAGCGAGGACCCAACCTTATAAAGACCCCCCAAGGCACGAAAAAGCCCAAAACACAGCCCATCCAGAAAGCTGCTCCTCAGCCTTCCCATCCCCTCAAATCAACCAAGGGTAAAGCAAAGAAGCTTTAACTGGTTTCGATTCCATCTGGTTTGCTCTCTCCCTCACATCATACAAGCAAGCACCGCAAAACCCGCAGATATTTTTTTCGAAGAGACGAAAAGGAAAAAGGCACAACAACAAAAGAAGAAGATAAAAGAGGAAATTATCCAGCTACCCCAGTTCTACGCAAATTCGCGACATTACCACTTCATTTCGCCCCAAAACCACACCATTTTGCCATGGTCTTTTTCTTCCCACCCTAGCCTTATGAAGCTCCAATGTATAGACTCCGCCGTGCAGATGGATAGTCAGCTACCTCCAGTAAGATTGGAGAGCCGACTCCATGCAGTCAATCAGAAATACAGGCCCCATTGGAAGACCCAGCAGGGTCCCCAAGTGTGACATATAGGATCGTAGGCTCTGGACGTGTAAAATGGTTCTCTGTCGTGATAAATGACCATTCTTGATCGTAGAACTGCGAATCGTGAAAGAAGAAGAAAGCACATCAAATGACAATTGAAGAATCGAAGATAAGAAGAAATAGAAAAGATTTGTTGCCGACGCCAATATGGGTAATGGCGGGACGATCCAAGTACAGATACAGACGAGGTTTTGGGCGAGAGCTTGCCTTTGCTATAATCTCAGCTCAACGCAGCTTAAGAGTGCCGGATGGTACGAACCCAGAAGCCCTTTTCGACCCGTGTTTTTTTTTTTTTTTGGTTTGTTTTGTTCATAATACACACACAAAGCATTTGTGGAAATGCCGTGTTTCTCAGATCTGTAGTTGGCCGTTTCTGAAGAAATATCGCGTCCAGACTTTATGGGCTAGTGAAACAGGAGGAGAAAGAAACGTGAATTGAAATAGAAATGTCATCATCATGGCAGTGTCATCACCATGCCGCATGAAGTCGTATTCCTCTGAATGGCCGTGAATGAATAAAAAGGGTTAAAAAAAAGCACAAGCGGCCGAAGCGTCATTATACAGGCAAAGGGTTGAAATGAGAGGTTCCATATAGTTTACACCCAGCGTGCCTCACCAGCATCCACCGACGTGTTGGAGGAATGTCCCTGGCTATAGCTGCCAGACATCGTCTGGGTAAACTGGGGAGGCTGGACAGGGCCACCCAAGCTGGCGGTTGTAGTGGATGCCGGCATCGAGGCGCTGCTAGTGAAAGAAGGTGGTGCCTGCTGGCGTATGCCTTGGCTTCCGACACTAGACGCTGCTCCATTGGCATTGCTGCCGTTGGCAGGCAGCACAGGAGTGCCAGAGAGCCCTCGATTGTGGCTCGGCCGTAGCGGGATCTGCCCCTGTGTGTTATCGGCGGGTGTGACTTGTCCGCTCGAGGCAGCACTTCCACGGTTATCGTAGGCAGCAATCTTGGCCTGGATGCGGCGTCCGTAAGGAGTTGTGCGAACCTGTGGAAGGATGGGACGAATGGCCTCAACAAGGCGATATTTTTGATGGGGGGTAGAGAAGTCAAGAGCCGTCTGGATAACGTAGTTGGCAAACGAATCACGGAGGAATCGTTCCATCTCGTTGAGTATCTCCTCCACAATCATGTCCTTAGAAGGAGCCTGGGCACAGCGCAAGCACTTCTCAATAACATTGGAGCTGAACTTGTGGCGAGAGAGCTGGCTGATGCAGCCCTGGAATGTGGCGACAATGGGCTCAGTAAAGGTGGGCTCGTTGAGGTCAATAATGTATTGAACAACATAGTTTCCAAAGGGGTCCTGCACCAAGATTCGTGCGTGCTCGGTGATGCGCTGGATCAGCCAGAGCTTCTGCTGGCCGGTTGCATGATCGATGCAGCGCTGGAGCACACAGCAGCCATGTCGGTGAGTTCCAACCTCGACACAGTTGTTACCAACAGCATCAAAGATAAACTGCGCGTCAGAAGCAGTGAGCTTGTTAAGACACTTCTGGATGACGTGATTGCCGTTGAGATCTTGGATGAGTTCCACAACTCGGAACCGGAGGGCCTCGATGATGAGATGGACTTGCTGAGGAGTACTGACGTACTCAATCATCTTCTGCAGGGCCCTCGTTCCATGCTGGTTGAGCGCGATGCGCACCATGTCTTTGGATGCGTTCTGGATCAAGACAGTTCTTTCGTCGTCATTGCAGAACTCGAGGAGCTTTTGGCACAAATAATTACCAAACGGATCCGTCATGAGCTCGATGACATGCTGATTGGTCTCGAGCCAAATCATGTGAACTTGATCACCTTCGCGTTCCTCCAGCTTCTTTTGGAGATAGCGGCAACCATGCTGGTCCTTGCACAGCTCGTAAATCTGGCCACGGAATGATTCCAGAGGCATGTTTTGATACCGTGACATTGCTACAAGGAAATGATCAGCACAGGAAACAGTAAGAGGAAATGGCAAAATCGGTGTTATCATCGGACTCACCTTCGTTGTCAAGTTGTCGACGATGTTGAATGACACGAGCCTGACTATCGCGAGGCTGGCCGTTCTGAGGGTAGGGCACATTGCTGTAGGGGGAATAACTCTGAGGAGAGTAGGCACTGCCGTTACCAGCGCCGTTGAGATTCATCTGCTGCATCCCAGTAGAGAGCGAGTGAGCCCCGTACGAAGGCGAAGAGGTAGTGCTGGGGGATGAGAAGCCATTTGGCTGGTAAAAGCCACCGCCATATGGGTTTGTCGGCGCTGTACTACTAGGGGAGGATACAGGTGCAGTGGCGTGCGGCGTTGCGGTATGAGGAGCTGTGGTAGCCATGGTTGGTCCAAATGGAGCAGCACTTGCTTGGAGGGCTGAGTTGATGGACGGGAACACAGCGGCCTGATCACGGCTGGCGTTGATACCATTGTCGTTGGACAGCTCGCGAGCATGGCGGGTCGGCATTGCTCCAGCAGGAATGCGGCCGATGCTAGCATTGTGGTTATGGAAATGCTGCTGGGCGTGGTTATTGGCACTGCCGTTCATCATAGAAGAACCAGCAGGGTTCTTGACCGTAGGTATATCGTTAGCCGAATATGAGCTCTGGAGTTTGGGCGGCGCGTGAATCGCCTGAGAAGCCCCAGAGGCCTCGTTCGAGCTTTCCGAGATGTACTTAAGATCAAGAGAATGACGAATAGACGCTGGGCGGCTCCCGATATTGCCTGCATCACCAGCCTGGCTGGTGGAAAGCCCATTGATGGCCGACATGCTGTGCTGGGTGCGATGCCGGTTCACGCTAGTTCTCCAATTGTGGGAGGCCCGCGCTTCAGGATTAGGCGAGGGTGATAGAGCAAGATCAAGAGCGGCTGACGATGCCGATAGCTAGAGGGGAAATGGTGAGATTAGCAAGGTCGAAATTCAATACCGAGAAGAATCTGACTAGATGTATTATAGATCAAAGTTGGGTTTGAATGAAGAAGGTGGTGTAAGACGTGGAAAGGTCTGTTGATAGGGAGGAAGAGAAGAAGAGAAAAAGCAGAGGAGGAAGAGAAGAAGAGAAAAAGCAGAGGAGGAAGAGAGAAAAGGAGAGGAGGAGAGTTGCAAACGCGAAGCGGTGCCAGGTGGGTGAAGTGGGAGAGGAGATAGCACTGCCAGCTGCCAGCTGCCAAGCGGCTGTCATCTAATTGGCAGCCGCAAGAGTCTGGCATAAAAAGGGCAAAGAAAAATCTCAAAGGAGAGATCTTGCTTCTGTCCTCAACGCAGATATATTGCAAGGAGAGAAAAAGAGATGACCTACAATCTGATCGTCGCGGCGAACCAGCGTTGGGAAGCTGTCGTCAGGAGTGTGTCCCCTAGGTAGGTGGTTGGGCTCGTCGTCACCGAACAAAAAGCGAGTGGTGTTGGTTTGATCAAGGTTCAGGTCGTAAAATCCATTCCTTGTTCGGGTGACGGGCATAGAGTATCTGTTCGTTCTCCTATTATCAAAGTTTGGTCAGCAATTGTGACGAGGTATCCAGCTGGAAGCAGAGCAATCGTGGCAGCTTGGTATGCAAGATGGCGGTGGGGGGCGCGTGCGCATGCAAGCGACTCTGCTCAGCGCAGGAATTGCATCAAGGGCCTGGTTCCTAATGCCGACCAACAATGCGAACCAAAAAGCTCGCACTCCCTTGTCAAGCAAGCCGAGCCTCGCATGCGCTGGCGATTCTTAAGGACACCAGCCCCACCCATGCAACCCAGAGCGAACAAGTACACGCTCATCAAAGCAGCAAATATTCAAAGGAAAAGCATCAAGAAAGCTCTCTCTCTACTTACGAATTGGTCGCCCTGTGGCTGCTCGGGTCCTGGCGAACAGCCTCTTCCTTGTCGTCATCGTCGCTGTTACGGCGCGTGGTGGGGACAGATCGTGATGGCATCTGGTTGTCGTCGAATCCGTATCGCGGCTGGAACACGCCCGTACCAGGAGGTGGAGAGGTCAAAAGCGATCCGGAGCGCGATGGCCGGCTGAACAGGGCCGCGGGGGAGGTCAGGCTTGAGGTCGAGTAGCGGTTCGGCCGCGAGAAGATGCCAGGAAAGCCATTATTGGTGCTGGTGTTTCGATACTCGGGAGGCGTTGTCGGTTCGGACTGGTGCCCGGCAAATCTATTCATGTCTTCTTCCATCTGAGCCAGTTCTAGGGCCTCCCGTCGCTGTTGTTGGTCTAGTTTTTGCATCTCGACTTCAAAACGCCGCCTCTGTTCTCGGATCCTCTCATATTCTTGCTTTTTCTTCTCTATCTAAAATCGAGGAGGTCTGGAGTCAGCTGGGGCTCGCGAATTTAAATTTCTTCCTTGTTGCTAAGGTTTTGTCGCGTCCAAACCTTACAGCGCCGGCCAAAGCGGAATGAAGGGGGTGGGTGGGAGGTTGTTGCGCCTGAACGCCATCGACTTGAAGCAAAGGGGCCACCTACCAATTGGACTTTGTGTAATTGCTGCGCAGACAGTCAGCCAATCTCGCACGTAAACAAAAAGAGAGCTCCCAGTCAGCGCAGCGAGCAGCGACAGACAAGGGATTCCCAGCCAGGACTCACGCTATTATAATCTTGAGCTGCGTCGGGCACGCGGGGGGGGGATGCCAAGGAGTTCATGGAAGACATTGTCGGTACACGCCCCGAGTCGGTCGTGAAGCGGCGAGGCAGGGTGGAGCGCAAATCGTGACTGGCAGGCTGTTGTTGAGGGATGCGAGCGGCGCCGCGAGGAGGTGAGACAAGCGGGTTGATGGATGGCTCGTTCCTCGGCGGCTGCTGAGGGCGGAAGCGCAGGTCTTCCATGTTGGGACGGAGAGAAACGAAGGACGGACACGAATCGTACAGGCCGAATTGGCAGCGCTCGGGACGTCTATCTCGCTGCAGACATGAAGCAGGCAAGGAAAAGTCAGCAAGCTTGTCGTTGTGGACGACGAGGTTAGGGCCAGGCACAAGCCGGCGACGCTGGAGGCGGGGTGGGATAGGGTCAAGGGATTGGACAGTTGACGAGACAAGATGCTCGGTGTTGCAGCCAAGGACAAGGATGAGCCGGTGGATGCCCAGATGGTCTGGGCTGGACTGGGGCCAGCGCGCCGGGCAGGGGTCTGCGTCCAGTTCCCACACGTCGTGCTGCAGGAAGATCAGAGACTCGTTGAGGCCAAGTCGTCATCGCCTGTCTGCCAGCTCAGCATCACGTTGGTGTTGGGTGAGCGAGGCCGAAGCCAGAGCCAGAGCCACGGGTGTGAGCCTGAACCAAATTCAAAGCCATGGGCTAGATTCAGCCACGAACCACCCGTGTATGGACAGAGGCGCTTCAGGGCTGGTGCTACTGCCTGGGAGGAGTAGCTGCTCGTGCAGAATGGATGGCAAAACGTGCTCGTGCTCTTGGTCCCTCCCGCATTCCGTTGATAGTGTCCTGGTTGTACGAAGCACCCCGAGCCCAGTGTCGGGTCGCGAGAGCATGGACAGCAGCAATTAATCCAGCAACGCCATAGTGGCTCACATCTCGCCCGTTTTCCATCTGAATCCTTGGTCCAAATCGTTGTCCGGGGGAGGAGATGAAGAAACAAAGAAGCCAGTTCATGATATCTTGAATCCGCCGCGAGGGAACAGACATCGCCGACCAAAGGGGGGGAAGAAAGGGAAAGGGAAGTCCATAACCAGCGGAATTGATGTCATGGAAATGACATCGATGGCATACGTACCTCGCTACCTGCAATGGACTAAAAAAGACGGCACAAGCGAGAGAATTAATCGTACACAACGTCTGGAAACGATTTGTCGATGGACATGGATGGAGTGGATGGACAGAAGACGAAGGAAGCGGGTGGCCTCAATGCCGCCCAGAAGGGAAATTGAACAAGGAATAGATAGTACAGCAGAAGAAAAGAAGGTAGATATTGAGATAAGTTATACAAAAAGGGGACAGCTCCAGAAGCTCACGAGGACGGTGACGTGAACAAAGCTCCTCCGTATAATACAAGTTTGGAGAGAGGGTGAGAGTCGGCGTGGGGAGGAGAGACAGTGAGAGAATGTGTCTGAGGCACGGAATTCGAGAGGACATGAAACTATTTGATGGATGGATTTTCTGGGGATCCCGATTTAGGCAAGTGGCGGAGGTCATGACTACAGCGGTGCTAAGGCTCAACTCCATGCTAGAGCGCTGCTAGAGGCCCTGAGGTGGCCGGTGGTCAGGGCAGGTTTAGTGAGCGCCACTGGGCTACAGCGCCAATCAGGCGGCGGAGTCGCTATTATGCCGGCGAAGGAAACAACCTTTGATTGATTGAGCCTGAGGTACAGTACGGAGTACGTGTGTTGGAACTGCTAATGCTAATTTCCATGTAGCTGTGGTCCCAGCGCTTGAGGCATCAATGCTGCGGTCCAGTTGTTGTCGCCGACGTCTGGCAATATGGACGTTCTGGATGTATCTGGATGTGACTGTTTCCATGTATCTTCCTGGATGCTGCTACAGTAATATACTGTACAGACAGCATCATTACGCGGCTGAACTCCGACATTAGTCACAGCTGAAGTGCCGTGCTAATCACGTGTACTCCTTCGGCTCCCATCTGCTACATTAATTGAGACTGGATTGGATTCCATTTAATTTGATTGCTCTGCTCCTCCACTTAGCAGAGTACCTAGTCAGCAACTCGTTTAAGGTTTTGCTGGACTCAGGGGAAAACCGAAGCCCTCGGAGGCGATACCAAATGCTACGTGCTAGTATGGGAGCAGCCCAGGAGAAAAAAAAAATTTGGCCGAGTCGAGTATCTTTCTGGGATGGTCTTAGCGCAGACCTGCCAGAAGGGGGATTGACTCGGGCCAACCACCCATGGATGGATAAAGAAGAGGAGAATTGAGCCATCACATACATGGACATGCAGCATTTAGAGCCCCAGCTGTATCGTACGGATACCTGGACTCTGAAGGTACTGTACATGTACGAGTACATGTTCTCGCGGACAAGCGAGGCAGAATGCCGGGCTCTGCAGCCATCTCGGTGTCCAATGGTTTGCAGGTACATGTACGCCCATGTACGCCCATGTATGTTGTATGTTGTATAGCGTGGCAGCTGTGTGTCATCTGCATGGATGAGTTGTTTGCAACTGAAGTGCGTCTTCGTTGCATGCTGACGCATTGCCGAGGCAGACCCAGACACGCTGCTGGTACATGTACCCGGATCAAGATCAAGCATCGAGACAATTGTGGTTTAGCATCACTGCGAATTGGCCAAGCTCCAAGCCTCTCAATGTACAGGTACCGCCCAGTATGGCGAGGCAAACGAGCGGAATACCGGATACACGTACGCGAACCTGGGGAAATGCAAATGCACCTCCGAACTGGCAGTTTACCCGTAGGTATTAGTCGTATTAGTACCTCGTACTGCCTTAGCAGCAATAAGCGGCCGGCATTCACGCCCAACATTGACCTTGGGCTTCCAATTGCCAATTACCAATGGCCAGCCAAGATTGCCTCCTCACCTTAACCTGGAACGCCACTTGCCGACATGCCCCAGAGCCGCTGCAATTGGCCGCCCACGATCCCGGTCGCATACACGCAGTAGCCTGCTGGAATTACGAGACCTACTCTGCATACATGGAGGTGTTTTGTGCTACTGGGGAGGTTGACAAAGCCGCAATCGCACCGGCAGTGGTGGCAACGGTCTGAACAGCATCCGACAGAGCTGCTAACCTGAAGGATCACCAACAAATATCCATGCTGCTTTGGATCCCCCGCCTGCCCCTCATGGCTAGGTGCAGTAGTAGTGCCTGTGCTGTTATTAATTGTCCAACTAGATTCGTAGGCACCGACTTAACGTACATAGTGAGCATAGGTACATGTAGCCAGTAGTAACAAGGTAGAGATTGGTTTATTTGTCAAGGTGGTAAAAGATACTGGCTGGTGTTGAGCCAATGGCTATACCCATTTGAGGACTGGATTGAGAACGAATAGGATACAAATAGTAGGTACGGAGTACTCATTGACGCAGACACAAACACTTTCAACAGCCCAGCCGTTGAGAGGCGGCGCCTGGGTCTCAGATATGAGCTTGTATGTATTCAGCCTCCATCGCAGCCTCCATCGCAGCCTCCATTGCAGCATCTCGCTGGTGCCGTTGTTTGGAAGGCTGAGGGTAACACCTTGCATGCCCCGCCCAAGGATGTTTCCAGCATCTACCTAGAGGGACCTTAGGCTAGTACCTGAAACCAAAGTCCAAAATCCATGGATCTTCCTCTTTTGGAGCTTTACGCTTTCTACTGATATGGCTCGCTCCGCCTCCAGGCTTATTACAAGTAATACTATGTAGCTTTTGGTAAAAGTCGGTGAGGCGTTGGAAGATAGGTTTCCATTTTGGTTTGCTGCTCGTGAGCCCCCAGCCTTATCGCCACCAAAGAGCCTCGCCCATTTTGCCATGCTGCTCCAAAATTCGTTTACAGTAACAGCGTCCAGTCGTAAATCCATTGATACTCTAGGGTATTCAACATTTTGTAGAGCTCAATGTTACTCATTATCGAGATTGTACTAATTAATGGATGTACGTCGTGCGCACTTTCCAAGTAACTCTACCTTCGGTCTTAACTGTAAGGTACCTGGATTAATCAGCGCCATATCATGTATCAAAGCTGCCGACCCTCAGTTGCGCTTCTATTCAAACACCAAATATTTTTTCGCAGTCTCCAAGCTTCCCAGGTTTTTTTTTTTCTTGCTTCTGCTTACATATCCCCCCGCTAAATCGGAGTTGCGACTCATTCGCCCAACAGACCCATCCAAACGCCAGCAAGCGACTCGTTACTGCGGGCGACAAAATCGGAGACGCCTCAACCCGTATTACTCGCTCTTACACCCCCCTCGAGCAACGACAGGACCATCTCAGCACAAGCATCGTCTTCCTCTATTTCAGGGTACGGAGCCTTCTAAAAACGACGCACACCATCGACAAGATTCGAAGCCAACCTTGACGTTCCAGCAAGCGGTTGATGCGGGTAGCCCCGACTGCTGAAACCCAAGCGCCTCTTCCGACACTCTCGATATGCGAACCATCCCAGCGTGGCTCAACGCCAGGCCCGAATCTGGGCCCCCACTCGGCTAGCCAACGATCAACTTGTTGCGCGCTAAAGTTGATTGTAGCAAGGGAACGAGGGGTCCTGATATCCTGGTCTGGCATCCTGGTCGGATCTGGCTGGTGACTCGATGGCATTGGAAGGTCGCTCGCCAACCAGCCACAGGGGCCGGCGAGTTGCAGGTCTCTGAGGATGCCCTATCCGGAGTCGAGCCATGCACGTGTGCGCAGCTGGATGGCTCGCTGAAGTTCTGCTCTGCTCTGCTTTGCTTTACTTTGCTCTGTGTCCGTATGAGGGCTTGCTCCGGCGATAGAGGCTGAACTCTCCCAGGGAGGGCTGGTATGTGCCCAAGCAGAGCCGTTGAGGCAGCAAATATGCACGTATGTATGTGGTGCATACGTTCTCTGTTCATGCGCAACAGACGGCTCTCCCAACTGCTAGTACCACCTAGCACTGTTAGCAATCTACACTTGCTTGTACGGGCTATCAGAGACCGTGAGCACATGCATAAGCATAAGCACGAGCACGAGCACAAAAGCCGCAGCAGCGTCGACGCTGAGTCTGTGCGCTCACATCAGGCCAAGCCTCCAAAACAGCGCTGGCATTTGATACTGTATAGAATTACGAGAGGCATTCAGTTGGACGTGCGGGGTCGCACGAAAAGCAGCTCAACCTCGACTTGTCACCCATCTCTGAGCCCTTTCGTTGGCCGAGATAGCCGCTTCCTGCCTCCGTCGACCCGCAAGAGGCTGTTCTCGGTCAGTCTGCCCGACACAATTTCGTCATCAGATATGAGAGCTGAGCGGGCTAGGCTGGATTAAACCTAGAGATGGATCTACCAGCATCATGCATCGCCTTAGATGCGGTTTAATTAAGCACCATGGATCTGCTGCCCGGTCCTACAGTACTATTACCGTTGTTGTACTTGCTGTTGAGTGTTGACTTTGAATGGGTAGGTACAGAGACAAGAGTGTTGAGGATGCTAAAGTTTATAGCTACAATTCGTCACACAAGGCACAAGCTATCTATCCACCCTCTACTACTAACCAAGCCTTCTCGTTATCGGCCCAAATAGCGATCCGGATACTTTATATCTGGAGCAGGAAAAGCACTAGTTTGTCATTGGTGCGATGGTGACATTGAGTTGGTGGTGTGGACCTCGTTTGGCATACTTGCTTGTACATGTGCATAAACGTTAATTAAAATTGATGCCAAAGAGCCCAACACGCAACATCGAAACCGCTCTATATGATGGCGATGACAAACCGGATGTCTGGTTTATTCACTGGCTTGTCTTGAAGAGGGATGAATGTGAGGTGAGTGATGGATACGAAGAGAGAGACATCGTCCTCACATGTGTCAAGTATACAAACATGTTGATTTGTTGGATGTTTGTAACACGGATGTGCCTGAACCGATGAGGATATACGAGGCTTGGTATTCTTCAATTGAGCCTGTTGACACGCCACCTTGCTTTATCTTTGGCATCAATGGCAAGGTACATCACCTGTACCCAATCCCTCGTCTGATCAGTACTCCCCGCCTGTTTACCACCCATTTCTAGCCGCTTTGGAGGTAGTTGTCAAGGCCAATGGCACGATTGGAGTAAACAGAGATCCAATTTAGGTCCACCGGAAGCGATTTTGCCTGACAATGCCTTACGACCGAAACAAAAACCGACAAATATGCCACCTGACAATTGGCTGTTCTTTTTGACGTCGAAGAGTAGTATCACCAAAAGATCCCCGATGCAACGGCGGCACGTTTTGGAACGGGGAGGATAAAAGGCGGATAAAGGGATTCATCAATCAGGATGTATACTTTCTTAGGCAAAAATCGACGGCCCTCTTAGATGCGGGTATTTAGTCATGAGTGATCTCGATACGGGTTTCGAGCCTAAATACATCGAAAAGGGAATTCGAGAATGCAATGTGTGTTGCTCTCGGAGTTAGTGATAACTGATGGTCATTTGTATCCTGTTTGCGTTTATGTGATTGAAGGTGACATGGAGCCACCGATGTAGGCAAGGTAGGGTTATGAATACTCATAGTGAGTATTCAGCCTCTTCTTTCTGGTGACGCAAGGCACAAGAACGATTGAGCAGGGCTGAGGCAAAATTCTGTGGGGAGCGTCGTGGGTTAAATAAATGCCTTGATGATGGAGTTCCATTACATGACCCAGTGTTTTAACTATTAGAATTCGATAGATGATGGAGACATTTAGGGCTTATATGTCTCGCCTACTATAGATATGGAGCATCATATTCGTCTAAGTTACTGAATTAAAAGAGATATACCGTGGTATTATTTGGATCCAAGCAAAGTTATTTTCTTCTTTCTCTATTTCTATAACTAACCCCCTTTATATATCCATACCCCCTTAACTCCCTCCATTATCCACAAATCATCATTCATGTCTAAAACTTTCCGAGTCAAATGACACCACATCTCTTTAAGCCTTGGTAATAGACAAGGCATTCGCCAACATAGTCGAGTTGTTCAGCAGCTCAATAGTCAGATGAGCCATGACTCTCGACATAATCTCGGTCTGCTGGTACGAGTAGGGCGTGTTCGCAACGGCCGCGTAAGCTGCCTCGTGGTTGAAGGCACAGATGCCGCCCTTTTCGCAGAGATTCCAGAAGGGCATGAGGACAACTCTGTCGGCGCTGGTTACTGCGTGAGTGGTCGGGTCGATGACGTTTCCTTGCGCCCAGCTGGCGTCGGTGCTGGCTGCGGAAGCAGGGCTGAGAATCCAGTCATTCTGGGATCCGTAAGCGGGCAGCTCCACGAGTCTGATCACCTCCTGGGCAAGGTCTTGGGTGGGGACCTCGAAGGATGGGTAGGCGACGTCGGTGGAAGTCTTCTTGACGGTGGGAGCGATAGCGGCCTCGACGGCGGCGGCAACAGCATCTAGGTCTGCAGTCCAGCGAGTTCGGAGGTCAAATGTAACGTCCAATTCACTGGAGGTCATGTTTCCTGGGAGGAAGAACGAGTTGGATGCGGTGGTGGAGTAGGTTCGGAACAGCTCGATAGCAAGAACCAAGGGGCCGTTTGTATCAGCAGAGGCATGTCCACTTGGTCCGAGACAGGTGACATTGACGCCAGTCGCGACATTGGCGTCATTCAGGACGGAGCAGCTGACACTTGGGTAAGTTCCGGTAGCCAGCAAGGCGTTGACTGAGCTCTGGACAGCAGACAGAGAAGGGCCCTCAAGACCAAAAGAAATAGCTCCTTGGACCACGTTGCACTCGGAGTTGAAGATATCCTCCACGGGAGTGGCAGTGGAACTAGTTCCGGGCCATTTTCCTGCTGAATCAAGGTCTCTTACTGCAAGCATGCCTGAGTATGCGCTCTTCACGGCAGCAGCATGGGAGCTCTCGATGAACTGAGCAATGACATTGAGACGAGCATTCATGGGCACAATGCCGTTGGCGTTGGCAGGATGGCCAAAAAGCCAGATAGGAGAGCTGTCAAAGGCGCCAGCTTCCAACAGAGTGTGCTTTCCGGCTGCGTTCTCTTCATCTGGCGTGCCCTGGACGATGAGACGAGCTGGGAGGCCGAGATCGATTGCGGCCTGGCGGGCAAAATTGGCCATGCCCAGCGCAACGAGCAGAATGTGGTTGTGGCCACAGGCATGGTGGATGTCTACCAAGGCATCATATTCAGCCATGAAGCCAATGGTAGGTAGGTCCGCATCTGCAGGCGTGCCAGCCGGCCGGTTCTCAAACTCGAGAGTCCATGCGGTAGGCATGCCAAAAGAATGAGGTGTCACAGTCCATTGTCCCGGCTTTGTCGTTGTGTAGTAGTTGACAACCTGGTCGTGGGCATAGTGCTCGGAAAGTCCAATCTCAGGGTTGTTCCAGACATTTTGGGAGATTTGACGGAGGTCTGGGTATAAACTCGCGGAGATGTTTGAGAGAAGAACTGGAAGGTTTGTCAGGTCAGCAGCGCGGCCGCCTGCAATGAGCAGAGAGAGAGCTGATGATTTAGCCAACATGTTGATCTTGGGCTGATTTGCTTTGTAGAAGATGCTGTCGATGCTGTCGATGCTGTTCTTCTTTTGGTCCGTGTTTCAGACCATCTGGCCTCTCTTTATATATCTCTCTGGGCATACAGAATTTTGCTCTCATCCATATGGTCCGTCCCCTTTTCTGTACGCGGCATTCGGCTGTCGAAAAATCCGCTTCAGACTCTTCGAATTCCAACTGTCTTCAGTAGCGCTATAGCAACTATGGAGCTGCCAGGGATAGATTTTCAGTCTTGTAAGCACTTGATGGGCTGGATTAGCGGGAGAGACCGCCACGTCGATGTCCATCTCGAGTTAATTGCGCGGTTAAGCTGTTGATGTCAGTAGAGAGCTTATTTGTTTACTCATAAGTTGCGTTTTTGCGAAGATGTCTCCGAGATTGAGCGGTGATACATGTACGAGAAAGTTTCTCACTAAGTGGCGGTAGACGGTTGAGTAAACGGAAAAGAGAGAGCGAGAAGGTAAGGCCCTTTGTGCCGTGGGGAGCTTATAAGACTCCTTGCCAAGTGGTCCGGGCTTCAAGTCAAGTGGTCCTACAACTGGGGGGTCATTCCCTGTTAACAAGCAAGTTCAGTCGGGAAGTCATCATTGTCATTGGTCCTGTTACGAGGGAGATGAATTATGGAGTTGTGCTAGCTATGTAACAACCCCAGCAATAAGCCGTCAGATGTTGTCGGCTGGGCTTCAATCGTAATTATAGCCCCTTTCGGCCACATAGACTCAATAAGACTTGGCCGTCTATTAGGGTCGTTCAGGGTTGTTACAGTTGAGTGTCGACAGAGATCAAAATGTAGATCGAAGAGTGTCAAACTACCAATGACTATTAGATCTTACACCCATGAAGCCCGATAACCCTTTTCTATAACACATATGTAATAGATGAATATGACTAGAGCTTTACTGCAATATGAACTGCCTAGGTATCTCTACGCAAGTACTCCTAAGCAACCCCTTTCTCCAAGATAAGTCAGAGTGGATAAGTACAAGGTTGTTACTGCCAGCGGCGTGAGACGGGACAAGATCCTAGTGCCCATGGTGAGTCGAAAATAGTGTCAGATGAATATCAATATATCATCAAAATATAATCAGAAAGTGACTGGATAGTATAAAATGTAGCCACTAAGCGTCCTGACAATGATCTGTCAGATAATGGATCTCAAGTGTACCATTCGGACCCTCCGTCCATGCTCGGCCCGCCGCCGCCGGATCGAAGAGACAGCAGGCAGGGGGAATATAGTGTTCGAAGTTTGGACTGCTTGCAACTAGCTGGACTCACGCTGTATAACACATTTGCTCCATCAAAACGTCAGCAGAGATTGTTAGGAATAGTGTTATGCATGGTAAGGGTGGGTATCGCCGCTGTCCTCGGCATCACGGCATAATTACTCCCTGATTAGTATGTGAGCTTTAATACAGGCACGGTTCTTGATCTTCATGTATATACAGGTACGTACTGAAATAAATAGCATAGGTACTTACTGTCGGCAAAGCTAACCGACCGAAGAGATCATGTTACTCTGAGTAACATTGTCGTATAGTTCAACAGTTTGATCGACACGATATGTTAGGGAACATTCCTAGATCTGAGGACATTCTAAGTGGAGATCTAGATGTGATTTTCCCAACCCCTGTCATCGGCTCACATCAGGCAGTAACGGCGTTTGTTCTCTTACCGCTGTGGAGCAAGATTCCCTCGTTCCGATTGATAGATGAGTAATACGGCACATCGCTTCCTCGAAAACTCTGAAAAGGGTCACAAGGTCAGAGCTACCGTATTGTGTTTTGCTGTGGAAGGTTAATAATTCGCCGAATCTCCCAGAATACAAGCTGTGCCAATACTCTAGCAGGGGTTCATCAGGGGTATATTTATTGGCAGGTGGAGTTGCACAGTCACTGGGATCGAAATCATCGCATGTTTGTGTAAGAAACTGCACTTTGTACAATGTGAAGCCTGGGCCCATTATGTATTACCGCTCATGATAAGATGATAAGATGAGAGGCGGAAAATACTATTACAACTCCTTGGGCTAAAGCCGAAACCCATTAATAGGTGAAAGGAAGAGGTCGTCTCATACCTATACAAGACATTCCCTGTTAGCAAACAGTGTCAAAATTGAGCAAATATGAGCAGGAGGACAAGTGGAAAGAATCTATAACCCTTCTCATATCTACCTACCTATTTTGCAAGTAGAATAGGATACACAATTGGTGTATAAAGCAGCTGAACTGAGCATGGGAGCCCAGGTTTGTGCCAAAGTCCGTAGCGGGGCGGAATTCTTGGAAACCTCAAGGAACGGTCTTTTTGGATTGATTGCCGCCTAGAGTTGCACGAATAGAGTAATAATATGCAATGGTAATATCAAAATATAGGATTTCTTATAAATATACTATGACAAAACTAAAACTTCTTCATGTAGGGTCCACCACCTTCTGAAAAGTGACATGCTTGCGCCAATGTTGGCGGATGGGCGTGATGCTGCACTTTGCATGGTGTACTCCGTACGTGTTATTACTATACGTAGGTAGATGTATCATGTTGCATACGGTTTATTGAAGAGATAAGAACATTATCAACACAATTGTACTCAACTTCATGCGTAATAGGATAGCACTATGCATATACCATGCTAACATCAGTAATCATGATATAACCATGACGGTGGCCAAGCAAATTCCAGACCCTACCCCCAGTCCGCATATCCACACTTGTTTTCTAACAGAACTTGCGTAAGTCTATTAGATAATTAGATAATTGACATGAATACAGCTCATGCCCGGTATACTGAATCTATATAACTCGGATCGTTTCCCGTAAGTTTGCAGAACAGTTAACCGGCCTGATACACCGCAAGAGCTGCGACGTGAGGGTTGATAAGACTCAAATTATATGGCGTGACATGAAGGTTTGTATCCGTGAGAGCGAGGAACATTGTCCCATTGATGGCCGGATCATGATCCCACGTCGACACATTGGGCTGGAACGTAAACGCCGTATTATCTCGCCGACTCACGTTGAGCAGCGGCGAGTATGTGACGTTCAGCTGCGATACCCAGGCCGCAAACCTTGGCCGTCTGACCGTGGTAGAAGTTACATAACTGTTGTTTGGTCCAACTAGACGCCCTGGATTATCCCAGTGCAAGAAAACCTGGCGACCCGGATAAGAAAGGGGAATGCTTCGGTTCTGAGTGATGGCTGGCGAGCAGTCTAGCGTCTTGTTGGTCGCATTGAAGCAGAGCTGAGAGCTGGAGATATTCTTGGTAGACAGAGTGTTGGCCCAACCGCCAGTAGTCTCGTTGAAGGCGGCGGAGGCATTAATGCGAGCCGGATTGGGCTGATTGAGGATATACAGCGCGGGAAAGTTTTGCCACACCAGCCGTGTCTGATTAATCGGGCAGCTTGAGATGTACGGTGCCAGTAGAGTCCATGCCCAACTCTGGGGTATTCCCACCGTATGCCATTCCGGCATGGGAAACTGCCCGCCAAACTGGCGGAAGATGAGCTGCTGGCGAGCCTCTATCGTGATGCTCTGGAGCAGTAACTGCGCAGCCGGCCCAGAATTCAAGTGTGGCAGAAAGCCGTAGACGCCCGCCTCTCCCCACCGTGTAAGTTTTTGGTTAAAGTCGATGAATTCCCGGACATTTGACATCGGGTAGTTATAAGTACACTGCTTAGGCGCCTGAGGGCCAAGCATGTTGGTGAGGAGGGTGGCATGTCCAATCTCTTGGTCGGCCATGTACTCAATGAGGAACCTGTCTTTGGCGTTGATCCCGTTGGCCTCAAACTGTTTGGTAGTGAAATTCTTCAAACCCCAGTGAAATAAGTCCAATTCTATCCATTCCTGATAGAGAGCCAAAGCTAGTGACTGGTAGTCGAAATCACTCTGGACTCGGTACACGGGAGCAGAACCATTGGTTCCAATGCCGCCGTTTGGAGTAAACGGCGCGGGCTGGGGGCCATGAAGCTTGCCATCAGCGGTATAATTGAATGACCCTGGAACAGGAGGCCGAGCCTGTATCACAGAGGCTATGACCGAAGTTGAGAGAGCCCCGGCGGTTGTTGCTGGAGGTCCCGTATAAGGGCCATGAGAAGTCACATTTCTCTGAGGCACCACAGTTGGAGTCACAGTCTCAGCAGCGGAGAAGGTAGTTGTTGGTGTGTACTCTCTCGGAATGGCCTGCACAGGCAGAAGATTTGAGAGGGCGAGAACGCCGTATAATAGAATGTTGCCGATCATGATGGCTTCGTTTCTGACGCGAAGCAAAGCGTTGTAAGACTCGACAATACACTACTACCATTTTGCCTGAAAACCTACGAAAATCCCAAGCCCTTATATCCCCTCTTTAGACTATATACACCCATTCATATTGAAATGTGCCGATACACCCGGAGCCTGTCATTCTGTCATTCAACGCGCGTGTCTCTGCCATTTCTTACCCAATTTTTCCACAAATCCTCCCACCAAGCCTAACAAAGATGACGTGTCTCCAGCTTATTGCCAAAACAACCATATGAGGTGACGACGCCACTATTAGCCATGCTGTAATGGGACCGTCATGAAGATCTGTGGTATGCGAATACTTTACGTGTCGAGATGTGGCGCAGATGCAAACTTAATACCTGGACGGCTGGGGCGGGCGATGATCTTGCAATATGTCACTACCCGCGTATAGTAACAAACTGTAATCGTACATGTATACTGGAATTGGGACAAATACTGGAGTGTTGTCGTGCGATGTGTGATCTTAGATGCACAGCGATAGTGATAATATATAGAGTGGCCTATGATGGATGGTTAAACTGCCTCATGTAATATGAATACGTATGATTCCCATACGGGGGAGCCGTCATATCCGTCGTATTGATTAGTGATGGCATTTCGGCATCGCTGCGTGTTCATTTAACTATTCCTCCTTGAGTTTCATCACCATTATGGGCAGTCTGACGCACGGGTAGACGATTTACCGTTTCGCATCTTATATCGTCGCACATGAAGCAGTGGTGATGACTTTATGATAACTCTGACGGCAATTAAACAATCAACACGAGTCAGTACGAGTGGATGCTGAATGATAAATTAACACTTCTCACTCTGTTATATACATATAAACTGCTGGCAATGTGATTGACTGTGAAAGGACTCTGAGTCCATTGTCGAGTGAAGAAGAAAGCGAGAAAATGCTGCAAACGGTGGAAGCAGGCGAATTTGGAAGGTGAATAGATCAGTTTGGAGCTACGAAGCTTAAGGCCAATGATAGAAATTATAAATTAATAGCAACTTCTTGAAAGAGAAAAGAGACCATCAAAGCCTTAACGCTTTTCCACTCTGTGGAACCGTGTGTACCCTTTGCTCACGGTAACAGTGCATGTACAGTCGTTGAATAAAACAGCGTGACTGCGCAAGAGATTTTCATTAGCTATCTAATAAAATTGAGCAGGCGTTCTTTAAATGGAATGAAAGTTAAAAGTAGATCTGAGGAGACCTAGCAGACATAGGTAGGTATAGCTGATAGATAAAGGTAGAGAGCTATGAGTCTGGCCCAGCCTCTGAAAACTCCATTATGACGACACGACCTGAGTCGCAGCCGAGAATGATTTGCTGCCCAACAACATTGGCAATAATGGGTCGATAGTCATTGGGTAGCCAAAGCACCGGCCTCCCGTCCTTCGTAATCCACTCTTTGCTCCTGTCTATACCGTACCCACGAATGGCGACACGTTGTAACGGGGGCTTATTTCCCGGGTTGTTAACAAGAGCAATTTGGTCAAGATCCACATCCAGATCCAGAATGCCATAGCTACTGTAGATGCGAGTGTTCATGTTTGGATCGAATGATAGATGATGGACTCTGCCAACATCGAGATTCTGGATGCACGCTTCTGCAGCTATATTCCAGACCTTGACTGTATTATCAACAAATCCTGAGGCGAGATACCGGCCATCTGCTGAAAAGGCCAGTTCATTGGCCCAGTTTCCATCGCACTTGAGTGTGTGGGTGCACGCTCCTGTAGCAAAATCCCAGATATTGATTGCTCTACCGCCTGATCTTGAGGCCAACTGCTGACCATCCCTAGAGAAGACGACTTGATGAACATAGAAGTTATGACCCTCAAGTGTACGGACACACACACCTGCAGCCACATCCCAGATCTTGACTGTCATGTCATCTGATGCCGAAGCGAGATACTGGCCATCTGCCGAGGAGGCTATTGAGCGGATCCAATCACTGTGGCCCTCGAGCGTCTGAATACACGCGCCTGTATCCACATCCCATATTTTGATTGTCTTGTCCCATGTTTCTGAAGCAATTTGTCCAAGCTTCAAAAAGGTTATTGACCGCACCGATGTACCGTTGAGTCTCTGGACACACGCGCCAGTCTCGACATCCCAAACCTTAAGTGTGCCTTCCCGCCTTGAGGCAACCTGCCGTCCATCTGGTGACAAAGCCATTGACTCAACTTTGCCCTCATGGCTGTCAAAATTTCGTGCACTCGCGCTTATGGAAACATCCCAGACCTTGATTGTGTTATCAGACGATCCTGAAGCGAGCTGCCCATTTGCCAACGAGACCAGCGAAGTAATCGGCCCATTATGCCCCTTGATTGTTTGGACGCACGCGCCAGTAGTGACATCCCAGATCTTGATTGTTTTATCCCACGATCCTGAGGCGAGCTGCCCATTTGCCAACAAGGCCAGCGAATTCACTTCATTATTATGCCCCTCGAGTGTCTGGACACACGCTCCGGTAGTTACATCCCAGATCTTGATTGTGTTATCGGAGGATCCTGAGATAATCTGCTGGCTGTTTGAGAGGGCTACCACCAACACCAACCTAGTATGCCCATTGAGTGTTTGAACACACGCCCCTGTAGCTATATCCCAGATCTTGACTGTGCAATCATATGATGCTGAAGCAACTTGACCAGTTGCTAAGCCGGCTACTGATCTTGCACAATCTTCATGCCCCTCAAGCGTCTGGACACACATACCTGTAGCTATATCCCAGATCTTGATTGTTTTATCGTCTGATCCCGAGGCAACCAGACTATTTGATAAGGCAGCTACTGACTCAACCTTACTAGTGTGGCCTTTAAGAGACTTTTCGCACATGCCTGTTGTTGTATTCCAGATCTTGATGGTTCCATCTTGCGATCCTGAAACAACTTGTAGACCGTTTGCTAAGAAGGCCACTGATCCCACTGATTTAGTATGGCCCTTAAGTGTTTGGATACATGTGCCTGTAGAGGTATCCCAGATTTTGATTGTTGCATCAATTGATCCTGAAGCGAGCTGCTTACGATCTGCTGAGAGAGCCACTGACTTTACCGAATCGGTATGACCCTCTAGGGTCTGTAAACAAGGGCTCCAGTTATCTTCAACGGCAGGCCACCTCTGCACCCATGATGGGATTTCTTGGTGGAAAGCTTTTCGTACTAAGCTCTGCATTGGGCTGAAAGCCAGTGCGGATGAGTAAGTTTGAAGCGGCGCCATCTCGATAGCCCTTCGATTAAAGAGAATAAATCGACGTGTGTCTTGAATGAAGCGAAGAAGCTCTCCTTTGAGTGATTGCGCCTGTAATGATCAGCATTGTTCGACATGTATACTTGGATATAGACTAACTGAGAGTAAGCCCTCGAGCGCTGCTGTTGAGATAATTCCAACTGACAGACATTGTAGGAGGCTCAAAGCCTCAAGCCAGTGAAGCAAATGCTTCTGAAGAAATACATAAACGTCCTTGTCATCGTCAAGAATATTGCTCGTCCCGCTGGTGTACCCCTCACAAAGGTGATCTATCCAATACACACAGGAATATCGAACGGCAGATAAAGGATCTGTATTTGGATTTCGAACGTCATCATCGGTGAGAAGTCCAAGATATGGCAAGGAGCATATGTTCTTCCTTAAAGTCCTATCCATGGCCTGTAGAGAGAGAGAAAAGATGCTGTGATGCACATTCCAATAGCTAGAAGAGAAGATATCATCTTTGTTCTTTGAAAGATAGTCTTTAGCTGACTGATGGACAAAATAGAGGGTATCTTCACGGATAGTCAGAAAAGATCCACAGAGCGCTACAATCTCCGTTAAATAGTCGACATCAACTGAAAGTTCTTCCGGCACCTCAATGAGACAGACGAGTTCTCGCATGGTAATGGGTCGATATACACTTATCATGACGGCGAGAATCCGCTGGCAGAGGTAGATGTCGTCCTTATCATCCATGTCGAGTACCTGTTTCATCATGCGTTTATATAGAGAATCGAGACCGGGTGGAAAGGTGCTGAGTAGTTTAAGAACCTTACGCCGCGTGTACTTTTCGAGATTTTGGCAGACTAAAGCCACCCAGAGAAATGTATCCTTTGCGTTCTCAAAGAGGTAATCTCGGACTTTGTTGTATGTTTCTTTATCATACTTCTTCGATTCCGATAGCTGATGAACTTTTTTATCGATGTAAAAATTAACGGCACTGGCAATAGACTCCGCATTGAGCTCCAGGCTCAACTTTAGCTTTTGTTCAGCGTTTCGTAGGCGCTCCTCAATCTGGGGCCAGTTTCGGCTCGACACAATCCACTTCACATGAGCTTCAGAGCCAGAGGCGTGCACGATAAGGTCCAGTAGTTTCTCAAATTCGGACACACATTCATCGAGAGCGTCGACCACTAAATATGTACGTTTCAACTTTGGGTCCCGGAGAATATCTGTAAATATATCGGAGAGGACAATCCAAGTGTTTTGTCCCTCAAAGAGCTTTCCGCCAGCTTGATCGTACTTCTTTCGTACATGAGAAATAAGTGATGGCTGCTGGTCGACAAGCATAAATATTAGGCCACGCAATGTCGCAGAAGCGTTGTTGAGTTGTTGGTCAGTGGCCTGGCAAAAGAAGTACGATACAAGGCCAGAGTGTCCTGATTGCTGATTCAATTCATTGATAATACCACAAAGCAGCATAGTCTTGCCTTTACCTGGATCACCTTTAATCCAGAGCAATCGACTCTCCTCAGAGTCCCTCCACTGTTGGTATTCTGCATTATCCAGAATCCAGGTATATGATTCTTGTAATAGGCCGCCCTTGGTCTGTTCGATACGTTTTTTGTCATCTGAAGGATTACTTAGGCGCAAATCCCTTATGCACTGCTGATCTTCCTTTGTTAATGCATGAGCGACCAGCTGCTTGATATCAGAGGCGGTTTCTAGCCTCCCGATTGTTTCGGAATCATCGTGGAAGACACGCTCTGCATCTTTGATAGCTTTCAAATCACCGCTCCAATCATCGAGGCCAACTATATCGCGTAGTAGGGCAAGGCCACGATTGCGGTAATATGAACAGACGCTTTTGATTTCGTATAAGAGGAGCACTTTGTAGAGGTCGATTACTTGAGTCTCCAATTCACGTCGAATGCCAGAGAGGCCACCGTCATTGGCATTCTCCTTTAGGACAACACCAGATAGCTCCCAATACATATTCATTCTCTTTATAACGTACTCGATGCCTTCGCGGTTGGCCTTTGTTGCATCAATGGGGTTTTGAATCACCTTATAAGTAAGTCAGCGTGATAATTCAGATGAAATGTACTTTGCCCGGTCGTCAGATTTACCTCCAGTGCTACACATACACCGGCCCAAGCAAGTGCAGCTTGTGGTGCAGCCTGTAGGGCAGAGCTGATTATATCCCTTGCAGAGATAGCTGTGCCAATGGCCTCCTTAACTTTTGCCTCTTTCGCCGTCTTGTTCAGGCCCTCGCGGATGAGCTGCCGCATCTGATTTCGCCTTGCGTGCGTATCACTCTGCGCAATTATGTTCTGCTCAGATGTCACTCCACCAAGCTTGCTAGACAGAATCTGCTCATACGCTTGCATCAATGCAGCATCGTGTTTCTTCAAATCATCATAAGCTTGATCCCAGAGGCGTTCAGCTAAGGATATCGGCGTCCTGGATGTGCTAGCAGGTAAAGTAGATCCAATAGGTGAAACAGAGCTGGTAGGGAGAGAAGAACTGGTAGGGAGAGAAGAGCTGGTATGGAGAGCAGAGCTGGTGGGGAGAGCAGGTGTTCTGGCAATTAGAGCAGATGAATTGACAAGCAACGCAGTTGGGCTTGCTTGCCCACGGCGGCCATTTTGCTCTATCTCCTCCTCCTGGATAGACGAATCATCACGGTGGGAGAAGAACTCCCTCACGCGACTGCGAATCCTCAGTTTGGAAGGCATGGCAGCTTTGAGAAGCTTGGTCAAATGCAATATCAACACAATGGCTACGAGGAATGATGTCCTTACTCTTATTGTTATAACTTCATGTTATGAGAGGGGAAAGTCGGGCAGCTGCGAGGTGACCAATCGCCATCGAAAAAGCGACAGGCATTCGAGGTTGGGCTGAAAAATTGCTACATGATCAATTCTTGGGTAAACGGTTCAATTACATGCACCCAGCCGTGTCACACAAATGATTGGCTGATGGCGGTCATTGATTCTGATAGGTTTGTCTTGGTTTTTAAATAATGCTGAAATAAAGTGAGTTCTGGGCCACGTACTTGGAAAGATACTTTATACACAATGTTCAGAATATTAACCACGATTTATTGCTTTGGACAATCAATTACGGCAATTGTGACTATCGCATACTGTACTAGGTACATGTAGCCAGCTCTACCTCTACCGATAAAGAATTCGGCCAGCACATAAGAAAACATGCCTACTGTGTAGTTATTTCACATCTGTTTAGCGTAAATTGATGATGTTACATGGATCAAATAATACCAGCCTCAAATGTTCTCTCAATCAAAACCTACAAAATGCCACTCTATGGTCCGTCGTCAACACAGCTGTGATTCTCTTACTATATATCGCCATTGTAGCTCTTTGGCGCTAGAAGAGGCCTAGACGCTATCTTATTCTTAGATAATCCCTGAAAGTAGACGCCCCACTTGTTGCTCACCGCGGGGCAGTACTTTTTTTCTTCTTCGGCGCAAGCTGCTTATCCATATCGCATTATCGGGCAGAGCCAAAATAATATTTTCTGCCGTCAATCGATTACCAACATTCCATCCGCCAGTCCATGATTTCCTGGAGGTGACGCTCAAGATGCCGTTGATAGACGATGGCTTCGAGGCCCTGTTGGAGCCTTTCTACAACGGCAAGAAGCTGACCGACCCCATCTCGACCAAGGAAGACAAGTTCCAGCTGCTGCCGGCATTCCTCAAGGTTAAAGGTAAAGAAGGCCCTTGCCAGCAATCGTTATGACTTTAATGCTAACATCTACAAGGCCTTGTGAAGCAGTACGCATAGATCTTTTCCTCTCACCAAGCCAGCACGACGGCGTTTGCTTCAGTCTACTAACTCTTGAGCCAGGCACATTGACTCATACAACTTCTTTGTCGAAACCGAGATCAAGGAAATCGTTCGCGCCAATCGCACTATCCGAAGCGATGTCGACAGCAACTTTTGGCTAGAGTATGCTTGGACATGGTTCCCACTACCCATCAATAGCTAATCTCATCTTCCAGCTTCACCGATATCCGAGTCGACCGACCTCGCCGCCTGGACTACACTGACTCCAAGTCCCGAACAGAAGTCACGCCGATGGAGTGTCGACTCCGCGATATGACATATGCCGCTCCCATTTTTGTCGACATTGCATACATCCGTGATAAGCAAAAAATTGTCCGCAAAAATGTGCCACTTGGACGAATGCCCATCATGTTGAAGAGTTGCAAGTGCCGACTCAGCGGCGCGAACAACTCTCAGATGGAGCAGATGAACGAATGTCCCTTGGACCCTGGCGGCTACTTTATCGTCAATGGCACTGAAAAAGTCATTCTGATTCAAGAGCAGTTGAGCAAGAACCGTGTTATTGTCGAGGCCGACGAGAAGAACAACGTCATTTCCGCATCAGTGACGAGTTCCACCCACGAGCGAAAGTCGAAGACATATGTTACATTAAAAAAGGACAAAATTACTCTCACCCACAATATCCTTGTCGAAGGCATCCCCATCGTTATCATTCTAAAAGCTTTGGGAGGTCTTTCGGACTACGAGATCATGCAGCTTGTGGCGGGTTCGGATGGCCGATATCAGGACGAATTCCTTGTCAATTTTGACGAAGCTGCCAAAGCCGGCATTTTTACACAACACCAGGCCCTGGAGTACATAGGATCGCGCGTCAAAATGGGTTCTCGAAAGGGCCAGTTTGGTGCTCAAGCCCGCCGCAACAATGTCGAAGAGGGACTGGATGCTCTGGCCAATCTCATCATTGCACACGTTCCCATTGAGGGCCTTGACTTTTACCCCAAGGCCATATACGTGGCTATGATGACACGACGAGTTCTCATGGCATCCCAAGATCCCAAATTGGTGGATGATCGAGATTTCGTCGGTAACAAGCGTCTTGAGCTGGCTGGCCAGTTGCTTTCACTTCTCTTTGAAGATCTTTTCAAGAGATTCATGGGAGAAGTGAAGATGTCAATCGACAAATTTCTTAAAAAGAACAATCGCGCTGTGCCCTTGGACGCTGTCCACATGATTAGCAATCATGCCAATAGCATTGGCTTGGGAATCAATCGGGCTATTCAATCAGGAAACTGGAGCGTCAAGCGATTCAACATGAACAGGGCTGGTGTTACTCACGTCCTCAGTCGACTCAGCTACATCAGCGCTCTTGGTATGATGACCCGAATTAGTAGTCAGTTTGAGAAGACACGAAAAGTGAGTGGACCTCGAGCTCTTCAGCCTTCACAATGGGGTATGCTATGCCCGTCTGATACGCCCGAAGGTGAGGCGTGTGGTCTGGTGAAGAACCTTGCTCTGATGACACATATCACTACCAATGTGGATGAGGCGCCTGTGATGAGGTGGATTTTCACCCTTGACGTTGGTGTCGAGCCGATTAGAAATTTCTCTGGTGCCGAGATGCACCGCGAAGGCTCATACATCATTCACGTCAACGGCACACCGTTTGCACTTACCAGATACCCCAAGAGATTCACACACAGGTTCCGTACTATGCGTCGCCGAGGCTGGATCTCGCCCTTTGTTGGCATTCATACCAACTCACACTTCAACGCAATTCATATAGCTACTGACGAAGGCCGCATTTGTCGGCCGTACATCATTGTCAAGAATGGCAAGCAGAAGCTCAAGCCAGAACATCTCCGCCTCCTTCAAATGGGCAAGGTCACCTTTGACGATTTCCTGACCAAGGGTATTGTAGAGTACCTCGACGTCAACGAGGAAAACGACGCCCTCATTACTATCTATGAAGATCAAGTAACAATGAGCACAACTCATTTGGAGATTGAGCCATTCACTCTTCTTGGAGCTGTTGCAGGCCTGATCCCCTTCCCTCACCACAACCAATCTCCCCGAAACACCTACCAATGTGCCATGGGTAAACAAGCCATTGGCGCCATTGCGCACAATCAATTCAACCGAATCGATACTCTCCTCTACACTCTAGTTTACCCTCAAAGGCCCATGGTCATCACAAAGACCATTCAGCTTATCCATTACGATAAACTCCCTGCTGGCCAAAATGCCACAGTCGTTGTCATGTCATACTCTGGATACGATATCGAAGACGCTCTAGTCTTGAACAAGGCATCGATTGACAGAGGATTTGGACGCTGTCAGGTCTTCCGTAAATACACAACTGAGCTTCAAAAATACCCGAATGGAAGGAGAGAACGCATAGGCGATCCCCTCAATGAAATAGACAATGGCGTCATGCGACGAATCAAGAAACACGAAGCATTGGATGACGATGGCCTAGCCATTGTAGGCCAGAGAATCCACTCCGGAGAAGCCATGGTCAAGAAGGAGACACCGCTCGATATGACGACGACGGGTATTGGTCTTGACCGTGGACCCAGCGAGTACCGCGACACCGCGGTTTCATACCGTATCGCAGATCCTGCTTACATCGACAAGGTCATGATCTCGCAGACAGAAAAGGACACAACAGTCATCAAAGTGCAGACGAGACAGACGCGAAGACCCGAGCTTGGTGACAAGTTTTCTTCTCGTCACGGACAGAAGGGTGTCGTGGGCATCATTGTCGACCAAGAAGATATGCCATTTGCCGATAGCGGTCTGTGCCCTGATATTATCATGAACCCGCACGGTTTCCCTTCTCGAATGACAGTCGGTAAGCTGTTAGAGTGTCTGACTGGCAAAGCATCCATTGTCCACGGCCGCAAAGAGTATGGCTTCGGCGACGCTTTCCGGTCTCACCCCGTTGAGCAAGTAAGCAAGGTCTTGGTTGATCACGGCTTCTCATGGGAGGGCAAGGATTACTTCACCTCCGGCATTACTGGAGAGCCGCTCGAAGCATACATTTTCAACGGCCCAATCTACTACCAGCGTCTGAAGCACATGGTGCAGGATAAGATGCACTCTCGTGCCCGTGGTCCCAGAGCCATCTTAACTCGACAGCCTACTGAAGGTCGATCGCGAGATGGTGGTCTTCGTCTGGGAGAAATGGAACGCGATTGTTTGATTGCTTATGGCGCTTCTCAGCTTCTCCTGGAGCGACTCATGTTGAGTTCCGATGGCGTCATGATTGACATTTGCCAGCAGTGTGGTCTCTTTGGATACAGAGGATATTGCGGCACTTGTAAGAGCACAAGAGAGGTGACGAAGATGCAGATGCCGTATGCTGCCAAGTTGCTGGTACAGGAACTGATCAGCATGAATGTTGGAGTGCGGTTGCAGCTGGAGGACGAGTTCCCTCATCCCAGCTGATCGAAATAAGTAGGAAACACTTCCATATTCTTTTATAGAGTATGATGTATAAATCATATAATCAGACTGTATATGTACACAATAAAATCAATGGAAGCATTTTCTTTATTAAATTCTTGCTTGTGATTCAGATTGACATTTCTTCTTCTCAGTAGCGTCATTCCGAGAACCGCACTATAATACCACGGCTTGCTTTCCTTTATCCTTTTTAACAGATCTTAGCCCCGTCATTGTAACTTCGTATTCTGTCGCATTCTCAATGCCCTGGCCCGAAGCTGCTACATGTGGAGCAAACACCACCTTCATCCACCTCTTCCAAGTCTTGAGCGTCGGCGACCCCACATCGGCATCATCGTCCGCAGAAATAGGAGCGGCAATCCTCGTAGGGCGGCCGTATACGGGTCTCTTGTAGAGAGCCACGCGGCAGGATATCTGGGTGGACCAGACGAGCCCCAGGCTTGGCGTTTTGAGAGAGCTGGAGCTGCGGGGGTCGTCGCCCCAGCCGGTGAACCAGCGTTGCTGATGGTCTAGCGCAAGGGCGGGTGAAGCAGGCTGCTCTTCGTCTGGAAATGAAAAGGAAACCGGCATGGAAGACGAGGGTGTGCTAGAGAGATTCGGTATGGTCGATGGAGGGGCCATGCTCCGTGAGGCTAGAGGGCTCTCCAGGTGAGATGGGCCACTTCTCATGGCAAGTGAGCGTGGAATGGAGGGCGTGGAGGATGAGGCGAAGCGGTCGGCGACTTGGTTTGCCACAATGATGGCAATGCTGTGTCTTCGAGCAAGATCGCGGAGCAGGGCACCTAGCCGGATGAGGTCAGCGCTCCGAGTGGCCATGTTAGAGCCATGGGAGCCCTGGCGTTCGAATTCGGCACGATAGTTGGCTGCCACAGAGTCGATAATCATGAGGCCGATGTCGTGTCTTGATAGCAGCACGGGCACTTGATACTCCAAGATATGGTCCTGGGACTCGAGGTCAGGGGTGACGGCGCTGTGGATGCCGTCCAAAGACGCTGGAGTTCCTGCTTCGCTGGCTTCCTGCAGGATAGTATTCCCTTCGAGCATCTGGGCCAGACGCCTAGTTGCGAGTCCAGATTCCGTTGAGATGTAGAGAGCTTGCTTGCCCAATCCACGGGGAGCGGGGAGTTGCACGGCAAGACATAGTGAGAGGAGGAACTGTGTTTTGCCCACTCCACTTTCGCCAGTGAACTCTGTGATATGGCCGACGGGGACTCCGCCTCCCAGTGCTGCATCTAATCCATCGTCTAGGGTACTGATGAACTGATCAGAGGTGGTTGATATTGGTGGTGGTGGCTGCTTCTCTTCGATTGAGGACGGTGGGGGAGAAGATGGTGGTGGTGCGAGTGGCCTGCTAGAAGCAAGATCGTCTGACAGTGAAGCCTGTATAGCAGCAAGAAATCGGCGGAGGTCGATAATTGGAAGTTGAGTTCGCTTGGCTAAATCTGCCGGGTGTGCCGTGAGAAGGTCGGTAGTTGTGAGAGCGTGTCGTTCAATGGTGGGGATAAGAGCAGCAAAAGCGGAAAGGGGAAAAGAAGGAAGAATGTGGAGGAGGTCCGTCATTTGAATAAAAGCGTCCACAACATATATGTAAAACACATAAAAAACGATCCAATGCCAGCTGAACCACGCCCTTTGGTTACAGAATGCAGGGTGGAGGAGAGAGGGTGTAAGATGATAGGGCCAGAGCCTCGTAGCTCAGAGGATTTTGACACCGGCTCTGCAACAACGCTGTGCTATGCTGCGCTATTCCATGTCATGCCTTGCATGTGGCGTTCTGAGACAGACAGTTTGCTTTGTGTTTGTGTCTGGTCAGAGCCTTGCTTTGATGCGCTAATGCGGCGCTCGAGCGTGGGTATATAGATTAACGAGGCCGCTATAGCTTTGTGGGTTGGGTATCCCGTTGGAGCCCAAGCGAAGGGCGTGTCTCCCGTATCTCGATAAACACAGATGGATCTTGATAATGAATCTTGGATATCGAGGTGAGTTGTCAACGCCAATGGATGCTTGGTTGAGCTGCTGCTGCTTGATCTGGTAACGTGGTGGTTTCTGCGTGAAGCAAATCACCACCCTACTACCTCTCGCCTACCCTACACTGGATCTGACCGCTGCTTAGTAACGCGCATAGCTATACACAAAGCCAAAGTTCTGACTCGGGTCTCGCACAAATCTCTTGCGTCCTGCACCTACGCAGCTTCAGCTTTGCCGCCCAAACTATTTCCGCGTCTAGTGCAAGCCCAATCCCTGTCCGGGTTCCGCACTGCAACAACTCGTTGATTCAGCCTCACATTCCTCTTGAGCCTCGGATCCTTGAGCTACCGGGTGAGCCTGCAGGGCCTAGCCAACTAAAGAGGCGGCTCATCATTGCAACCAGGGTGTTGCTAGCCCACGACTGATTTGTGAGCTACAGATGGCGGTAAAAAAAAAAAGATCGCTGAGAGAAAAACAAGACTACTGCGCCCTTTAGCTCGGCTGGGCGGCATGCTGAGAGCGCGGCGAGACTTGGCAGACTCGGGTACCTGATGATGGTGGACGACTGAGGAGACCGGAGAAATGAGAAACAGAGGCCACACCACGATTGTGTATTTTTGACATCGACGGCAAGCCTCCTAGGAATGTCTGGCAACACTATTTTGGAAGTCGGCTTAGAAACTCAGACGCTTCGACAACCATTTGATGGTGCGATGGGTGTGATGGTCTGTGGCAGATTCTGACAGGGCATCCAGCCCAAGCCATGGGCAGCTTAACCCCGTCGCGGCTAGTGGTTGGGCAGGCTGTTTGCAAGGTTGGCTGTGCTGCTGATCGCTCAATTGCGTTACCACAAACAGCTTGCCGGCCCCTCTCATTTCCACAATTATTCCTCCGTCTTATTCGACAACTATAAAAGCTTGTTCCCGATTTAGAGTCGGCGTCGAGATGCTGCGGTTCCGCGTTTTGGCGGTTCCGCGACTGGGGGAGAGGGGATAAGAGACGAATGTCCGCATACGTGAAGATACGCAGTTAGGCATCAAAACCCGGGCTCAACCTGTCTGTGATAGACAAGCGGCTCACGAGAGGATCCGAGACCGGGTCTCGCGGATGATACGACTTCTGTGCGCAGCGTCGTGTTGCTGCGTTGTTCAAGCGGGGCCTGTCCATGCCGTGGCTATCATGGTGATATGGTTCATCAACCACCGAATTGCGGCAGCGGCTGCGCTTGTGGCAAACCATCGAGCATAGATCTTGTGGCTTAGGCTACGGGATGTCAAGCTTTGCTCTAACCAGCGACGTAGGGGTCCATCACAACTCGAGGTCGAGGGCTGTGATCAACTGCGCAACGCGATGCTCGCAATCGGCAGATTCTGGGCGACAATCATGTTTCTGTGCTCTCCTGCATGGAGCTGACGCCCTTCCGCACCCCCTGTCGTTTTACCTGGTGCAGAGTGGTCTGTGGTCTCATGGATCTAGGATCTATTTGCTGCTAGCGTCCTGCTCCCATTCAGCTCGTGCAAGCCACCAATCCGACGAGACATCGTCCTGCGGTGATGGCACCTCTTCACACAACACCCATGTCATACCATAACCAGTCTTTTTGAACTAGTAGGCGAGCTAACTTGAGGCTGAATGGAGCGGAGGATGGAGTTGTACCAATGCAAGCACCAGGAAAGCGGCTGGGCAGCTACGATTCATCAGACCGACGGAGACTATGCTGCAGTAGCTCAGGCATATTTTGTGCTTTCTCTGCCCAGGTCCCCTTGTGCCGTTACTGGCGCGATAAAACCATTTGGGCGTGCCCCCAACACGAACTGTTTCCCCTTTCTTCTGCTCCTTCTTGTCCTCAGCACGCGGTGAAGCCAGCTTCTGAGACACGGCATTGTCAATCCGCTTCTCGAGAAACAGTACCGCTTTGAAGCCTAGCCATCATGAACAAGGCAACAAGTGTTTATGCCGCACTTGCGGCCCTACTGGCTGCTGCCGATGCTCGCAACTTGAACCAGCTTCCTAGAGCAACTGCTGCTTCCGACTATGCCTTTGATGGCTTCTCCCCCAAGCCAACTGAAGCTATCAATTTCCCCTTCCACCAAGCTCTTCAGCGCCGCGCCGGCTCATCATCATCAAGCGTCGAGACAGTCTATCTTGCCCCTGATGCCACTTGTGGCTACATCTCTGGTCTTGCTGGCGCGGGATACACATGTGGCGTCTCAGCAACATGCGTCTTCTTCACATCCTCGGCTGCTGGTCCGGGACATGTCGCCTGCTGTAACTCGGTAGACTGCAATGCCAGAAACGTTTGTATCGACTACGAAGGCTACTTTAGCTCGAGCAAGTGTAACGATGGCTGCAAGGTCGATACTTTCACTCTCAAATGGTATGTTTCGCTCGCCTGTCTAGTGAACCTAGTCTGTGGAGGTTAGCTAACAGTATCGTCAACAGCACCAACACGGCGCTGCCTTACTGCAACACAATTTCCTTCCCTGGAGATATCATGGACGTCTTCTGCAACAATGTTGATATCACGGATGTCCAGGCTGCGCTGACCACATACCGTGGCGAGGCTTCTAGGAGGTTCACCCCTTTGCCATTGACGGGCAATAATGCTCAGAGCACTATCGCCACCGACTTTACCTCCTCGCAGACATCATCGTCGTCATCTTCTACCACTACTGGCCCATCTCCAACAACAACACCTCCTGCTCCCAGTGGCGGCGGCGGCTCCAACACTGGTGCCATTGTTGGAGGCGTCGTCGGAGGTGTAGCCGGTCTTGGTCTGATTGGTCTCGCTGCGTTCTTCTTCCTCCGCCGCAAGAAGAACAATACGGCCGCCCCGCAGGAGGGAATGGCCCAGGTTCCTCCCGTCTACCACCCTCCTCCTGGAGTGCAGGAGACACCTCAGGGCCATTACGACCCCAAGTTCGCCGCGGCTACAGGACAATATCCTCAGTACCCTCCGCAGCAGGGATACTACCAGACTACTCCTGAGGGCCACACCATCTCTACCGTCTCCCCCGTGGATCCTCGATTTAGCACTGCTGCGTCAAGCACTAGCCCAGTTCCATCTGGTGGTTACGTGGCTCCTGGACCTGGAGCCTTCCAGCCCCAGGAGAATGTTATCCATGAGGCTCCGGCGCAGCCTTCAGAAAACCATCGCGGCGAAATGCATGAGCTTGCTTAGATGGCAGCAATAATTAAGCGGCATGGTTGACGAAGTTAATATCATTCGAGATGAAAATGTGAGATGAGATGGAAGCAAGTATATATACGTGTAAGTTGGCGTTTGCGGGATTTGGAACTTTGTCTTTGGCTTGAGTGGCCGGAGTTGATTAAAACCCTCGGGTCTCTCTTTAAATACGTTGTTTTACCGCAGAAGGAATTCAGCGGTCTTAATATTGTTCCTCGTGTGGCATCTTTAATTAATGGCGAGGATTCATGTTATTTATTATCAGGTCTCGATTCCCGCCATTATGCATGTCCTGCCTGCGCATACTTACTGCGCGGCGACAATCTTTCTTGTACACAATTGGCAAAGATGCAGATGAAAATGAAAGGGAATGTGTGAATACTATTAATCTATATCATATTTCTGAAAACCATCAACAATGCCTCGTCCTGTCGTTGAAACATGGTGGAATAGCCCACTTTATAAGCATTGCTGTTGGTGGGGTTGTGACGGAGTAAATCGAGGCTTAGATGTGGATTTATGCGATGAAATTCCAGATGATAATGCATGAATATGTCTGTGCTGGCTTTATTTATGAGATTGGCGAATTGCTTGGCGTTGGTTTGTGAATTGAAGTGTGAAGTTCTCTATGGTGGCGATTTTTAATGCATTGGCTCTGAGCCATGGATTGAGGAAGCTGCCGTGTGTTGATGCTGAGAGTATTTGCTCTCATGTCATTTGAGTTTATCGATGTGTATTTGCTTCTAATTGTTGGTATGAGTGAGATTAGAGATAGAAAGTTACAAGTTTGAGTAGTTGCGTCATCGTCTTTGTTATCTGTGATGAGATGTCATTCTCTTCAATTCGTTTTTGTGACATCAAATTGTGAGACGGACAAGAGAGAATCTCCAAAACCTGTGGTGATGTCGCATGCTAGTCTGATTTATAGTCACGTTGGTGAACGGGGGGATGACAATGGCTGCGATGTCCCGTGAAGTGTGTGTGTCTGATGTGAAGTTGTCAGAGTCGCGAATGTTGGAGAAGATAGTACAAAGTGAAAATGTCAGACGACTGCTATCTAAGAATAGCGTAGAAGTTAGGGATAGATCAAAAAGTGCGTTTTACTCCTGTTATATGTATCATGGGGAAATGAGTTACAAAAGACTTCAACTTATATACATCTTCAAAAATCACGATCCAACTTTACCTCGTTACCATGGCCAGATCGTCATTTTTGGATGCCCACTATAGTTTATGGCAGGCCGCAGATACTATGTTGCCTAGCGTCTATCTCCCAACTACTTGGCCTTTAGATGTTTTACAGAGAGCAGCACGATGCCTATCTGCGAAGTGGTCTTGTCGCAGGCTACAGATAGAACGGTGGCTACTGGAGGTGTACAGAGGATATAGTGACCAGAGTCGAACACTGCTCGTTTCTAAGTGTGTCGAAGAATGAGAAGTGCAAATCAAGAATACGTTCGGATATTTGGCCAAACGGGGATTGATGACTGTAACTCGAATATAAATGAGATAGTTTGTGGCGAAAGGCTGAAGGTATGGTAAAGTGATTATATACTTGAACATCTGAGCATATTCTGCTGAAGTCCTGGGCAAAGACAGATACCTGAGTAGAGAAAGTGGCAAGGCTAGCTGCTAAAGTAAAGAGTATGATTACCACGAATATATATGTGATTTCGTACGGAGTTGAACATGACATAAAAGAGTGACCAAGAAGAAAATATGTTTATCGTGCAGAGTTCTTATGATCAATTTGAGATCAAAGAATGACCGTGTATTGTGAAGCATTTTCATTATAATGCACTATTACTAAACTTACTTTGTAATTACATGGATACAGACATATTACGCTTGAATTACGTTGTAAATGTGTAGCATGAAAACGTGGGGTTTATATATGTAGCTCACTCAATCTTTTAGATGAAGCATATCATGGCGAGAAATGAAGGAAAATGACTAAATAATGATGTTTCAACGTGAATATCAAAGTCTGTATTATAATAAAACCTGAGGAGGATATCGGCCTCGGGCATTACACAATATGGAATATCGCGAGTTAACACCGAGACAGTAACTCAGGGGAAAGCGACACGTGGGCTAAATCAGTAAAGATATTACATCATATTCGGCGTAGCAGTGTCTAATCTACGGAATCAACGGCGACAAAGCACCTGGGGCAAACAATGGGGCACCATTTCTTCGAGTTTAGTCCTCGGATGCGAGTGTTGTTCAATTGCGTTGTAGATTCAACACCATTTAGTACCTAGTACCCTGAGAAAATGCAGGTACAAATGATTACAGGGCTATACCTGCTCATGGAAAAAAAAAAGAAAAGGAGAAAAGGGAGATGAAGTAGTAAATTATGGAGATCCGGTCGTACGGCACTCGACATCCTTGCTCAAGTGTGATCCGCAATATGCCTGTACGTGGATCATAAGGCGGGCAAGGGAGCCACGAACCTACGCCTCGTAAGCTTGGAGCTACCATATTACGATTCGGCGGATGCAGTCGGATATTAACAACAATATCCAGAGCTCAAGTCTCCTGGAGAGGTATGGAGTGCGTTTTGTCTGACATCGCGGAGATGTACAGGCCCACTCCTGTGTACTTGCCCGGTCAAGAAGAGTATGGCACTCAGCATTTCTTATCACACCATTATCGGCCGGCTCTCAAGATTATCAAAAGCTGAGAGAGCTAAAAGCAGGACATCTGCTCACAAAGAAGGGTTGAAATATCGCCGAGTATATACCTACTTACTTACCCATCCGGGTATATCTACCTAGGTATGTTAGGTAGGTAGTATGCAGAGAGAGTATTTGGAGATTGTGGGTGTCAAGTCAGAGCAAATATTCTAGATTGGGCATCAAAGTCGATATTCCGGCCCCATAATCTTTCGAATTTTCATCCATGCAGTCTAGATTGCTGCGCGAAATACTAATACTACGGTATCTTGGACACAAAGAGATGCTGACATGTGAAAGCGACTTGGACGACTCTGTGGGGGTGCTTAGATGGGGGAAGGAATGGAGTATGGGGCACAAGTAAGTGAGCCAATAGATTATTAGGTGAATAATTTGCTGGATGACGGAATGGATTTATTATTCATCTATATTGATTGCTTGAGTGGGAGCGGTAAGTATGGCATCGGGGCTAACAAATGCTTGATCCAACTTGGTCCGTTGGCCCGAGGCGGGCGGGCCGTCGACAACCGAGTCGCTGGTACGAGGCGAGTACTCGATGGTAGCATAAATGCAAGGCTGCGTATGATGTATTACTGCCGTTAGTAGATACGACTGATAGATGGCAGCAAAGGACTTCTCCTCGGCTTTATCAAGGTATTTCGCCTTATCATTTATAGGACGGAGATGGGTGCTGAGAAGGTGAAGTCAATGGTGCGATTACTGAGACATCAGAACATGTGATTTCAATTCCGCGTCTTACCTTCAAAGGTTATCTCTTTGATCCTCTTGCCCGGAGTCTCTTTCGCTCAGCTTAGCCGATACGGCGCATTTTGAGAGACGACACGACAAAACCCACTCCAACGTTCGGCTTTTCCGGGAAGAAGTTAATCGAGCCTAGAGTACAGGTGATATTTCGAGTGCATTTATGGAGCATCAGAGTGACGGAAGCCTTGTAGGTGCTACGAACAGGCAGCTGTGGTGCTTCATATATTGCGGTAGGAATTATAAGTATCATGTAGGTATCGGATACGCGTGATTCTTTAGCATTCTGTAGCGCGACCAAGTTACATCCCCGGTACCAGATACCATCTCTCAAGGTTGCAGCGTCTCCACGCGGAGGAAACAGAAGACAAAAATTGTGTGGCTGCGGGCATCTCTTTGATCCATCCGTGGCATTTTAGGCACTTTGAGGGGCGCCATGGGGTTTCGCTAGCTCGTGACGTCGTTGCACTGGAGCTGGAAATTACTGCTTCGGTCACTTACAAGTTACAGCCAACGCAGGATTGCAATTTGCTTTGCTTTGCTACCTTATGCTTTGCATCCATCAAGAGAACATGTGGCCTTGTGACCTGGACAAGCCCTCTTGCCCTGCTCATTAAACGAGGCCAACTGACTCAGCACAAGAGGCAGAGCCAAATGCGGCACCTCATGTTATTATTAGTCTTTAGGCGCCTTTGCTCTAGGTTCAATCTGTTTTTGCCACGCACAACATCATCGTGAACAATGTCCCAGACTGCGGGCAACTCTCGGAATCCGGATCGCCATCACGAGGACGCAGCGTCTCGCTCGCAGTAGACAGCGGCTTCTCACCTGCGACTGGAATCATTTAGAACAGCTTTTTGCTAGCGTCGCCCGCCCCGATTCTCACAGCAGACCCAAATCAAATCCCTCTTCTGAAACCCTCAGCCCGAACATCCCCTCGTCCGAAGCCACCACTCCAACCCGGGGTTTTGATCCACTTGACGTGACGCCAGATCGAGACACGTTCTTTTTTTCTCTCTTGTCCCGCAGCCCGCAGCCGAGCACACGTTGCCATTGCCGCTCTCACCTTGGTTGCTTCGCCGTTAAGCACATGCCGTTCATGTAGCTTTTTGCCATCTGCTGCACTCCAGACGAGAACCTCCCCCCACTTGGACTCACTTCCGCCTCTCACCCCCCGGGTTCGTTTCTTGGGCTTCATGTGAGAAGAGGGCATGTACATGTACCAGTAGCGGATAGGCACATGCTCCCGGATCAGCTGTCACGTCACAGCCTGTGAATCATCCGCCTGCCAAACCAACGACTGCGGTAAGTCAAGAGATTTCGTCAGTCTGCCTTTCTTTGTTCAGCAGGTCGTCGGGCATTATTTTCTCTTTGGTTTCTTTATTCCCCTTTAGCTCGACACTAGACAAGCAAATGTACAAGTGTACAAATGTTCTGGGCTAGAGAGCAAGATGCCTGCAAGGTTGTAGATACTTGGCGAGGCAAGGTACCCTTTCAACGTGGTTTGACGTCTCACTATCGCGGCCGGGCATGCGGAGGACCTCTTCCACGTTCCCCTCAGCCCCGGTAAAGCCTACCTTAGTTTTATTCACTCAACCACCTGTGATACGATACGCCTTTCACGGCGATTTGACACAGATGACCCACAGCGAGACACCTGGAGCTGCCATTACGCATCTTGCACTCCAAAGAGACGACGGCTGGCTGTGGGGACTCCACCCTTTCCCCGTCCCCCGGATTCTGGTCCGTATCCGGCCGTGAGGGCGTCTACAAGCGTATGAGTGTACATATATATCTATGTTCCTAGTTGCGCTCGGCTCTGAGGTAGTCCTCTTTGCTACTAATTCCTGTTCCCCGGTTCATCCGTTGCCTCCTTAGTCATTTGCCCTCATGAGACTGAACCTCATTTGTGTGGCACATCAAGTGTAATGCCCGTTTATTGCCACGACGACTGCCATTATTTCTACCGCACCGCCCTTCGCGGACTCTCCATCAGCACCAGCATTTCCCCTCTGTACTTCTAAGTGCTTTGACCTGCTGACGCCATGACGGCCTCAGTTCGTGTCTTTAGTCCTCCCCAGTCCATAGCCGAGCGGCTTGCGGAGCCTCACTCCTATTACAACACTCCTCGCAGCCTCCCAGACCTTCCCGAGCCACCAAAGGAGACCGAGCCAGCCCGGTCCCAGTCTCAGACACCGACCCCCACGTTGGCTCAACGACAGCCTCCCCAGCTGTCTGCTGTATACACCAGAGTCCCCAAGGCGACATACAACGAATCCATGATGGAGGGTGGCATTACTTTCGGCGCCCAGGACAAGCTGCCGAAGCTGCCCATCCCTGAACTTGAGAACACAGCTCGCAAATACCTGGATGCCCTAAGGCCGCTCCAGTCTCCTAGAGAGCATGCCGAAACAAAGCATGCCGTCAACGAGTTCCTTAGAGAAGAAGGTCCTGATCTGCAGGAGAAATTGAAGAGATATGCACAGGGCAAGACGAGTTACATCGAGCAGTTTTGTACGTCTGTCTTAAGAGTATTACTGTGGCTATATCAAAGCTAACATTGATGAAAAGGGTACGACTCGTATCTTAACTTTGACAACCCCGTAGTACTCAACCTCAACCCCTTCTTCCTTCTGGAAGACGACCCGACCCCAGCAAGAAATAACCAGGTGACCCGTGCCGCTTCCCTCGTCGTGTCTGCTCTGGAGTTCATCAGAGCTGTGAGAAAAGAGGAGCTGCCCCCGGATAAGGTCAAGGGAACTCCTCTGTGCATGTATCAGTTTTCACGCCTCTTTGGTACCGCTAGAGTCCCTACCGAAGCTGGATGCCAGATCGAACAAGACCCCGAATCGAAGCACATCATTGTCATGTGCCATGGCCAAATCTATTGGTTTGACGTTCTTGACGACAACTCAGATGTTATCATGACTGAGAAAGACATTGAGCTTAATCTCCAGACGATTGTCGACGACGCTACCCAGACCCCCATCCAAGATGCGGCAAAGAACGCCCTTGGCGTGCTCAGCACAGAGAACCGCAAGGTGTGGTCTGGTCTACGAGACGTTTTGACCCGTGAGCCGGGATCTAACAACGCCGATTCGCTCAACATTGTCGACTCGGCCCTCTTTGTCTTGTGCCTTGACTATACCGAGCCGACCAACGTTGCGGATCTCTGCCAGAACATGCTCTGCGGAACCAGTGAGGTGAAGAACGGAGTGCAGATTGGCACATGCACCAACCGCTGGTACGACAAGCTTCAGATCATTGTCTGCAAGAACGGCAGTGCGGGAATCAACTTTGAGCATACAGGCGTGGACGGTCACACCGTGCTCCGATTCGCAAGTGATGTATATACCGACACGATTCTTCGGTTCGCACGCACCATTAATGGAGGGGCACCAACTTTGTGGACTTCTACTAGCCCCGACCCGTCCAAGCGAGAGATTGACAGCTTTGGAGATGTCAACACCACCCCTCGAAAGCTCGGTTGGGATATGATCCCCGAGCTGAGCATCGCGGTGCGGTTCGCCGAGACCAGGTTGGCAGATTTAATCGAACAGAACGAATTTCAGTGCCTCGATTTCTCCACCTATGGCAAGCACTTTATTACGTCGATGGGATTCTCGCCTGATGCTTTTGTGCAAATGGCATTCCAGGCAGCTTACTACGGTCTGTACGGAAGGGTCGAGTGCACTTACGAGCCTGCCATGACCAAGACCTTCCTGCACGGCCGTACAGAGGCCATTCGACCTGTATCAAAAGAATCTGTGGATTTTGTACAGACATTCTGGGGCGACAACCCGATCGAGCAGAAGATGGAGGCTCTCAAGCGTGCGTGCTTGAAGCATGTCAGCAACACCAGGGAGTGTGCAAAAGCGCAAGGATGCGACAGACATCTATATGCCCTCTTTAGCGTGTGGCAAAAGTATGTTGACGATTTGATCGACAGCGGCATGAGTAGCCCTGGAGCGTCAAGCCCGGCGACGTCTTCACCGACGGCAAGCCCAAGAAGCTCCAACCTATCCATCGATGGCGTTGAAGTCAGGTCGACCAGGGAACGCGGCGACAGTACCAACTCCAGATCGCGGGATCACCACCCGCTCCCTCTCATCTTTGCCGACTCTGGGTGGGACAAGCTGAACACGACGATTCTCTCGACCTCGAACTGCGGTAACCCTTCTCTTCGCCACTTTGGATTCGGACCGACATCAGGAGATGGATTCGGTATCGGCTACATTATCAAGGATGACAGCATCTCCATCTGTGTGTCGAGCAAGCACCGACAGACCAAGAGATTTGTTGACACGCTGGAGAGCTACCTCTTGGAAGTCCGACGCATCTTGCGCATCACAAACGGCAAGGTGGTCAGCACGAAGGGAAGCAAGGCCCGTGAAGCAGAGTTAGCCCGACCGAAGCCATCCAACCGACTCAAGTCTCGAGGCAGATTGATCACTGGCTCGGACGCGATTAAGTCTGGAGGCAGGCGGCTGAGTATGGTTCCGGGATCGCCAACAGAAACAAGCTTTACAAGCGACGACGACGAATTAGGAGGCTGTAAGTCTATACCATATTTCCGCTATTGACATGGATCAATTTACTAACTGCACATAATAGATGGCTTCTTCGACGCCGGAATGCTATTCCAGGCCCTCAAGGCTCGCGGAAACACTATCGAAGAAGAAACCAAGGCGTCGGAGCGAGCAGCTGGGCATGCAAGAAGGCGAGATGTTGGCAAAAAGCTACGTCTGGTTACAGAGTAAGAAATTTGGAAAGTTTCTTGCCGACTGTGTGTTTTGTTACTGTTTGCGTGTGAAATGCATTGTTTGCGGTGGAGCATATCATGGGGTCTTTTCTTTTGGGTGTCACATAGCGTTTGTTGGTGTTACGCAGTGCATTGGGGTTCTCGTCCATATCTTTGTATCTAGGATTGTTGATACCGTGAAATTATTTCAAGCTTTGATAAGCTACTGCACCTTGCTCTTTGACCGAATATAGTAGCCGGATGCTTTGAAATGGCGTGGATACAGCCGACAAAGCGGTCGATATACGGCATATTGCCATCTTTTAGTAGCGTGGGAGGCGCCTTGGCTGCTGCCTTGAAGGTGCCACAGACAAGCAGTTACATCTGGCTATCATATTGCTACCTACCTATACAAAGAAACTCATGATGACAAAGAAAATAGGCTTCAAGCCCAGCATCTAGCTGCCACGGCTTCTTTGAAGCTTCCCCGGTCATCCGAGAGTGGATATTAGCTCTACGAAGGAAGCTGAAGGGGCTTGCCTTGGTATGCGGTACAAAGGACGGTAATACTGTAGTCTTGATGGAATCACTTTTTGCCATTGCGCTAGCTGGAGCTACCCTTGTCATGAATCATGCATGTGATACTGCCTTCCTTTCGGTTTCCCATGGTTACGGCCTTGGGACAAACGATGAGGCGCAATGGTGGGCTGAGCTTTGGGGGACTTGCGTTGTGTTAGTGTCCCACCCCTTTGTGGTGCCTGGAGGCAGCAATCTTTGATAACAGCAACAGTGTACAGCAGCAGCAATCTCGTCGACGATTTGGTGCCAACGAGCTTACGGGGAATGACCAGCATCCACGATCCGTTCATTGGACGAATTGGGTTGGAACAAAAGATGTGGAGCTAAAAACTTTTTTTCCTTTCCCTTCTCCCAAAGACGCGATTAGGATTAGGGGGCTTTTTTATCTATGGAATTTTGTTGGTTGGATGGGCTCCGCTGGTTACCTCTCGCCGCCCAAGCATGAGGCAGGCTGCCTTGCCACTGGCTTTTTCTCTTGGGCTCTTTTTGCCGCCTTGTTCTCTTCAGTACGAGTATTGATTCATTGTTTCAGGATGAGGCTGAATGAGATGGTACGAGTAATGGGATGAGATGGAATGACAGTCAGCGCCAAAGAAAAGTCAATCACAGATGCCGGTTTAGGGTAGTGATAAGCGAGGACAGCTCTTTTTGTGTCCATCTGTTCCATTTCTCTTCCATTCTTTTCTCCGCGGTGATGGCTGCGTCAAGATGACGATTGGAGGGGTACAGAGTACTTGCCAGAGCTGGGGGGCAGTTTCATCGATCGGATTTTCGCCTAGCATCAGTAGGAGAAAAAGATACAGACAGGGAGGAGGGGTTTTCCAGCAGGTGCTGGGCTCCTCTGTTTCTCTGTTTGGGCGTTGCTAGGCTACTGCTAGGTACCCAAGCTGCTGCAGCTACTGTAAGGTTGGTAAGGTTGTAAGGCTCTGGCTAAGGCAGCAACAATTCCATGTGGTACCAGGCAGTACCTCGCGATACGACAGAGCTGTCCAGCACCTTCTAGTGCCTTGTGGTGGGGCAGCTGTGTACCCGCTACCAACACGGCTGCCGCAGCGCCTGGAGAGCCAGAGGTACCAGGGACCCCGCCACTGCCCCGCGATGGATTTTTTTTTTCGTTTGTTGCTGGGAGCTGGAGGGGAGATGACATCAAAGGAGGGGGGAAAGAGGGGAGGGGGAAAGACACTGGATTTTTGGGCAACAGGTACCTGCGTGTACAAGGACAATTGGAAGCTTCTACTGTACGAAGACGACAAGAAACAAAAGGAAATGCAAGGGGCAGGGCAGAAAACAGCTTCGGGCACTGATCAAAAAAACGCAAGGGGGCTTTCCAGCAGCGGCGCGCATGGTCTAGGCGTTTGCAGTGCCTACCAGAGGCTTCTGTGAGCCCCTGCAAGATGCCGGTGTGGGCACCCTTGGAATAGTGTAGAACCGCATCGAAACCCTCCCACCGTCCTTTATTTAGATGCTCTCTGCAGCCCGCCAGCAACGCCGTTTTCTTTTCCCGAACATACTCTCTTAAATCCTCCATTCTTCACACCTTCTCCTTTTTCTTCTCTTCAATCTGCACTAATTTCCATTTTCCCCTTTTTTTCGAGAGCACACAAACACCATCTTTCACAATGTCTATGGGACCAGCCGTCGGTATCGACCTGGGTACTACGTACTCTTGCGTCGGTATCTTCCGTGAGGACCGATGTGATATCATCGCCAACGACCAGGGTAACCGAACGACCCCTTCGTTCGTTGCCTTCACCGACACCGAGCGTCTGATCGGTGATGCGGCCAAGAACCAGGTCGCCATGAACCCCCAGAACACCGTCTTCGACGCCAAGCGATTGATCGGACGCAAGTTTGCCGACTCCGAGGTCCAGGCTGATATGAAGCACTTCCCCTTCAAGATCATCGACAAGGGCTCCAAGCCCGTCGTCGAGGTTGAGTTCAAGGGCGAGAAGAAGACCTTCACCCCCGAGGAGATCTCCTCCATGATCCTGACCAAGATGCGTGAGACTGCCGAGTCCTACCTCGGAACCACCGTCAACAACGCCGTCATCACTGTCCCCGCCTACTTCAACGACAGCCAGCGTCAGGCTACCAAGGACGCCGGTCTCATTGCCGGTCTCAACGTCCTGCGTATCATCAACGAGCCCACCGCTGCTGCCATCGCCTACGGCCTTGACAAGAAGGTCGAGGGTGAGCGCAACGTCCTCATCTTCGATCTCGGTGGTGGTACCTTCGATGTCTCTCTCCTGACCATTGAGGAGGGTATCTTCGAGGTCAAGTCCACTGCCGGTGACACTCACTTGGGTGGTGAAGATTTCGACAACCGTCTGGTCAACCACTTTGTTAACGAGTTTAAGCGCAAGAACAAGAAGGTTAGTTTACCCACAAGCGATTCCCCCCAGAACCAGAACCAGCACATGCTAACATCTCACCAGGATCTGTCCACCAACGCTCGTGCTCTTCGCCGTCTCCGCACTGCCTGCGAGCGTGCTAAGCGAACTCTGTCTTCGTCTGCCCAGACCTCCATTGAGATCGACTCTCTCTTCGAGGGTATCGACTACTACACCTCCATCACTCGTGCCCGTTTCGAGGAGCTGTGCCAGGATCTCTTCCGATCCACCATCCAGCCCGTCGACCGTGTCCTTGCCGATGCCAAGATCGACAAGTCCCAGGTCCACGAGATTGTCCTCGTCGGTGGCTCTACCCGTATCCCCCGTATCCAGAAGCTCATCACCGACTACTTCAACGGCAAGGAGCCCAACAAGAGCATCAACCCCGATGAGGCCGTCGCCTACGGTGCTGCCGTCCAGGCCGCCATTCTGTCTGGTGACACCTCCTCCAAGTCCACCAACGAGATCCTGCTTCTCGATGTCGCTCCCCTGTCTCTCGGTATCGAGACTGCTGGTGGCATGATGACCAAGCTCATCCCCCGCAACACCACCATCCCCACCAAGAAGTCCGAGGTCTTCTCCACCTTCTCTGACAACCAGCCTGGTGTGCTCATCCAGGTCTACGAGGGTGAGCGTCAGCGCACCAAGGACAACAACCTGCTCGGCAAGTTCGAGCTCACTGGCATTCCCCCTGCCCCCCGTGGTGTTCCCCAGATTGAGGTCACCTTCGACGTCGATGCCAACGGTATCATGAACGTCTCCGCCGTCGAGAAGGGCACTGGCAAGTCCAACAAGATTGTCATCACCAACGACAAGGGCCGCCTGTCCAAGGAGGAGATTGAGCGCATGCTGTCTGACGCCGAGAAGTACAAGGAGGAGGACGAGGCTGAGGGCCGCCGTGTCTCTGCCAAGAACGGCCTTGAGTCCTACGCCTACTCTCTCCGCAACACCCTCAACGACCCCAAGGTCGACGAGAAGATTGAGGCCGCCGACAAGGAGACCCTCAAGACCGAGATCGACAAGATCGTCCAGTGGCTCGATGAAAACCAGCAGGCCACTCGTGAGGAGTACGAGGAGCACCAGAAGGAGCTCGAGGGTGTCGCCAACCCCATCATGATGAAGTTCTACGGAGCTGGTGGTGAGGGTGGCATGCCCGGTGGCATGCCCGGCGGCCCTGGTGGCTTCCCCGGCGCTGGCGGCGCTCCCCACGCTGGTGGCGATGACGGCCCCACCGTCGAGGAGGTCGACTAAATTCACAAAAAGCTGTTTTGATACCCCAACATCAGACTTGAGCTTCCAGATTGGTAATGCGTCTACGATGTGTCGAGGCCTACTCTAGGGGATCAAGGGATGATGCCATGATTAGATTCTTTCTTTGAGTTTTTGCTTTTATCGTAACTAGCATTTCACGGACATGAAGGGTAAAAAGCTGGGCGGGACGCTGGCCCTGGTTGTATTTTAATGAGTTATAAGGGAATTAAAAAAAAAATTCAAATGGTTTAGACCAATAATTTGTTCTTTCTATTGCTTGTGAATGTGTTTTCTATCCAAGCTACAAGTGAATCTTTTAAGATGAAGCCGAATGCAAATGAGATGATCTCTGTGGCTTTGTTTCGCTCGGCCATTTTTCATCATCAGTCATATTTTGTGTGGTGTCGTCGCAGTGTGGACAATTGTGGTCGGGTTTCTATCGATATCGACGTACAAAGCGCTTGTTGAGCATCATGTTCCGGTGAATTATACAAAGAGTAGAAGCTCTCTAGATATCTAAACTGGTAGTAGTAGTAGCAGTAATAATAATAATACATGGTAGCGTGTCTCCTCTCAAGGCCATTATCCAATACCTATCCTCATTCCTTCTTTTCAAACCCCAAATCCTGCCGTATCTTCTTCCTCCTCTCCTCCTCCAACCTCCTCCACTCATTGTCATCAACCTTTGCAATCTCAACAGCTTCCGCAAAGGCCGTCCCCGGCGCAACCTTGTGCTCTCTCGCCGTCCAGACATCCTCGCTGCTGCGGCTCCCAGGGGCGTAGTACTTTTCGTACTCCTTGCGGCGGTAGTGCTCGCGGACGGCGTTCTCCTTGAGGGTGCCGGAGTAGGACTTTGTGCGCATGCAGAACCAGAAGTCGTCCCAGAGGTGGCTGCAGGAGCGCATCTCGCCGTGGCGGTAGACGGCGTTCCACTGGCCGCCGAGGGAGTTGCATGACCAGGCGAGGTCGAAGGCCTGGCGGCAGGACATGTCGGTTGGGAGGAGGGATTCGCTGACGGGGTCGAGATGGGGGACGGGGGGAGCTTCGGGGGCGCTGGAGAGTTTTGAGGAGAGCCATGAGGAGATGACGGAGGGGGATGATGATGATGATGAGGTTGAAGAGGAGGAAGAGGAGGATTTGGGGGTGTCGTCGGATTTGTTGAAGAGGTCGAGGAGTTTCTGGATTTCGGGGTCGACGGGCTCGTTGGGAGCTTGAGATGAGTTGGGTGATGATGAGGGAGGAGGAAGAGAAGATCGTGTAGGTTGAGAAGAAGAAGAGGGGGGGGAGGGAGATTGGTCGGTTGGTGGTTTGGGAGACGATGATGTCCAGAGCCAGCCCATGTTGAAGTTGTTTGTAGAATGCGATATATGTAAATGAATCGATGTCAATGCGCTCAGGCGGAGGCTTTGAGTTGCCTTTTGAGGACTATACTGGTTGTTTTTCCCTTTATATAGAGAAGATTGAAAACTGTTGATTTGGGATTGGATACGGTTGGTGTTGATAGAGTAACGAATTCAGCTTGCCCGCCTTCTTTTCTTTCTTCAATTGACGCTGAAGTCGCATCTTTTTTCCGGGTCATCAAGGTCAATCGACAATCGCATTTTCGCATCGGGAAAATAGCTTTCCCGAAGTCTTGGCCTTTCCTAGTCTAGGAAGGAGCTGGGATTGTTTCCTATGACCTCATTGGCCATACAACTAGCTCATCATGCTATACTAGACGAGAGCTCGATAAACAGCCGTGACTGAGCTTTGGTTTCTCTCTTTACTACAACACACGAATAGCGAAATGCTCAAATTTCTGTGGTGAAGAGCTGTCATGATTCCCTCGCGAAGCCTTGCGTTGCTGGCGGCGCGATCCAGCAGCGCGCGGGCGCTACGATCATGGCCTGCGGCTCATGTTGCGACTAGACGGACCGACTATGGGCTGACGAGATGGCGAGCTGGGCAGAGGATTTGGGAGACGACAACGGCGACGCCTTTGAGCGAGGGTGGCGATGAGGGGAAGAAACAAGACTTGTCGCCGTCTGAGGAGCAGGAGAGTGGACGATTTGATGTCAAGTCCAACGAGTCGATTCTCTTTTTCGACAGTAAGGGATTGTTAAAGAGGTCTAGTGACTGATATCTTTATTGACTTGACACTTTTTTGTAGATTTGTTTCCGCTTAAGCTTACCCCGCTGCTGAGTCGCCAAACAGAAACGGATCAGCAGCTGACAGATCTTCTAAAGCGCTTCAACAGCTCGTCTTTGGGTATCATGGATCCGATCCAATTGGTGAAGAGAGCGATACCGGATAACTTGCCCATCAAAGTGACGGAGATTTTGCCGCGGCTCAAGGATGGCGGAGCGTTTGTCAAGTTTGAGTACGATGCCAGTCTGAATGCTACAGAGATTGAAGGTAAGTGAAGGGCCGTGATTATTTTGCTGTCAATGACTTACTGACTGTTGGCTAGCCAAGCTATTGAAAAAGCTACGAGAAGAGCCAATTAAGCCGTGGTTCAACCCCTTTAGCAGGATTAGAGCTCGTCTCGTCCGTGGAGTTCCCTGGCTTGAGGATTTGCATCGATATCCGTCGCCTTTGCTCATGGTGGAATTTGTCCCTCCTGAACCTGGCGCTGCCCCCGAGGAGCTTCCCGAGGAAGTTCTTTACAGCCTGTTCCGCCGGTATGGAAAGATTGCGGACATCATTCCTCAACCAGCTGATTCGAAGATTACCCCGCGATATGCCCAGATCGGCTTTCCTGTACTGCGGGATACCATCATGGCTCGGAATTGCCTGCACGGTTTCATTCTTGGCGAAGCCCAAGGAGGGGGCAAGAATGGAACCAAGCTACGGCTATCTTATGTGAAACGAGAAAAGGGCCATAGCATCTGGAACTGGATCACGACGCATCCTCGAATCGTTATTCCGATTGTGGCCGCGCTCATTGCCGGTGTCTCCGTCATGATTTTCGACCCTATTAGAATGTTTTTCATCAAAGTACATGTACAACACTCTCTCCGCTACACTGACTGGCGCATTTACAAGTGGTTCAAGTCACAGACAGGAAGCTTCTATTTCCACAAGAAAGAAGAGCACATTGAAGGCCTTGGTACGATATGGAAACACCGCAAGGACCTTATTGAGCAGCTACAAAGCTGGCTTGATGGTAGCTCTGATACCTTTATTGTTGTCACTGGCCCAAGAGGTTCTGGAAAGGCCGAGATGGTCATGAGCCAAACATTGAGCGGGCGCAAAAATGTTGTTCTCATCGATTGCAAGCCGATTACAGAAGCCAATGGTGAAGCTGGGACTATCAAGAGGCTGGCAGCAGCAGTTGGATATCGGCCAGTATTTTCATGGGCAAACAGCATCAGCAGTATGATTGATCTCGCGGTTCAGGGTACGACAGGCGTCAAATCTGGATTTTCGGAGACTCTGGAATCCCAGCTGAACAAGATCTTGCACACCACCGCCACCGCTCTCAAAAATGTCGCCCTCTCAGAGCGTCACAAAACAGACAAGGATGCCACCATTTCCGAAGATGCATACTTGGAGGCACACCCTGAGCAGCGGCCAATCATTGTTGTCGACAACTTCCTTCACAAGAACGAGGATTCCAGCATTGTATACGACATGATTGCGGAGTGGGCCGCAACAGTCGTCCAGAATAACATTGCCCACGTAGTGTTCCTCACTAGCGATTCCGCCTACTCAAAGTCTCTCACCAAGGCTATGCCAGACAGAGTCTTCCGCACTTTGTCTTTGGGCGATTTGGATGCCGATGTGGCAAAGAACTTTGTCGTTACTCGTTTGGAAGAGGATCTGAAGCGTGAAGCTCAAGAGCAAGAGGAGCAAGGCGAGGAGAACAAGAAAGTGCCTCCGCGACCGAGCTTGGCAGGATTGGACGATGGCATCAAGGTTCTTGGAGGCCGTTTGACAGATCTCGAGTTTCTGGCCCGGCGACTCAAGGCGGGACAGACGCCTCACGAGGCTGTTGAAGAAATTGTCACTGAGGATGCCACTGATATTGCCAAAATGTATCTTCTCGGACGGACAGCTGATGCGGATAGGAGGTGGTCTATTGAACAGGCGTGGCACCTGATCAAGGCCCTCTCTGAAAACCCAACTCTGCGCTACCACCAAGTTCTTCTCTCGCCTACCTTTGCTTCATCCTTATCTTCTAATGCCACAAATGGAGAGGCTGCTATTGAGAGTCTGGCCGGCGCAGAGCTCATCACGGTCAAGACGCACCGTGGACGACCTCAGACGATTGAAGCCGGCAAGCCGCTCCACCAGGCGGCGTTTGGCGTCCTCGTCAAGGACCGCGTGCTTCGCGCAAAGATGGACCTGGCGGTGCTAACCGAAATGGCCAAGGTCGAAGCCAAGAACATTGATACGGTGGAAAAGGAGCTGCAGTTGTTGGGTGGACTGCCACGGCATACCGGGGAGTCGGCGGGTAGGGTCATGTATCTGCTGAGCAAGCTGGATGCTGGGCAGAGGAAGATTGCGCAGTTTGAGAAGGAGATGGGCGGGCTGAAGAAGATTCTGAATGAGGAGTACTGATGTATATGTGAGAGATGTTATGAGTGTATCGTTGTATGTATGTAGTGTATGATAGGAACTGAGCCATCAATTCTGCTTTTGTCACTGTTAAGGGGTTGATACATTGGCTACTCATGATGTAAAGCACATAATTGGCCCTTTGATTTCCTTTCCACGCCTCATAGGTATCAATACTCGACATATAGATAAATATGAACAAAGTCACAATTCATGAAACAGCAATAATCACGTGATACAAACAATCATCGATGAATCCCGTATCAAAAGATGGAGAGAGGGAATCAAATGCATCTCATTTCACGCCTCAAAGCTTTGTAAAACAAATCAAAAGAAACAAGAAACAAGAAAAATCCACAAATACTCCCTCCCTGCCCATCCATCCGAACAATCAGCCCGCCTTACGCCTTCTGCAGATGAAAGATGAACAAAATGAACATTGACATTTCTCTTTCTTTCCCTCCCATTTTGTGCAAGCTTCGTCAATCAATGAGAGAACAAGAGGAAAAGAAGAATAGGTGCGGCGCCAGCAAAAAAGTGAATGCGAGAAATACGCTGTGAATGAAGAAAAGAAGGGGGAGTGCTCAAATCGTGTTGAGGGTATGATGAATCGTGATGGCCATGTAAATCGGTAATTCGCAGCAATGGAGCGCTTTTCTGATAGGTAGCTCGTTTTTTTCTTCTTCATTTTCTCATCATGCTGCGATGCTCATCTGCGAGGCTTCATACTGCGCAGGAGATATCTCGCACGCCTGACAGAAGAAGACTCGACTGGGATTATCGTAGTCGTTTGTGATGCTGTAATAGTTGCCTGTTTATGTTTCACATTAGAATCTCTCCCCCTTTTGACTGTGTGAAGATTAAAAACTACTCACCTCTCGGCACAAACCACATACCACCCGCTGATATGCGAAACTGCGCCTCGTTGATTGTCACCATGACTTTTCCTGTGTGCACGAAAAAGACCATGTGCATCTTCCGCGAGTTCTTGGGCCGTTTCTCGCCGCCGGGGGGCAGATCAACCACTCCAGCACCCATAAACGGCATCGTCAGCGTCTTTGCGAACCGGAACGTGGCATCACGAATCTCCGATGTCTGCACTGCCTTGGCCGATAGGGCGATTCGCTCGTCTGTTACCTGGACAGGCTCATCATCTGCCGGGGGATGTTCTTCATGCTCCGTCTCCCATATCACGATTTCGCCCTCGACGGTACCTGGGTTGAGCTCCCATGCTTCATAGTCTTCCTCCACCACGGGTTTCTTCGTTTTGGGTCGCGCTTTGCCTCGTGATGATGCAGCTCTACTGGGTGCTTCCTCCACGGGTACACGGACGACTTCTTTGATGCTCGGCATGACGAATCGATCCTTGGCAAACATATCAGCCTGCTCTTCATCCTCCCGGACCACCTGCTCGCCTCTCCAATACTCAACAGGTCGGTAAGAGTGTCGTCCGGATCTTGTCTGCGTTATCCTATCGTCCAAGTCTTTGCGCATAGATACCAAACCGCGAGACTTTGGCATGGGTGGGCCACGTTGTAGAGCCGCAAACGATGTCTCTCCCACATCTCCGTCCTCGGAATCTGCGTTCTTAGGCTTTCTCCCAGGTCGGCCTTTTGTCTTGGGCTGAGGTTCGGCCTTGGCTTTGGGCTTAGCCTTGCTCGCTGCTGAGACAGGCACAACAATCCCGCCACGAGCAGGAGCTTTCCCCTTGTTCAAGGGCTTTGACTTGGAGGGCACGGCTTTTGAAGGTCCAGCAGTTCTCTGCTTCTTCCGTGGCGCAACATCCTCTTCCTCTTCATCCTCCTCCTCCTGCTGCTCTTCTTCAGACTGTTCTTGTGCTTCTTCTGGGGTATCTTCACGGGTAGACTTTCGCGGTGGTCCTCGCTTCTTTGACGGCTGGGATGATGACGGCGCTGCATCGCGGCGCTTCTGATCTTGTTTTGACCGCCCCTTTTGCTTTACAATTGGCAACTCATCCTCCTCTTCATCCTCCTCTTCATCCTCCTGTTCCAATTCCTCTTCTTCAGGCTCCTCCTCTGGTTCTTCGGCATCTAACTCTTCTGAAGGTTCTCTAACGGGAGCCCGGGGAGCTGCTTTGGGTTTTGCCTGCGGAGCGGCCTTGGTTGGCCGTCTTCCGCGCTTCTTCTGCGATGATGAGTCGTCATCCTGTTCCTGCGCAGCTTTTGGCTCGGGCCTCGGCGGATCGTTTTGCATCGAATCGACCATCAGCATGGATTCTTCAGCCGGGCCGTCAATTGTCACCCCGTTTCCGCTCGCACCCATGACGTCGTCTAGCTCCTCCGATTCCGAGTCGTCCCTGTGCCGTGAAAGGCCGTTTAGCCCTGTCGCCTTGTGTTTCCCATTCGTCTTAGCTGCCTTGTTTCCTGCTTTGCCGGCAAAATTAAGCCTCCGAGCTGCCTTTTCGGCGCTGGGATTGCGCGTGGGAGAGGATGATCGATCGTTTGCATTCCTGTCACTGGTAAGTCGGGGTTCGCTTCGAGCTCAAGGAGGGGGGTCAAGGTACTCGATGCTCCGCCGGTTCTTGAGGACTGTTCTTGGCCCTGGTCCAGCACCTAGGTTTTGCAAAAGAGGATGTCAGCCATGTGTTGTTGGGAATCTAGAATCGCCATTCGCCCGCGAAACCCAGCGAATCAGCAATGCGACAAAGCTCACTTGACGATATGTCCATGTCCTCGCTCCCGGATTCATCCCTGCGAGTGACTGCTGGCGATGAGAAAATGGCATCCAGAGGCTGCATGCCATGCTCATCGCGCTCGCCCGTGTCCTTCAAGAAAGCGCCGGTTTTCCTATTTTCACCACGTCAGCGCTGCCACCGGCCCTGCGAGCTTCGTCTCCCGCCCAAGCGCCCAAACGTACCGGCCTCGAACTCCGAACTCGTGGAGAGCTTCCGGCTCAGCTGAAGCTTCGCCTCTCCGCCCGCCGCCTCGAGGCATGATGGGGGAAAAAAGCCGGGTCGGGATTCGGTCAAGGGTGCGAAAATAAACGGACGAGGAGATGAAAATCTCCCGGTTGCTGCTGGGCCCCAAAAAATCGGGTTCCGCTGCCTCAATCCGCAGGCGACGCCGAGCTTGGAGTTTGCGCTGGTCGGAATCGAGATTTCGGCGACGCGCTTTTAGTGGATGTTGACGTGTTGAATTGAAGAGCTGCACGCAGAAGGAGATCGGTTATGGCATTTTAGGCGGGGGTTGGCAGTGATGGAACAGCTCATGTGCGCTGAAAGAGTGCTAGCAGGGCCCGTTTTTCGGACAGCTTCCAGCACGTGTTGCTGAGCTCCAGCGGTGAGCTTTACTGAGCTGTCTGCTGTAAAAGTACCTACACGGAGCAGACTTAAGTACCTTGTACCAGCAACGCGTCAAATAGGTAGAGCAGAGCTGGTCACAGACGCGTCGAGGGGCTGGACAAGATCTTTAAGTGTCCATCTACAACAATCTTGATTGCCAATTCAGCCATAACAGCGTCTCGTCTTGAGCCATTGGCGGCTGGAATAACGCCGTCATTATCCTCTGAGATACGCTGGTGATTTATTTCCCTTCTTGATCTTCAATATCTACAATCAATTGCTTCGAATCTCTTCAACTCCACGCATCACCCATCTCCATCAGTAAACCGGCCTCATCAACCACCAACCGCAGCCATGGAAGAAGACGCTGCTGCCCCCGATTCCACCGCCGCCGCCTCTTTCTCCATGCCCTCCTCCGGCACCTTCGTCCCGCCCTCAGTCTCCTCCCACCGCGATACCCTCATCTCCGGCGCAACCTTCTCCCACTTCTCGCCCATCCCGCCGGCTCTCCTCCCAACCGATCCCTCCGATCCCTCCTCCGCCCCGCCCTGCGTCCTCGGTGTCGATGAAGCCGGTCGCGGACCTGTGCTCGGTCCCATGGTCTACGGCATCTTCTTCCTCCCGGCCGACATCTCAGATCCGCTGCTCAGAGAGACGCATCACTTTGACGACTCCAAGGTGCTCTCCGCGACGGTGCGCTCGCAGTTGATGGAGACGCTGTGCACTCCTGGATCAGATCTTCACGAATCGTGTGGTTGGGCCACGACGGCACTTTCAGCACGAGACATTGGCGCCAACATGATGAAGCCCGTCTCATACAACCTCAACGCCCAGGCCATGGACGCCACCATGGATCTCATCCGCGCCGTCTATGCCAAGGGCGTCAACATCAAGGAGATATACGTCGACACCATCGGCCCGCCAGCCACCTACCAGGCCAAACTTCAGCGAGTCTTCCCAACCGCCAAAGTCACTGTCGCAAAAAAGGCCGATAGTCTATACGCCTGCGTCAGTGCCGCCTCCGTCTGCGCAAAAGTCACCCGTGATGCTGCCCTTGAAACCCTCTTCCACGCCCGCCAGGTCGCTACTGCCGCTACCAACGGCGAGGAGGCTCCGTCTGAAGACATTCCTATGGAATGGGGCTCTGGATATCCATCCGATTCCAAGACGGTGGGATGGCTGAGGAATAACATGCATCCTCTCTTTGGATGGGGGTCTGAATGCCGCTTTAGCTGGGGCACCGCCAAGGACATGCTGGAGAGCAAGGGCAACGGCATCAAAATCGAGTGGCCTGCTGATGATGACGGCGAGACGAGCAGATTAACCGACTTTTTTGTGTCCGGGAGCGAGGAGAAGCAAGGGAATGAGCTGGCGTCATGGTTTGGAACCCCAGCGAGTCAAGAAGCATTCTAGAGAAGACCAAAGAAGGAAAACAGGGCATGGGCAGATTTCTTGGCTTTTATTATTTTTCTTAAGTCATGGTCTTCAACCGGGGCACATTATGGATCGGCGTTGCAGATGCATTACGAAATGGAATCAATGGCTGGTCGTATATGCCGACCTATGGCAAGGCATCGGCGTTTGGTATTTAGAGTTTAGTATTTTGTATTTGACTTGGATAAACCATCTTTATTTTATCTTGTGTAGCCATTATTCGTATCCTGTTCGCTCATCAATGCTATACGCTTCTTTGTGTCCCTCAATGTCCGACAATGTCTTGAGAGTTTGTACATAAGGCGCTTTTATTCCCTTCATATGTCGTCTCGGGTCCCCTTTTGAATTTTTCCTTTACACATCTAAATGTCATCTAGGCTTTCAGACTCCGTCTTCTTCTTTCCTCGGCTATCCAGCGTATCCATGCTGATGTCGCTGTCTTGCCTCGCCGGCATGGCCAACGCCTGTCGTGCAGTATCTGAGTTGGCGACGAACTCGCGCAGCTGCTGCTTGGCAATATCCATGCCCTGGTTGACGGCGGCATTGCCCATTTGCATCATGGGGCCCAGGAGGTTGAGGTACCAGGCAGTGTAAGTTCCTCCACTAATCAAAATGAGAAGGATGAACATGAGCGGGTTGCGCAAAACTAGAACAATAAGTTAGTCAAGGCCGAATAATTAGAGTCTCTTTTCCAAGGAAATTTCTTACCCATCCAAATTTCGTTCCAGCCGAGAACGAGGAGCAGCACATAAAAGTACCACGGCACCTGGGTCATGCCGCCAATGGCGCTTCGCTTGGCCTCGACGTAGACGCCATCGGCTGTCTTCTTGAAGCGCACGACCAGGTCCTGTCGCTTATTCTCACTCAGCATGGTCATTTCCTCCTCGAGGCTCTTGCCGTCTTCTTCATCGACGCCGCCGATAGGAGTAAGATCCTCCTCATCACCGGCTTCGACTCCGCTAGGCTGTGCGCCAATGAACCCGATCAAGTCCGGAGACCCATTGCTAGATAACAGCTTGAACTTGGAAAGGAGGGGAATCAATGTGAGCGTGGACTCTCGCGCCTTTGTATAAATGCCCTCGATATCGTCCGTTGGCCTCCAGATGCGCGGCACACCAGCATCGTCATATCGGAACTTGTCCTCAAAGTTTTCCCTAAGCTTCAAAAGGATGTTGCCCTCCATGACCTCCTCTTCAATCTTCTCTCGGAGGGCCGTCCAGCTCTTGCGTCGGAGGCGCCATAGGCCTACATCGACTTCAGCATCGCTGGCATCGAAACTCTTGGCTCGGTCAGCAAACCGGCTCTCGGCTTCGCTGACTATTCCGATAAAGACTTTCCAGATTCGGTCCCAGAGGTCCTTTTCCGTTGCCGGCTTTTGACCCTCCTCGGGCGCTCCCGAGCCTCCTCTGCCGGATCCTAGCTTGTTGAATTCTAAGCCAACGGCATCGCCCAGCCTTGACTTGACCCAGCGCTCCACACGGGTGGCTAGCCGTCGGATTTCGTCCTTGCGCAGCTTGCTGCTAACCTCATCGAGTTCGGCCTCAAATAGCTGATTCTGAGACACAAAGTTGGTCCACTCGACGCCCTCAATCGCCAGGCTGTCGACCTCTGCCTTAAAGATTTCCATAGTCTTCTTCTTTTCGTTGCTTACGATTTCGGCAAATTCATAAGCTCCGCCAGCCTTTTGCCCGGCCTTTACCTTGTTCGACACGGCCTCGCTAAAGGCGGCAACTCCGGCCTTGTGAGCTGCTGCAATTTGTCCTTGGTACAGAGTCTTGAGTCGACCGTCAACCTTGCTCTCCAGCTCCTGCTTCTTTCGGGAGTAGACGCCCTTGTGGTATCGGCTAGCCTGCACTTCAAAGGCTCTGAAGCATTTTTCACGAGCCTGGCTAGCTGTGGTACCCAAATCAGGAAGTACAATGGCTTTGCCGAGCTTAGAGGCTTGAGATTGCTGCTCCTCAAGTGGGTTCAGAAGCAGGTCAAAGGCAACCAGGACTTCTCGGGATATCTCGTCACATCGGAATTGAGCAAGAAGCTCTTGCTGCGTCGGCAGATCTAGGTCCTTGTTGTTCACGATTTGGTCCCAGATGCCCTCCGTATACACAGACAGTCCATCCGCAGGAATTCTCCTGTGGTACTCGGGCAGGAGAATGCCACCCTCGGACTCCGCGGCCCCATCCTCACCCTTTCCTACTCGATGTCCTGTGGTGAATCTCGCACCTAGAAGCGCGACTTCACTCTCAAACTTCTCTCCTTGTAGAATCTTGTGGGGTAGGGCTGCAAAGCCAAAGTCAAAGTAGTCCTCAATACGGGACTGCTCCAGACCCTCTGGTTTAGAGATGGATGACCAGATCTTGGTCAGATCTTGAATCAATGTGTTTTGGAGAGCCGACAACGGTGTAACGCCAATGTGGTCTCGGATGACGAAGAATAAGAGAGATCGGGGGGTTGAGCTGCGGTAGACCGTTAGCACGTGAGCTTCAATTGGCGCATGCCTCGGAATGCTCGTGGCCTGTAAGCTGATAGGGCAGGGTTCTTTACTTCTTATCTTTCAAAAACAACTGTAAGTTGACTTCAAAAACCGTCTTGAGCAGGCCCATGTTCGCTCCCTGGTACAAGCCAACCTGGTGTTCCCAGATGTTGATCAGGAGAACTTCACTGGTAGCCAGTGCAAACAGGGCGCTCTTGCGCTCGAAATCTTGGTCCTCTCCACGCTCTCGGCCGTCGGTACCCTCGACGTCCATAACGAGAATGTTATCTGCCATTTTGGTTCCGGAACTTGTCTCGCGCTTGTTCTTAGACACCCAGATGCCCTTGGTGGTCTGACGGCGCTCGGTCTCAGACATGACGGAGAAGGTGGTGCCGAAGAGGTGGTTCAGGAGGGTTGACTTTCCTGTAGACTGAGAGCCAAACACGGAGATGAGGTGGTAGTTGAAGCCTGCTTCGGCAACTCGCATGGTCTGGAGGTAGTCGTTGAGGTTGCGGCTATGGCGGCGAGGGATTTCGCATTAGCTTCCAATTTGCCCCGAATCACCAGAACAAGGCCATTCCGACACATACTTGAACTCCTTTTCTTCGTCTATGACCTGACAACCATGGTCATAGTTGCCGTTCGCCGGCTGGTCACCGACGGCGGAAAAGTGGCCGTTCATGGCTGCTGCTACACTCGAAGCTGAGCAATCCGAAGCGGCATGAGCTCTCGCTGGGAGACAGGAGAGGCAATTGGGTTCTCAAGAGGGCAGAATTGGATGGAGAATCGGTTGAGGGAGTGTAAAGAAGCTTAATAGGAGTGGTATGAAGGACGAAAGTCAAATGTCATTAGCATCGAGCTACTATATGGGAGATATGACCACCTACGCTCTTCTGATCAAGCCGAAAGTGGCATGGTGGGGTACCGTGACAGCCACACGTGGTTGCGCTAGTGTGGCGTTTTGTTGGGCAGGATGCTGTGGCTGGTGCGCAGAATGTCACAGATAAGATGGCGTAACATTACTTTCTCCGTGCTCCGTCTGAGATGCTGTGATGTGATTCGTCCATTCGGCTTCATTTGCTTCATCACTCCTACTCTGCTGACTACCTGGTCTGTACATCGACGAGGTACACATCGTACAACAAAATCATGCCCAAGATTATGCATGAATGTCCGGCGCTTTTCCTTCATCATGCCATGTCAAGCCATGTGTTACCTCCTCAACAGTACCGGGATTCCTGTGCAATGCATGTCATGGCCCTCGTGGGCTAGTCCAAGTGGCTCTCCAAGACTAACAAGCTATCCTAATGCAAGTGTTGAGGCCTGAAAGAGGATATTGCCTGGAGCTGTCCTATTGTTACCACTGGCTGGACGGTCGACATGCATGTCTTTATCTGCATTATACGGGTATGAGACATGTTGCAGATCAAATCCTTGACAGCGCCACGCATGTTGGGCCACTCTGCAGCACCCGGTGGAAAGACATGCTGTGGGGGCGGTTTCTGAGATGCAGATGTTGACAGCACGGCTTACTGATGCAGATGACGTTTCAGAGGTATTACGTGCAATGTCTTTTTCATTTGTCTAATTATCTAATTTGTGAATGTTTGCTCAGCCAGGCTTTTCTTCTGCCCAATGACTGAAATCATCAATCAACCTCTACGCCCGGGTCAGGGTCAACAGAACGCTTTCACCAGGTCCCAGCTTCGCCTTGACGCCGCTCTTCTGCTTGCCCAGGCTCTTGTTGTTCCAGACATCGTGGACGCTGTAGGTTCCCTTGATGCCCAGGTCCGCCCATGAAGCCGATACCCACTCGTCATCGGTGCTGGTGCCGTTGAATCCACCCTGGCCGAGATCGGGCCCGTAGTTGGCGAGGACAACAACGGCCTTTCCGTTTGGCGCAGGGCCTGCGATCCAGGCTTGCAGCTGCTTGGCATCCTGTCCTCCCGTGCCGGGGTTGCGGGGCTGCATGGGGTATTGCGCAGTGAAGTCGGCAACGTCGTGGGCCGCCTTGTTGGTGAGCAAGTTCAAGCCAAACTTGTCCAGATGGGTGAGGTCAGAGCCGAGAATCAGGTTAGCGCCCGCTCCGATGTAGTGCGTCATGACTGTCTGTCGCTGTGCGTCTGTGATTCCGGAGGTGGTGGCGTTGTTACCGACAAGGAGGTTGTCCATGTCGGGATAGATGTTCAGGTGGTCAAAGAACTGCAAACCAGCAACGATCCATTGACGATAGTTGTCAAAGGCTCGCTGGACCGTAGCCCATGCCACAAAAGAGGGCTGTCCGCTGTTGTTGAGATCCTGGTCGGTTCTCATGGAGTCGGCATTGGAGTTCCAGATGTTGAAGTACTTCTGAGTCCGGTCGAGCTTCCAGGAGATGTCCAGACGCATCTTGCGACCAGTTTGCTTAATAGCCTTGTGCCACGCAATGACAGTGCCACTTCCATCCGGAGGGAGCATCTGTCCATTGTCAGGTGATCCAGGAGTGACAAAGTCGAGTTTGACAAAATCAACTTTCCTAAGGTCGTTGTGAGCACAAACCATGTTGAGGGGAGGGTGACACATAATTTGGGACTTACCACTTAGCAAACTGGTCAGCACAAGAGTTGTGCCAAAGCTGTGCCTCAGGCCGTGTGAAGTCGAAGATGCATCGGATAAGGCCCTCGTTACCGTGGCAAACATCGCCAATCTTGGTGTTTGTGTGAATGATGGTCTTGTTCACATCCTCTAGGAAGGCACCGGGCACAACGTAGACTCCCAGCTTCAGACCTTTGCTGTGAAGGTGGTCTGCCAATGCGGGGATGTTAAAGGTGGTGTTATCATAGAGAATACGGCCGTATTCATCGCCGTGGTCTCCAACAGACCAACCAGAGTCCAAGCTGCAGGTGTCATATCCAGGGAGGCCAACAAGGTGGTCGCACTGCTCAATGACATGTTCCTGGTCAAACTTGAAGCTGGGGAGAGTCAGGGGGTTTGCCTGGATGCCGAATGAGTTCCATCCACGGGCGGAGCTGCGGAAGCCATTGGGTGTCTCCTTGTAGGAGATGATCTTCAACTGAGGGCTATGGCTAGTCGTCCGTTTGGCATTGGGAGCTGCAGCAGCACCTGTCACACCCAAGCCGAGCACGAGCGCCGAAAGCAGACGACCTGTCATGGTTGATCTGATGCCGAAACTGAGGATAAGAGAAAGAAGACTCGAGGAACTCCTAGGACGTCAAGTAGAGACACTCCGGGTTGGCCAGCTGACAATCCTGGGTGTGGAAGATTGCAGTTGGGTTGATGGGACTCAATCAAGCTTCACACAGGGACATTATATATCATTCTGCCTACATACGTTCCATTGCTACTCTCTCGTAATAGATGAATTCTTCCGGAGACCTCTTGACCGGAAGAATCAGGCAGTCCGACGGTATTCTCTCGGCAGCTTGCGCCGGAGGATTGCTCGGGCTCTACATTCTCTGCCAAGGCTTACCGAAGACGAGATGCAAAGCTCCGTATTTTCTACTATTGCCGTTGCCTATTTTGATTATTGGCTTGTGTCAGCAAATGGCCAAACACACTACGACAGTTACGTACTTGGGTTGCACCGATCTAATGCAAAGTATGGGGATCTTCTGGGGTTCGATGCGGAGATGGTTTACCCCTGTGTTGCGATCGCGGGGGATTTACAACCCCGTCTGGGGTATAAAACGGAACTTGGCAATGAAGCTACAATTGAAAAAAGCTTAGCTGAGCTTCGTGTCGGGGACGAAGCGTAACTTCTAGCCGACGGAAATACCAGTTCTGGTACTTTGTACTATGGGGGTCATTGAGGCTATCTAGTTGCGATGAAGAGCGAGGATACGGAAAAGGTGGAGATGTCTAAGACGGAAAAGATATGGGGACGGAAAAGGTCGAAGACAACGGTTTGCCGGTTAAAGTGCTCGGCGACCCGATGACGGCTATCCTTCCGTGAAGGCATTGTTTTTGCAACTGTCGACTCCGTTTAGGATATCAAGTAATAACGAGTCATGACAAACTACTCTTTCATGTTCGTCTGCCCTCTTGGAAGGGGGAGTCAGCTGTCGATTGCGAAATCATAAAGTTGACCCCTTTCGAGGAGCACCAATATGTTGACGAGGGACCCTCACTGCCATGGCTGGAATCCATAGCAGCAAGCTCTGTCTCCTTTTCTCTGATTCTCATTCCCATACCTTCGAACTTGTTCTTCTGCCTCGTCTGCTCTCCGCTCCTCGACCAACCTCTACTTTATCTGGTTGAGACTGAGGAACACTCCCCATCCAAGCCCAGCAATGCTGCCAACAAGCTGCCGGTAGTCGAACGGCACGACAACTAGGTTCAACAGACAGACAAGCGGCCACACTCGATAGCCAGCAAACAACATGGGCCAAAAGTCCTGTAACTCAATGTCAGCCTCTTCCAAGTCTTATCAACAACCGGTGAGGGGTACTCACACTGATGACACTGCTTAGGATATTGTTGAAGCTCTGAAAGTTCATCTGGCCCATCAGGCAGATAAACATAAGCGTGTTGACGGGTGCTCCAAGTGCCTGATCCAAGATGAACTTGGCCGCCGTGTTGGCAATGTTCAGCTTGCCACCGGTCCCCGTCACCGCATCATGAGACGGCTTGTCTTTAATAACTTTGTCCTCCTTTGCCTCCGTCGTGGTTGGAAACGTCCGCTCTAGGAACTCCTGCCACCTATAGTTGGGAGGTGTTGTGAGCACCGTGTACACTATGAAGCGCAGGATGGAGGAGAGATCAACACCATCGACGGTCTGCATGCAAGCGAGCATCGTGTCAGCACATCAACCAACGGCGAAGCATCATGATGCCACGGGGGCAAGTCTACTCACCCCCCTGCGATATGCCAGAATGCCTTGGGCAAACACCCCGGACAGGGCATTTAGCACCGTTGCCTGGACGGTCGCGGCCGTGACTTTGGAATCCATCGCACCGACAGCCAAAAGATCTTTCGATGGCTATGCAAGAAAATCATTCATCAGTTTAACGAAGGCAGCTACTGCGGTCGAAATTGTTAAGTACGGTTCCGAAAGGGGTCACTCCCGGGGAATGTATTGCCATCGCCTACATGTCCGCGAGATACCCCGAGAAATTGCTGAGCCCGGAGCTATCCTATGTCGCCATTCCTCAGCTCCTAGATAGGAGGGGGCATCGCGGCTATGGTTCTCCAGACTTCGCTATCATCATCCCCAATCCAGTCGAGCTCGACGCATCCGAAGTAGGGCAGCAATAGTCAAAATTTTGGCTCGTGGAGCCCACAGCAAACAAACGTCGCATGATGGCACGAGACATTGGAGGCGTCAGACGACCTGAGACCAGGGCGAGATACTTTTCTTCATCATTGTCATCTCAATCGCTCTGCAGATATCCCTGTCACCTGCAAATGTCGCCAAAGAATTTGCCTCTTCCTTGCTTCGAGCCCCGCGCCCGTTTTCATATTACCCAAAAGGGGAAATTATCGGGCATGATACTTTTGCCCGTCAAACCACAGCGCCTCAATACAGCCGCCGAAAGGACAAAGTCCGGGGAGGCTTGTAAGGCTAAGTCTACCCTTGTATGGCATAGCCAATTGCGGGGTGAAGAAGATGAGCCGAGTCCACCCCTGCAAGCCATTCGACGAGACCAAGAGTTTTTTCAACAGAATGATAGGGACTCTTTGAAGGTGTCTAGTCGTTATTGGGCTGAATGGAGGGGGAGAGAAGAAGCTGGAATAACTATAAAATAGGCTCGTCAGGGTGTCATTTTCCAAAGGAAGTTGTCCGAGAACCAGGAAGAGTGAGACAGGAGTCAAGACGAGCACGAGTCTGTCTTGAGTCTCTCTTACCGACAAGTTTTCACTTGATAACTCCCCCCTTCTCCTCTTTTCTTTTCCTCTTAGACGGAGGCTACCCTTTTGATATTCAACTCTCCACCGTCAAGAGGAGCCATGGAGAAGTCATTGGCTGTGGCCCATGCGGAAGATCTTCCCATTGAGCCCAACGAGAAACTCGCCATCAATGAGGTTGCAGTACAGGCAAAGCAGGGTGCTGAGGCCGAGCACAACCTGAGTCCCCTCAAGGCCCTGCGCCTCTATCCCAAGGCCATCTTCTGGTGCCTGATTGTGTCTGCCTGTGTCATTATGGAAGGCTATGATACAAACCTCCTGAGCAACTTTTACGCCTACCCTGAATTCGCCAAGAAATACGGCCACTTCAACGAGGCAACCAACAATTATCAGCTCTCAGCCCCCTGGCAAGCTGGTTTGGGCAATGCTTCCAACGTCGGCTCCTTCTTCGGCACTCTCCTTAATGGCTATCTAGTCCTCAGATTCGGCCATGTCCGGGTTATTCTGGGCTCTTTGGCAGCCATGAGCGCCTTTGTCTTTATCGTCTTCTTTGCGCCAAACACAAAGGTCTTGCTTGTCGGCGAGTTGCTCTGTGGCCTTCCATGGGGTATTTTTGCCACAACCGCGCCAGCATACGCTTCAGAAGTCCTACCAATGACTCTGCGTGTGTACCTGACTAGCTGGACGAACATGTGCTTCATCATTGGTCAACTCATCTCGGCCGGCATCTTCGCCGGCCTCGTCAACAACACGACTGAGTGGTCCTATCGAATTCCTTTTGCCGTCCAGTGGGTTTGGCCCGTCATCTTGTTCCCTATTATCTGGTTTGCACCAGATACGCCTTGGCATCTCGTTCGTCAGGGTCGCCACGAGGAGGCCAAGGAGTCGTTGAGAAAGCTCCGCTCAAACCCCTCTGAGGAAGAGCTCCAGGAGAGTCTCAACTTGATCATCTACACCAACAACCTGGAAGAGCAGCTGTCTGTCGGCACATCGTACTGGGACTGCTTTAAGGGCTTTGAGCTTCGACGAACCGAGATTGCATGCATGGTGTTTGCTGGTCAGGTCCTTTCCGGCATCAACTTTGCGTACAACTCGACCTACTTCTTCCAGCAGGTTGGTCTCACCACAACCCAGACCTATCACCTCGGTGTCGGTGGAAATGGCATGGCTCTGTTTGGTACCATTGTTTCTTGGGTCTTGATTATGCCTTACTTTGGTCGCCGCACGACATATGTCATTGGTATGGGCACCATGTCGGCTATCCTCATCATCATTGGCGGTCTCAATGCTCGAACAAATGACAACCACGTCGGCATGGCCCAGGCCGTCTTGACGTTGGTCTGGACCTTTGTCTTCCAGCTTTCGGCCGGTCAGCTCGGTTGGGCTCTTCCGGCAGAGCTTGGTTCAACGCGTCTCCGTCAAAAGACAGTCTGTTTGGCTCGTAATGCCTACGCTGTTACTGGTATCGTCGCAGGTGTCCTGCAGCCGTATTTCATGAACCCGACGCAGTGGAATCTCAAGGGCTACACCGGCTTCGTCTGGGGTGGCACTGCCTTCATTACCTTTGTGTGGGCCTATTTCCGGTTGCCAGAGTCCAAGGATCGTACATATGAAGAGCTTGACATTTTGTTTGCCCGGAATGTTCCTGCAAGAAAGTTTGCCAGCTACAAGATTGACGCCTTCCAGAATGACGCTCTGCCGTAGGAGGAGGGAAAGGGCGGTTGATGAGTAATTTTTAGCCGTGTTTGCAGGCTAAATCTGTCTGGTGGATAGCTTTGTAGTTAATAATTAATTACCTACGTGTTATGATAATGACTGGTTCACCCGTAGTAAGAGAAATTTAATTCTGTGTTAAGAATGAAGCTGTACCTCATTTGCATGTCAACAGTAACTTCCATACCTACTTACTTACGACACTGTAACTGCCAGGAACCACCTCGTACTTACTATAGATGACGCTCATGATTTGCTCTTGCACAAAGCGTAAAAGCATCTACCCGGTAGAAAATGATATTATCTCTGAAGAAGGCGCTGTCAGGGAAAATATAATTGCTCAAGCCCAGTTTTTCATCTTCCAAACTGTCCTCTGACAAACTCAACAATTCATCAATATTTTTGTCTTCTCTTTCTTATACCAAGCATCAAATCTAACTCATATTCTTCCCTGTTCTCCACTTCTGCTCTTACAAAATGGCTACATACCCCCGAATCATGACGTTCGAGTGCGAATGGGAGCAATCTCTGGAGCAACCAGATTCGATCGCTGAATTTCGCACATAGTTTGAAGCCCTCTGCGGTCGGGTCCGAGAGATTTGCCCAATAGCAAATTGGTGGGATAGAAAGCCGATGACCACGGAACAACAGGAGCAGTTGTGTCTTGAGCTCATGCGTGCCGTCTTTTTCGTGTTTGTCGGGATCCCAGATGTCAACCCTAGATGCCTCCGCGCATGCGCCAGGGAATTTTGTATGCATGAGTCCCTATTAGAGCCTCATTGGTCATCAGGGAGTTGTTACAAGAAGCTCGCGGGAGGTCTTATTAATACCGAGAAAGCCATCAAACGGGAGGGACGGGGCGTGTACGCTTGTCCAGAAGCAACGATACTCATGTCAGGATTGGCACATATTTGTCTCTTTGAGACGCATCCACCTGCTTCCGTTGTCATCAGAAGAATGAAAGACTTGAGAGTACTTGAGCATGCACTCACTGTCGTCGTCCACTATGGGGAGGTACACAGAACTTGGGTATGGATAAATAGAGCCTTGATTCCAACGGAAGATGAAACAGCTGAACAGCAGATGCACCAAAACAGTGCCCAGCCCATGGCATGAATGATGCTGGCTTAGATGGAAGCCTCTTGTTCGTTTTCTTTCGTTGGGACAAGCTGCGATTCTGATGGACGGCTTACCGCTTACGGCCATTTCCAGATACGGCAATACAAACTGCAGAGGTCAGCTTCTGCTGCTCTAAACACCACAAAAGCAATACTTTTACCCAGCAATCTGCAGACCAAGAATGGAATCTGGATTCTGTATCCAACACCTACCTCGCACCGTCAAATCGCCTTCGGCCAACTTACCCCGGATTGCCCTTTTCAGCTATAAACCACCAGCGCCAAGATCTCCATCCCACAGATCTCGCCCAAATCTGTGGACCCCCCAGTTTCTCCCGAATAAACTCCCACGGGATCCCACCCCGATTTTGTCAAATCGCCAACATCTTGCCCACAGATTGGATTTGCCACGAATCACAGGCGTCCCCGATTAATTGACCGTAACGAACGGCACGATAGCCGCTGGGGCCCTGTCAATGCTAATCCCCCGTGGGATTATGGAGGGGGGAGAGGGACGAGATATAGGATAACGGGTCGGGGGACGGAGAGGAGAATTGTTTGGGGTGCTCTGTGCGGCTTGTCTTTGTTTTTCATCTTGTACTCTGCTTCTCTTTTAATAGCAGTCGGTGGCTTGTTTCGGTTCCTCCGAACCGTTTGCTGGTTCTGGGGCGGGAGAGGTCGGATTGCTCTTTTTGATATTAGAGCCTAAAAAGGTATATATTAGGCGCAGACATAAAGGATTGTTCCTCTGTTTTGTCCGTCGGCTCTTCATACCTGTGACCGGACTTCCCTATTTCTTCCATCCCCTCGAGAGAAAAACTCGCCGTTCCCTTCGCGGTGTTGATACAAGATGAGGTTTCCTAAGGAAGGGCTTCTCGTGGCCCTCTCTGCGAGCGGCGTCCGGGCCGTGAACAATGGGCTGGCGCGAACTCCTCAGATGGGATGGGTATGTATTTGTGACTTGCTCTTTACGTGCTGTCCGGCCCTTTGGTCGAAGCAATCGAATCACAATCACACCGACCAAGCTGACAACGTTGATGTTTCCGCTCCAATAGAACAACTGGAACACCTTCCACTGCTCCGTCTCGTCGACCCTCCTCACCAACACCGCCAAGCTGCTCACGGAATACGGCCTGCAGGACTTGGGTTACAAGTACGTGGTGCTAGACGACTGCTGGTCCTCGGGCCGCGACGCCAACGGAAAGCTCGTCGCGGACACCACCAAGTTCCCGGATGGCATGGGCGCCGTGGCGGATGCGCTGCACGAGCAGGGGTTTCTGTTTGGCATGTACTCGAGCGCGGGCGAGATGACTTGCGCGCGATATGGTGAGTTTTTGATCCCCATCTCCTCTCTCTTTCTCTCTTGCGCGTGTCCTACATTGGAGCTTTTGGTATCGCGTGTTAGTTGACGGGGAATTGCTAATCGTTCTGATGTCACGATGTAGCCGGATCCCTCGATTACGAAGAAAACGATGCGCAGAGCTTCGCCGATTGGGGTGTCGACTATCTCAAGTACGACAACTGCTACCACATGGGCCGGTTTGGCACGCCCCTCATCTCCTTTAACCGCTTCAATGAGATGGCCAAGGCGCTCAAGAAGACGGGCCGGTCCATCCTCTACAGCTTATGCAACTGGGGCGAGGACTACGTCCACACAGTAAGTCCCCCTCTTGAGTTTCCCCGATCTCGAGTTTCTCCGTCACGAAAAAAACGACACTCGCAGCACCATTGAAAGAACCGCAAGAAAAAGATAGGCAGATAGGCTAACCTCTGCCGCAATTTTTGCAGTGGGGAGGATCCATTGCGAATTCCTGGCGCATCTCGGGCGACATTTACGACTCGTTTGCCCGTCCGGATGACTTGTGTTCGTGCACAAACGCCGCCGACCCGGCCTGTATCGCCCCCGGCACGCACTGCTCGGTCCTGGCCATCATCAACAAGGTGGCTCCCTACATCGACCGCGGCCTGCCGGGCGGGTGGAACGACCTGGACATGCTGGAAGTTGGCCACGGCGGCATGACGGAAGAAGAGGTGAGTGGATGTGGGATGGGAAGATCCCGTGATGGGCTTCTTGTGACTGTGACTGTGACTTTGACTCACATGGAAACAGTACAAAGCCCACTTCTCCATGTGGGCTGCCCTCAAGTCCCCCCTGCTCCTCGGAAACGACCTCCGCGCCATGACGGCGTCGTCTCTGGCTATTATCAACAACCCCGCCATCATTGCCCTCAACCAGGACCCCCGTGGCCGCGCCATCCAGCGCATCTCGCGCGACCTCGACGTGCCCGTGGACCGCCACGGCGTAGGTGAGACGCACGTCTGGAGCGGCCCCCTGGCCAACGGCGACCAGGTCGTCATCTTTCTCAACGCCGCCGACGCGGACCTCGACATGTCCGCATCGCTCGAGGACATCTTCATCATGGACGGCGTGGGCACCGCCCCGCAAATCCAGCAAGACTGGGCCGTCCACGACCTGTGGGGTAACAGCGGCTCTCGCATGAGCTTGCATGACGCTCAGGCCCTGCTCGACGCCAAGGATGCTGATGCTCGTCGGTCCTTCTTGCAGACCAAGCTCGACTGGTACAACGCGACGGAGCTCCCCTATGCCCAGGGCCTGAGCCGTCGGGACCCACGGCTGTTTGGTGAGCGTATTGGCGTCGTCGAGGCCGGCGGCAAGATCAGCGCGCGGGTTCCAAGACATGCGGCCAAGGTGTTTAGGCTGCAGAGCGTCAGCGGACAGGATACCACCAGGAAGAGCCTTCTCAGGGACGAGCTTTGAAGAGGGGCTATATGGTCAATTGAGCTTCACGATAGAGAGAGAGAGAGAGAATGAGGAGGCTAATGAGAGAAGAGAGTATTCCAAAAAGAGGGATATTTCTGTTGATTGATTGCATGGTTTGGCAAGAAACCATGGCAGCATCATAAGTATATATAGAACCATAAACAAGGCCATATTTCATAGAACATTTTCCATAGCCACCCAATAAACCCAACCAAAATGTTGAAAAAGAAAAGAAAAAAAGAGAACATTTCCCAAGACATTACTTCAAACTGGCAATCAAAATCTTATGCAATTTCTACTTGCCCGGGCATGTGCACTTGTTCCGCGTCAAACGGCGTTTCCTCGCACGCCAACGCCATAAACGACGCCGCGCCAGGTTCCAACATCGTCAGATCGCAGGTATCCTGCCAGCTGCCCGTGCTGCTGGACGACTCGTCTCCCTGTGTCAAGTCTCCCACATTCTCCGTCACTCCTCCTGCGGGCTCCTCCAGCAATGCCGGCCAGTGGATGTCGATGCTGGCAATGGGATTTGAGAAGCCAAGAATCATCTCTGAGTGCTTTAGAAGCTTGGGCAGCAAATTAGATTGGCACCCACGAATACGGGCTAGGAACTTGACGACAGAGCAGAGAAGGTCCTGTGGTCCGAATTCGAAGGATGGCATGGGAGGAGCAGACATGGATGCGTCCGCTAGACTCATTCCAATGTCAAAAAGTTTTTGTTCCTGTCAAGTTTCTTCAGTTAGCACCTGTTTACTTGCTGTAACCATGAAGCTGCTTCTCCCCGTCGAAAACTTACAATAGCGATTCCGTGGCAGTCCTTTGAGCTCTGGCTCACAGACCCCAGGGCCTTCATGATGGACTTTCCAGCCTCAAACGGCAGGCCGAGAGCAGGCATGAGGCCCTGGCCATACACGAGATTCGGCTTGGTGCCAAATGCGAGCCGCCACATCGACACACGGAGCCACTGCTGTGTGACAAGCGTGTCGAATCTCTGGCTCTCCATGACCGACTCTGCGGGCTGCACAGCGGAGAGTTTATTGCTGATGGCATGGCTGAGGGCGACACCCTGCGGCTGGCATCCATCGGTATGAGGCTGCCACTCGTAAAGAGAACAGGGCAGCAGCTCGAATAGGCGGACGTGGTTTACAAAATCGTGCATAACGATGGGGCAGTCTGAGTCGACAATCTGCGGCTTTGAGATGGTGTTGCGAAGCATCACCGGCCGCCTGTGCTGCAGAGCGTATGTCCTATTAGAGACATGTCATTAGTTTCCCTTGCCTGCCTGAAATTTCTAGCAAAGGCTGCATTCAATTTTTGGTCTTACCTCTCGGTCACGAATAGCAGCCAGAATATCCGCCGCCTGATTTCCCGTTCACCTTCTTCAAGGTTGCTGTAGGCAGCCTCACTGTGTAGGCCTATTGACAGAGCCAATGAAATAGCCTGGTTTAGGTAAAACCAAGCATGGGTATGCTTCTCCAGGTTGCCATAGCCCGCAAAGAGAAAGAAGGACGTCAGCAGGGTGTCTAGGCTGAGGTCATCAACCACGTTGAACTGGAGCCGGGCCTGCTCAGCAGCGGTGAGCAGAGCCTCACCCGTAAGCGGCGAGTCTAGTGATGTGTTGATGCCGACCGAGGTTTCGTCATACTCCTCAGCGTTGTCCAGTTTCAACTGAATCCGCGTCGCAGCGCAGAGAGACAGGAGAAAGGCATACCGCGATGGAGAGAGCTCATCCAAGCGCAGAGAGTCGGTCAGCAGCTCCCTGTCGTTGACAACAGGCATAATAGGAAACAGGTGCTTCATAAACACCTGCACATGAGCCGCCAAGGCCACCGACAGCCTCTGCTTGTCATGCTCCGTCGCCGTTCCAGATGCCGTTGCAAGAGCCAGAAGGGGGTTTTGCTGGCCGCCAGGCCCTACTGTGCCATGCCGGCTTCTATTTGAGTCGTCCAAGGCGTTGAACTGGATCTGTGTGCTCGGCGTGCTGACCTCAAAGTGGTTCTTGTCTGGCTCCGTGAGGCCCTGCCTGATTTGAGACAGTCGACGGCCTTTGCCTCCCCTTGGCCCCTTGCGTCGAAGTGTGTGTAAGTATCGACAGGGAATGGAAGACACGACGCAGTTGCTGCAGGGCAGACCACGATCGCACTTCATTTTCCGGAAGCGACAGTTGTCGCATACCTGCTGGGGCGGCTTCGGCGCGACGTTTGGTGTAGTCGACATGGCGAATATGAGTTTAGGGGTGATTAGAGTTGTGGCAAGTCAAGACAACAGACAATGAGAAGCTTGGGGATGCAACGAGGCGGTTCCTCCTATATCGGACGATGTCTCGATGCAGGTTTAGGTCATCAACCAAGAATGCAGTCAAAGCTCTTCCCAGACTCGCAATTGACAATCAACAGTTTGCAAGCTGGTCCCTTTGCAACAGCAACAGAGAGTAGAAGAAATGATATCCACAAGGAAGCAGTTTCCGTTCAGTGTCAGCTTCGAGACAAAAGTAATATCTAAAGAGAAGCGTCTTCCCCCAGAAAAAAAAGTTTCCTTTTCCCGACGGCTCGCCTCACAGGGCCAGCGTTACATGCATCTTAACGACGACCACCCCCGCAGGTTTCTCGGATCCCAATGCTTCCACCCCCCCTTTCCCACCGCCATGACTTATTTCGATCGTGGCCGCCACGTTTTTCCTAGCTCAGGCTGGCTTCTGCGTTGTTTGCAATAGACGTCGCCCATCGAACCGTTTTGGCGAGCCACTGGCACCTTTTCCGAACGCCTCGAGCAGTGCTGATGGTGGGGACGGATTCAGGAAACAGGGCTCCAGCTAGCTTTTTGGGGTAATACTCGGGCTTCCACCACAGACCATCGTGTGGAGATGGAGCCATTGGCCGTGCGGAGAAGTTTGCGGGGATGGGTTTGGCTCATGGGTGCCAGCGCTATGCATGCAGACACATGCATGGGATTTCGGGATTCATCACCAGGGGTCGGTGAGTCGGAGCCGTGGTCCAATGCCGTCGAGTGGCCAGAGCATGCCACATGCCCATGTCGAGCTGCGGTATGAGGCGGTATGGATTAGCAAATGTGAAGAGTCAGATGTGACAGCCAGCAGCGCGGCACTTGGATCCCCAGGATTCGGAAAAGCAATCAGTCACAAACGGATCGCCATGAGAGCAATACCCGTCTTCCGTGTTTTGTGACAGTCATTAGACAGCTTCATCTTAGTTTACGGATAAGTTGGAGAGGTTGGTTAGTTAGTTGAAGACACAGCGAGCGGACGTTCGACAGACAGACTCCTGAAATTAAGGGCTTAGTCATCGGCTGTGGTGACGACTACAAGCTCGTTCCAGGCTTCTCATCATAACTCACGAGACAGGGTACAGGGCGTACTAAGACACCTCAGCATAATAGATAGAAGTGGTAGTATTTTCTTTTGTAGGCTGATTAATATTCAATAGAGAGATTTACTCAAGGTCAACTCCAATTGAGCTTTGGGCATATCAAAGTACGCCTAATCATCGAAGGAATATGGAAAACCAGCTGGTCCTCAAATCAAAAGTTCAAACATAACGAGGTTGCCAAGGCATAATGGCGCGTCTATTGAGATATTTGAAAAATCTGTGACAAGACAAAATAAGAAGAAGAGAGTATGCTTAAACTAAAAAAAAAAAGCTAATGTGTAGTAAAAGAATTCATGCCGTGATATAGCGGTGCCAGCACTGGCCACAGCGTCTTGATCCTGCGTCTAATTCAATCCAAGTTTCCCTATTTTTGGTGCTTTTCCTCCTCTCCCGCCATGGTGAAAAAATAAATAGCCAGCTCGCCCTTCGTTGTGCTCGTAGCGTACAACAGGGCCTCTTTTGACGCAATACAATTCATAAACGACTCGTCCCAAACATTCTTTTTTTGCTTTCTTGTTTTCTACAAACAAAAAACACGTCCCTTGAATACTGAAAACAATGAAAATTCGCAAGGTCCACCCATAGTGAAAAAGAATATCACCAGGAAGGAAATTCTCAATCTGAACAGAATACTCAAGTCGTTCGTAACGTGTGTGTTCCGAGACTGAGTACTTGTCTCCCTTTATGTAAAGGGGAAAGCGTATTACTTCTTGTGGTTTCACTGGTCGCTATTGGACGTGGTCGATCCTCGTTGGCGTCGACCCACGCTTGCACCACGGTTGGGGACATGCAGCGATGGAGAGAGGTGAAGGGTATCCTCAGGGCGACTCACGTCGAAGCTAGGACCGCGGTAACTGGATTGGCGGCCGACAGTCGCTCCATCCTGAGATACTGGGATCCCGGTCTGGGCCTCTTCGTCAAAGGTCCTTATTCTGGGGCTCGTGGCCGACTGCGGGAAAGTCGCGTTATGGCTATCAATAGGGGTAAGGCCAGTCAAGCCCTCTCCTGCTCGTCGTTTGCCACCACGCTGGCTGCTTTCCTTTCTCAGATCCCCCGGAGTTAGTTCGTCCGATGGATCTCTAGACGCAATGGAGCGAGCATCGGCGTCCCACATGCCCGAGGTCTCGAGGACGAGGGATCGGTTGGTGTTGAGCGCTGCGACGGCATTCTTCTCCGACTGGAGAATCTCCTCAGGGCTCTGGTGTGCGTTTGAGGGTACCATTCTCGAGGCATCAGTTGCCTTGGCTGCCTTGTCTCGGCTCTCAATGGCCCATTGGTCGGTCACAGCCACGGAGTAGCTCGGGTTCGTAGGTCCACCCAAAGGCTCACCACCACCGCCAGGGGCGAGGATGGGGACCTTCTTAAGAGCAACAGCCAGAGCGCACATAAACTTGGAGCGTCGAGTAGCCCGAACGCGATCGTTGTGCCAGTTAGATTTGTGCTTGATGCTGATCTTAAGAGTCAACTTGTCAAGGTTATTGACACCGCCAATACCAATGCCAAAGTCGGGCTGGAAGTCTCGAGAGTTCTCAGGTGAGCGGACAAATTTCTCCATTTCAGCGCGAAGCAGTTCGATATCCTCAAACGAGGTGTCAAAGGAGACGTCAACAG